TTGCGTATTTTGATGTGACGTCACATTTCTCAACCACCCCCCCTCGTCACACATCGTCACAAATGTCTGACCCCCCCCCCCCGGTGCGTGACGTCATTTATGGACGGCCCCTTTCCTCTACTTTTCATTCCTATCATGTTTTTGTGTTGTTTGTTGTTGTAACGTACTCACCTGTCCCTTATGGATATCTGTGAAAAAGAGTTTTACAGCGCATCGGATTCCTCCGGTATAAATAAATATTCTGATTCTGATATTATTTGATGTGTCAGTGTCACGCCCTCATATATGCGTGGTTAATTTTCTCCGGACACTGATTTCCGCACACAACGAAGCCAAAGGAACTCTGACTTAAAACGTTTGTGACTGCAGAACCAAGAATACCAAAGGAACTCATTCGTGGAATTTCTCAAACATCCTCATGTCAGAATCAGAATATTTATTTCTACAGGAGCGGGACCACCTGAAAATGAGTCTTGCGGCTCAGTGAGCATTCCCGAGAAAAATGATTTGACGATTAATGACACAAGAACAACACTAGAGAAGAATGTACAGATTATCACCATCGACGATACGTGTCTGAATGTTGTTGTGGCAAGCCTGGGGGAGTTATTAACACGTATTATGCTTTTTTGTATATATATATTGGCACTTGTTAAAAATGTGATTGTCAAATCATTAGTCATAACACGGGGTATGGCTCTGCATGGATCTGTTTTTATTTAAAATATTAGCATTAAGAGTTACATCGCGATAATGTATGTACATTTAAATTATTGTAACAGTTTTTTTTTCTCCCTTCTGCTGGCAGGGCCAGAAACACAACTGTTCACACATATACCTTAGCCGCGTAAGCGTTGACATTTGTTGCAGGGAAACAATGCGTTGATAAAAAGCTAAACATGTAGGAAGCAAGCAATCCGTTCTTATCGCGCAGAGTAAATAAGCAGACATCTATTTCAAATATCCGTTTCATATTCTTCGCAACAACGACGCGAGTTATTATTTTGAGTTACGTATGACTATATAATTTAGTTACGAATTTGGACCCCGTATCGTAAAGAGAAAGAGGGTCTTAAGATCGCCACTTTTCCAGCAATGATTCAAGCAAGCCTGACCCTGCTGATGAGACTCTTGAGTGACTAAACTATAACTAAAGCCTGTTGTATTTACCAGATAAGGCCCACTGAGCCAGATAGCTATTTTTCAGAAACGACCTGACCACAAATGATAGCCCAACGAAGTGGCTTACCACGCGGAAATTTATCGTATTCAAATACTCCAAACGCGTGATGTTGATTCTAAATGTGGAAGGAAAAACCGGAGGACCCGGAGAAAAATCCACACGACCACCGGGAGATCATTCAAACTCCAAACATACAGGCGTCAAGGTCGGGATTGAACCCACAACTTCCTGCATAGTAGTTAACATCTCGCCCACGTGTTAAATCCGGGTCCAGAATGTTGCTTGTCTTGAAACAATGCTGCTCAAATTATGCACTCCCAGAAGGCCCTCCCTGGGGGCTGATCGGTTGTGTAAGAAGTACTTCCATTTTCACAATCTCTATTTAAACTGGAAGAATCTGATGAGCTATCAAGCTCTTTTTTTCAGATTCCCATTTGAACCGGATCAGCAAGTTACGTTAACAAAAATACAACGAAGGATACAAGCGTAAGACAGAGAAAAACATGAAGCGAGTCACTACAAATAAATATAAATCAAGCTTGGAAGTACAAATTGCACGAACACACATGCAAGGACAGTACGGCTCCTCGTGGCCGTGGTTACTTATTGACGCGACGGGCACTGATAGGGTCGCGTAAGGATAGCACGGGACCTGAGTGGTCGTAAATAATAATTGAGACAGGGACAGACAGGCCCAGATGAGGAGGTGAGAGAGTGTTCGGGAAACGGGGCGTGGATGGGTCGAGGAGTGGATAAAAGCCGGCGTGGAGCAGGGCTCTGGGCTGCTGCAGTGGGGGAACCAAGGAGCTGTAATCACCGTCGTCATCTTGGAGCGGGTCGTCTTCGTCATCTTGGATCGGGCACCTTGCAGTCTTGGAAGGCTAGAGTTACATATTGTCTCCGTGGCTACTACGCGTCCGCTCCCTGTGTGGCCAGCCAACTACATGGGGAGCGTCGCGTAGAGCCACAGAAGTTACCCAGCTGTGTACATAGTCACTTGCGGTTACTCGGTAAGTTATCAGTGAGTCGGCGGACTTTATTCACGATAAATAGACATTTTACTGAACAAGACGGTGTCTCTGAGAGCTACATTACACATACATTCCCAGTGCGAGCTTGGGCAAGGCAGCAACTACTTACGTGGATAGACGGAATATATGTGCATGAGATATTGTCTTATCATTTAACTTGTTAATATAGTTTTCACAACGACACTGATGGCTATTTTTAATATATAGCGCAAAAGCTATCACGTAAGAGCTGTTTACGTCTGTTGTGGCGTTTGTGCCATTCCACATGATGGAGCATAACACGTTACGAATGTGATCTTAAAACATAATACTGGCGTATGTCCCACCAATTAATTCCCTACATCGTATATATTTACGCGAATATCCCGTACGAGTATGTATATACAAATGTATATGTTAACATTAAATATTTTGCATGTATATATGTGAATATAAAAAAAACTAAAATCTGCGAATATGTATATGCAATTACCATAAAAGGCAGTTGAGTGGCATATAAATCTATTTTTCGCCGTTTTGTTGCAGAGGTTCACGGGTTCGAATCCAGTGGGCCACCCTGGTTAATAGTGCGGGTGTATTAACCATACATATGCTGTACACGCTGTCTGATTCAGAGTGTACGCTAAATATCCCGCGACGTTATTCGCAAAAGTAGAACCACTGCGTGTCGGCAATTTTAAAATGTGCACCACACACAACTCAGTTGAGACGATACAAAGAAATCATCGCCCCCTAGTGTGTAAACAGGACACTGCTGGTAAGGAGTCACGGAACTCCAGAATAATAATATCTTGGTGAGCACATTGAACTTGTTTTCATAAACCTCCGTGCCTCCCTACCACACTCAGTTGATAGGTCGCACGTGGTGGCGTAAAGTGTGGGTGCTGCCACCTCTTCCACCTCTTCCAAGAAGTCTGGTCAACGTAGGAAAGTAGGCTAAATCTACCCTCTGGGGGAGGGGGTGGGGGCGCAGGTCTAGCGTTCGATAGTTAACAGCCTCAGAGCCAGTAACTACCACGACTACTATTCCCTTCACCGATCTGACCGTCGGGGTGCCCTTCAGGACGAGTCGGTCGTCGGTGCCCTCCAGAATAACCACGCGCATGTGAAAGAGCCGCTGTGTCTAAATCGAGAATTATGATTGTGAATACTGTGGGCGGCACGATCATGCTAACTTCGACCGCCGTTGGCCACACGGTGCTGTATTTGACCGACCGATTTTAATTTCAGATTGTTTTTCATCGCTGTCTCGGTACTTACCTAAACCTGGGGTCTATTTTATATATTAAAAGCATCCCTTTTAGCTCTCCAATAGACTGCACTCGTGAATGATGCAGTAATCCAATTACGCATGACCTTGGCAAGTCTGTATGATGTATGTTCAACACATTCAGCGTATTGGTGCTGCCTACACCAACCATAATTTGTATCTTACTTTCAAATGGTTATATTTTTTTGCTGCTGCTGCTACTGTTGAGATTCTATTTGAATTTATTGTTTCGTTGTCGTGTTCAGCTCGAGGATGAACAGCTCGAGCGAGGCAGGGAGACAAAGTTTCGATATAGGAGAACAAGAAATAATAGTTGAGGTTATTCCTTTGTCCATCCTTGCCCACCCTCGAGCGCCGCCAGAAATAGATCTGCAGTGATAAAAAAACCTGAATCATAACATCACCAAATTATTATTTGTATATATAAATCGTGTATGCATGAGCAAGGGAAGGTAAAAAAAAATAACCTCCGTTTTACGCACGGAGGTTTTTCTTTGGACTTTACCCAAAAATCCTGCCCAGTTTAGTCCAAATGTGTCTTAGGCATCAGGGCCCGAGACTAAGAATACATTCGGAAATCTCGCACTTTCCCAATCACTCTGCTACGAGAGTATTCGTCGCATGGCAGTCAAAACCGCTCCATGTGCCACGTGTTGCATCGCGCTTTATACCCGCAGTCGAGTTCAAATCGCAGTCGAGGATCGACTGAGACTAGCATTCCTCCTGGGTGCATAAAATAGGTACAACTTTGTAGAAGGTAAACAGCGGTCATCGTGTGGATAAATGGGCCATCGCCGTGACATTTTCTAATTTAAACTGCATCAGGACATTCAACGGAGATGAGCGTTTGCCCTTTCGCTCTCTTGGAGGATGGCGATATAACTTCACCATTGTCTACTATATGTATACATGCAGTATATATATACTGTATGTGAAAGGCATCCTTGTGAGAACCTATACCCAAAACAGGCATGAGGAACCTCCGACTCGTGGGCCGTGCACGACCCGCGACTTTCATTTAATAATTGAGAATTAACGACGAATGCAATCAGAGCGGCGACCGAACATCGATCATCGATGACCTCCGGGTCTCGAGAACAACCACACACAAGGCTTCGAACAGGGCACGCACCACGACACGTGCCCCTTATTTCCAGAATCTTAGCCTCACTGACCGGCGACTGGAGGGGAATGTTTTCGAAACTGCCCCACAGCAACATTGTGCGTCTGATTGTAGCGCCCTCCGTCACTTCATGTGTGTGTCCGAAGTGTGCGTGCCTGTGTGTGGTAACGCGGGGAGCGGTAATGTGGCGGTTAGCGCGCTGCACGACGAACCCGGCGCCCCGAGTTCGATTTCCGCTCACGGCCAACACCGGTGACGATTATTTGAACCGGGCCTGGGCCTCTCCTAAGTCGACTCAGCCTCAAATGAATACCTGGTGACAGTGTGTAAACATTGCCACGAGGGAGACAAAGGCGTCCGGGCGTGGTGTTGGCCACCCACCCCATCGTGTGCCGTACCGGCCTTCATAGGTGCTCGCCAACAGCACTTGCCCCAACAGTCTGTTATAGGCTATACGGGGGATCTTTGTCTTTGTGGTAACGCGTCACATCGCCAACGGTTATTTGAAAACCCGGATCGGCCCCTCTCTAAGGATGTTCCGCAACGCTCATCTAAAACAACAGGCTCATAACGACGACCGAATACCAAGGAGAGCTCAGAATATAAATTGGAACTGTTATCGGGGTGGTGGGGGATGGGGCGGCTCATCAGCGCGTTAGACAGCCACAGAGCAGCTACGTTCACGGAGTTTAAAATCCCTTTATTTGGTCTCATCAGTGAGTCATGCCCAGCAGTATACTGCCAATGAGTTCAGGGCTTCAACGCTCTTCATTACTCATTCGGGCTCATCAGCAAGCCGCTGGCCAGTTTAAAGACTAGCGTAGGGATCAGTGTTGTACACATTCTCACCCTATCAGGGGTCATCAGTGAGCCATTCACAACTTACAGACTTTTAGAGAGCTTAGCATTTTACATTGGTCCCCAACTCATTAGTGCTCATCAGTGAGTTGCTGCCAGCTTACAAAGAGAGCCCGCAACGCCACATGGCTCCTTATAACTCAGTACTCTTCAACGTAACCACATTTTTTTTAAAAAATGAATTTAGTTTATTACAATATTTTACTTGTAAACTCGCTGGAGATGGAACATATCGGTTTGTCAACATGTCCGTAGTGTAAATGTACACTCATCAACACGTAAACGCCGCATTCGAACTCGTCATCAGCGAGATAAGACTACTAAGAAGAACCCATAATCGCTACAAGTTTCATCACAACGCATCACGACTCATCAGCGAGCCCGGTCATCAAAGGGCAAGCCCCGAGTGCTGTAAAAGCACTCTCCTCGTGTCTCGTTTGAACCACTCCTCAACGGCATGAGAGACCTCATCAGCGAGCCTTACAGCCGCAGGCACAGCAGTAGCGGCGGCGGCGGCGGTGGCTGTAGCAGCCCCGGCGTGAAGGTGGCGCAGGTTACAGGAGCGTGGTGCGCGAGACGCAGGTCCCGTTGCGCGCGCACGGCCCCTCGCACGCCTCGCTGCCCTCGGCGAGCTGCTGCTGCTGCTGCTGGTTCCCTACCGCCACGACCACCGCCACCGCCGTCGCAGCGCTGCCCAGCACCCTGCTGCGCACAGCGGTGGCGTAGTAATCTCCCGGGTCGTCCGCGCCGTAGCGCTCGGCCCAGCGCACGCACAGCACCCGCTGGAACGAGTGCCTGAAGCTGTCCGAGAGGAATCCGTAGAGGATCGGGTTTGCGCAGCTGTTGGCGTAGCCCAGGATGACCGCCAGCTGGTTGACGGTGGCGCCTTGCTGGCCTTCGAACACGTTCACGAGCTGCACCACGTAGAAGGGCATCCAGCAGGCGACGAACACGGCCACCACCATCGTGACCATGAGCGTCACCTTGCGCTCGGAGCGCTTGCGCTGCTGCCAGCCGGCGCGCAGGGCCACGGCGCGCATCTTGGCCACGATGAGCGCGTAGCAGAGGCAGATGGCGGCCACGGGCAGCAGGAATCCCACCGTGAAGGTGTAGACCACGAACGCGGCCGACCACTCCGGGCGAGGCCACAGCAGGTTGCACACCACGGTGCCGTCGGCGTTCACCCGCGTGTCGGCGTACACGACGATGGGTAGGATGATCACCATGGAGAGGGCCCACACGGCCGCGTTGATGGTTTTGGCCACGCTCGGTCGCCGGTAGCGCGCCGCCTTGATGGGATGCACCACGGCCACGTAGCGGTCGAAGGTCAGCACCGTGAGACAGAAGACGCTCGTGAACATGTTGATGCCGTCCACGCTGAGGACCAGGCGGCACAGCGAGGACCCGAAGGGCCAGTGGTGCAGAGCGGTGGACGTGGCCAGGAAGGGGACGCTCATCATGAAGAGCTCGTCGGCCACGGCCAGGTTGAGGATGTAGATGTTGGTGGCCGTCTTCATCTTGGCGTAGCGCAGGATCACGTAGATGACCATGGAGTTGCCGAAGAGGCCCACCAGGCACACGAGGCTGTACGCGGCCATGACGGCCACGGAGCTGGGGTCGAAGATACCCCACGACCGGAGGCGCGGTGGGCCCACCGTGGAATTCGTGGGCCCCGTGTTCACGGGTAGGGCCCCGGTTTCGTTGAGAACCATCGTCGTATTCTTTCAGCGATGCCTACAGTATACGCATACTGTCGGTGTTCAGGTCGAAACTGCCGTTTGCTGTTTTTTGTTGTTGCTCCAAGGATGGATGAATAGTTGATGTACAAAGCGTTGGTTGGCAATAATTTTTAACAAATATTTGTTGTTTTGCTTTTTTCAGCTTATAGCGCAATTTTTGCCAATAACTTACGGTGGCAGCATCGTGCGTATCGGTCCAATCTGTAACAACGTTTATTCAGAATAATGTATACGTACCCGTGTGTTAGTTTAGCTCACATGCAGACCGAGCCTCGATGGTGAATAGAAAAACAACGCTAACGCCGTTATTCAGGAAAACCCCCACCCGCATATTTTCTCAACGTCCCGAGCGTGGTACCTGTCCGGCGTGTGGAGCGAGACCAACGCCGTGCAATGTACCCCCGGCGATGTCAACTGCGACTCCATGCGATCTAGAGATGAAACTCTCTCCGCACGCAGGCAGCCTGTGTAGATATACACCTCCCCCACCCCACATGCATATGTATAGCAGAGCATCACGCGTCACTAAAGCCTCCCATCGGAATTGTGTCGTGCTCAAGACGCGACATCCATCATCAGTCAAGACCAATCCACTGCTGGATGAAGTTCTCCCCAGAGAGCACCCGCTCCCACCATTTCTCTCGATAACTTAGATGTAATAATGATCCACCTAGAATTTGCACTCGAGCTGATTTCATCGCTCCATCTCCTTGGTCGACGTTATATCCGACGCGAAATTTAGTCATGGACATATCCATGCGAATCCACTGCTGCATGGTGGCCTCCATACGCCGTGCATGTCGTAGGGGTTATTTGACCATACTTCCCCACGCTGGTCAAGTTCAAATTGGTGAAGTGGGAGCCCAGGACTGGTTAAAATATCACTCAGAAATCGAACCTGGGTATCCGGATTCAGAGTGCAATGCGCTTTACCCACTCTTTCACCCACTCACGAATATAAACGATGTGACCGTATTAACACAGACGTAGGCTACCGCCTCATAAAAAACAGTCTGCGAATGTGTGTCTTAATACCGCACCGAGATAAGGAGGTGCGTACTTTCAGTGTTATTTTTATCTTTACATTTTTAAATCTTCCCCTTCCCCCTGTATTCCATGAGCTCGCTACATTTGAGAACCAAGTGTTACATCACCTTCGATTAGCGCGGTTGACTATATACGGTGCGAAATAGGTTCAACATACAAACACGTTATGCAGGCGACTACTGCCTGTGATTTAAACTGAGGCTCTCAGTGGTGCAATCTCAGCGCTCTTGACCTTGAGTTACCTGGACAATTCTAAAATCGATTCTTTCACTCGTGATCAATTATAAGCAAATACAATGCTGGTACATGTAGGGTGGTACAAACAATAGATGTGCGAAAGAGACGGTTAAAACGAGACAAACATTATTGATTATTAAATGGGATCGCTACTCCGAAGTGATAAATTCATGGAATCATTGGGGACGATACGTCTTCCCCAAAAGTACTCTTTTCATCATTCCGATATACAGGGCATTTCAAAATATGGACCCGATTTGAAATCGCTATATCTCTGCAACCAGGAACCGCCCATGAATGAAACTCTTACCACTTGAAAGGGCGGGGCATAGAGTTTCAAATGATTACCGCTAGATGCCTCAACCAGCACACAAACAGCCCCTAGCCTCAGTCATTCGCAAGGTGGTGACCCCACAACACAGGGGACGTTTTGCGTTCTGCAGTTCAGCAACACTGAATCTGTAATTGCGGTGCAGCGTGCGTTTCAACGGCGTTTTGGCATTGATTCGCCAATGTCAAAAGAGCATTCTTCAATTTGAGGAAATAGGCTGTTTATGTAAGGGGAGGGGCACAGGGCGACGACGCACTTCAAGAGTAAAACGTGAGAAGAGGCATTTGGGACGAATTCAACTATCGTCTCGATGTTGTCCGTTGGTAAAACTTGATAACTCATTAAACCGTTTGTAACTTTTTGTGTAATTGTAACATGTCATCGTGAAATACACTGCTTTAAAATTGGATCCATCTTTTTGAAACACCCTGTAGTGGCACGGAACCCAGGAGTGCTGTGAAGGATATATTACATATATTACATATTCCCGTCACGTGCGTATTGGAGGACTTTAAGGGCACTTTTGTCACGGAGACTTCATTTCTTGAAAGCGTGTGCCACCACTTCGGGAACACGCCGCAGATACTAGCAGTAATCTGGATGAAGATTTTATTTTTGTAATACATCAACCCGCACTTTCTTTGAAAATGGCCATCCGTGCGTCCGTCCCTCTCCATCCAGTCAGCAAAACTTATTTTTCAAAATAGCATGAGTTATTATTTTTATTAACAATTCATCACACCGTCGATACGTACATTACAAGGAGGCACGGTCGCTTCAGCGTACACTTACGTTATTTATGCATAGAATGCTAAAAATCCCTGGCAAGAAATCCTAGTGCAGAGAAAAAAGGCGCGCGATTTTAACACTGATTTCAAAAGATAAAAAGGAAAAATTAATCCACAGGTGTTATCACGGCACGAGAAGCAAGCTTGAAATGATCAGACCACTTAGGTAAGGCGGTGGTGTTGGTCTCAAGTTTTCAACATCACCCTCTGGGCAATGTTTGGCAGGGATGCCCACCATACATTTAGTATTTGCATTTTTATTTATGCAGGAACACAGGATTGTTTTAATCATAAAGTGAATTTCATTCACATGCGTACATATTTGGATGGGATCCCAATTTAGTTTTGGATTTGTTTACAGATCTAATTTGAAAAAGACATGAAAAGTATTTCCATTTAACAATATAGCTGTATATTGACTGCTTATTTGCTCAACGATTTCTGATTTGTATCAGGAAATTATGCTGCTTTTTGGAGATCTGATTCATTCGAGGAAGAATGAGCCTCATGGTAAAGAATACAGCTGAGTTAAAGTAAAGAAAACGATGCCATGAATAGCGTCTGTTGAAGGGCAGTGACTCTTAGCATAATGCTAAATACATCACAGACGCAAACACGGCCTTCACTAAGCCCAGCTGGGTAAATCCATTGCTTCAACTCCTCTACGAAGTTAAACCGTTACTGTCACCCGTGTGTGCTCGCAAACACAACAAACTTCGTCTGAAAAAACTTGAAAATGCTTTGGGACTCCACAGGGGTAACGAATGCACGGATAAATATTCAAAATAAAATACATTTCATAATGTAATTTTGGTGTTATGCCTAAACTCATTAGCACAAGCAACATCACCGTAGCGCAATGCTTCTACAGACTATAGCACTTATGAGCCTTTTTTAAGGTAGTGAACAAAAAAAATACTGTAATGAAAATAACTTTCTTCATTGAACCTGGCTAATACAGTACTACTGCATTTCTCTAAACACATGGCAATGATTATTATCCATAACCGATATGTTAAGACATTTGTCAATTAAATGTTAGATGCGTGATTATTGATAAATACATTCAATATAAATGTACGCATCAGAATTGGCAGCAACTAGATACAAAATAAAACTTCACGAATGTTGTCAAAATAATGCGAAGATTTGTGCACATTGCAATCTAGCCAGCGAGTTAAGGTGACTGAGCAACAGATGGGGGGGGGGGGGAATTTGCCATGACAAAGTGCCAATTTAAAGTAAAAAAAAACAAGGTAAATTCTTCGCCTACCTATATGAACCGCAATTTCATATAAAGTGTTTTTTTCAGGAAACAATCCTATCTGCTATAAAAACTTTTAACATGCATTGAACGTATGTATCGTATCGTGGTAACCCTAAAATGAAATCGCCAAAGCTATGTATCATACATGCATTGAACGTATCGTAACGTATCATATTCTACTGTTACTCGCCAAGATTCTGTCCGTCGTCTGCATACTTGAACGATGTTAGGTTGTTGATGGCTACATTAACTTAGTTGTCGGAAGAGGAGGATGGCGATGATAAAGTTACAGTCTCGTACCTCGTACGCTGCTGCATTTGCCTGCCGCGCGAAATTAAAAATATTTTACAAGTTTGTCATATCGCCATCGTAAGATCGGAATATTGTAAGTCGGACCTCGGGGACTACCTGTAGTGTTCTAAAAAGGTAACGAGCAACATGTGGCTTTGAATGATAAAAAAAAACCATGGCACCTCCACGTAGTAATGCGAGCGATCAGAGCGAGTTGATAAATCATGACCGAGCAGCTTGAAAAAACAATATTTCCATCCGAATGGTAAAAGGCGGGCAATGGTGTTGGTGTGCAACTACACGAGGTTTAAAATATGGTCTGGAATAACCAATTGCAGGACTTTCCAAAAATGATTTGCACAACACATTTGGCCCATACGTAATTGTATCAATTACAGAGAGGCGAAGTTGTTCAGTACTTTGTACCGGTTGACACGAAGTAACAATGTGTATAAACGTCATTCGTTTCACTTTAAAAGTGGCGTTGCTTCCGGCACATGCCCAAGCAGCTGACTGATTAATCCCCCACCATCCATTTGTCAGTCTCCGACCTTGAATCACACTCGCCGCTATACATCAAAGGTCTCCTTGCAGTTGTACTTTTTCCGAGCGAAAAGCGACAAGCAGGCTATGTAATACACTTTACACCGTTAACACAATTATTTATTTGACCTCTCTTAGAAGCACTTGGAGCAAAGGCGTTGTTCTTGTTGAGGCAGGATTTACACTGTGGTTGTATTCGTTTCATTTATCTCCGTTTGCTCAAAGACTTTAAAGATAGCCATTTTAATCATAATTGCGATCCGAAACGTGCAATTATGTAGAGATTGTATAAATGCTAAATATAGAAAACAAATTCATTTGGCTTGTATCGGTTATAAAAATGCACTTTAAATTATACATGGCAAAATGCACACTAAACTTAATATATTAAATTGCGAAGGTAAATGGTAACACCCTGAAGTAAAATACTTAAAAAAATATTTTCAAACTTGGAAATTATAAAATGATCAAGCTCTTTATACAATTATGATGCAAAATGGTGCTTCCCTGGTTCATAATTAGGGTCACTAGGTCAAGATGGCTCTTCCCAACACTTGGGTGTAGGGTTAAAAAAAAAACCTGAAAATTAACATTTCTTATTTTGGAACGTAAACTAAATTATTGCCGCATAAGTAGATTTTGTTTTCGTGTTCATGTTGACACGTAATTTCACGGTTCTTATAAACCGAATAAAATCCCATGTGGTTGTAACATCAGTAAGATTTCCCTTGTCCGTGCTGATGTTATCCCTGCAGTTGATCCCAGTCGATAGAGGCAAAAAAGTGGTGCAATCGGATTTCGTCGGCTCCGCTGGGTCCCGCACCCAGCCGCTCAGCGGGGCTGAACTGCAGCAGCTGCAAAAATACAAAAGAATAAACAAAGTTATCTAAAACATAAATAACCCAGCCAGAACATTCATTCATATGTTCCTGTTCCAGACTCTGCATGAGTCGGCTCAGGCTTGCTTGACTTCGGTGCGTGACCACAGAACTCTGGTGCCAGTTTGACGACGGATTCTCATGATCACATCATCTCAAACTCAAGACTTTATGTTGCATTATACGTTGTATGTTGAACTTCTTTCGCACTGTACGTAGTCAACCGTGCAAATCGGAGTGGACGGGGAAGGACAACAAACTAACATAAAAGTCAGTTCTAAAGAAATTTGTTTGAAATTTAGATTCAAAAGTGCATAACTCCAGTGGCTTCCTAATATCGGAAGGAGCGTTCCAGATGCATGCAAAAGCGCATCCGAAGACGTGCGATGCAGTGACCGTCTTTGTTCGATGGGGAGTCAAAAGTCGCTACGAAAATGACCGGAGTTTGTGCAGGTAAGGCCCATTGAGCTAAACAGCTCTTTTACAAAGATGACCACAGCCCAAGACCGTGGTCAGCGGTGGTGATGGCGGTTGCAGGACATTGCAGGGTGATACATTGTTGTCAGCATGACACATCTTTGGTGTGGACCATGTTGGCCTCAACGTTGAAGAAGAAAAAAATACAACCAGCAGACCAGGATGGCTGTTACTGGATTAGACCCGAGTTGGGCAGGTGGAAAAATGCCAGCTGAGCAATGGTTAAACAACCAGCTAGCCTAATGAGAGCAATTAAGCGCTTTGGAGGCAAGGGCTCGTAGGTGGTCACGCAACAGAACAGCAAATTATCCATTTGGGAATCTTCAGCGTTATCCCCTGATAAGCGGCACACATCTTACTCCGGGCACATTGATTTTCTACCACAAAAAAATACTTCTTTAGATGCAATTGTTCAATGCAGGAACATGCTGAAAGAGAGTCTGTTGACTTTTCTGGATAAATAAATGTCATTATTTTCATCACTACTACACGAAAGCTGGCCTTGATGTGCACAATTGTGCTCAAAAAATAAATGCTGACGCAATCGCTTACCTGCCGGAGAAGAGACTGTGCCTCATCAGACAAGTGAGTGGGAAGGCTTAGCTTGGTGTGGGCAGTGATGCCAGTTGGATGGCAGTGACATAGAGCCTGCAGATCAGAAGACAAAACACTTGTCATTATCCCAAGTCACTCCAATTAATTCCCTTTTGGAAAGCAAGAGACCTCCTCATATGCGACATTTGTTTGAGTGGACATCGAATTCTGGATTATCTGCGGGCGGATTATCCGGGTTGAGAAAAAAAGAACCATGTTGCAAATAAAATAATCATCACAAGCACCGGTTCTCGAATGAGGTGCTTCTCGCTGGTTAAGGATCAGCGACTCATTGCCCAGGAGACCGCACTCACATCGGAATGTAAACTGAGTAAGAAGCAATGAAAGCAGACGACGCATTCTATAAGTCTGTACCTCCACGGTGAAAGTCAAAGCGGTTTCCTGCTCTGATGAGCAAGGAGGGTGGCGGTACTCATCTCCTGTTTGAATCCCTGAGCCAGTGGCAGAAATTACATGTTGCTATCCACAGGACAACCACTGTTGATTTCCCCAAAGTGGTACTTATTTTCTCAACCCCAGAAGCATGATAGCTAGGCAATACATTCTATATACTATTTTAAATAAGCTTGGAATTATCCATGTTTTTGTTTTATCCAGACCACCAATTCTCCCCCCCCCAACCATATCACTGGATAATCAACAACTGACTTTATGTGAAAGCTGAAATGTGCTTCACAAGCCGGGACAATCAATTGGTTGTCTTTACTTTATCAGAGCTCTCTTATTCATTGTCTTCTTTGCAAGTTAGTGATACATTGGAAAACAAATTGCAATTAATCGAATCACCGAGGGGGGGATAAATCTTTACTCGCCCGGTACTTCCCCATGGTTTTCGCTGCATCAAATTTCCAAAACTGTCCTGCAAATCACAGTACAAATCTAAGAGGGATAAGATGAATGAGGCCGTTATCTTTTTACTCTCAAACCAACGTACAAGTGTGGATGATTAAATGAGGAATCCTGCATGCGCCTTAGTCGACAAGAACACAAAACCACACACACACACAGAGGAGTGTATTCTGGCAAAGCTGTGTAGGCAAATTGTTGCCACTTTACCTCTCCAGTCAGGAGTCCATATAGAAGAACACCAAAGCTCCACCAATCAGAGACCTCTGTTTCCTGGTATGCAGCAACAATTTCTGAATGGGGGGGGGGGGGGGGGGGGAGGAAAAAAACACTTGTGTTAAGTCGGCTTGGCGTGAGTATAGAGGCTGCAATTTACTTTAATGGCGTTGTTTTTCATAATGTGGTCATCTGAAGCAATCTATGGACACACACGCACCGAAGCAATTTCATCCCATAGAAAAAAGACAAAAGTCCATACGTGTGCACAGAAATACTCAATCGTGACCAAAAGAAGTGACGCAAGATGGGGAGAAGCGAGGCCAAGTTGGGGCACCACAGTGGCGAGTTAACTACCTCGCCTGGTATACGTCGTGGGGAGAAGAGAGGCCAAGTTGGGGCACCACAGTGGTGAGATGTTAACTACCTCGCCTGGTATACATCGTGGGTTCGATCCCAACCCTGGCGCCAGTATATTTGGAATTTGCATGTCTCTCTCCCCGTGGTCATGTGCATTTTCTCCGGGTCGTCCGGTTTTTCTCTCCGCATTTAGAAATGTGCATTTAAGAGTATTTGGCTGCTTTAAATTTCCAAGTGATAAGCCATTTCATTGAGCTATCATTTGTGGCCAGGTCACTTCTGAAAAAAAATCTATATAGCTCAGTTGTTGGCCTTCCATGATAAAATAAAAAAAATGTTTAGTTTAATTTTTGTAAGTTTAGTTTACCTGGTGCACAGTACATGTCCTGCACGGCTGTCTGGGAGAATGCCTTCTCCACCTCGCTCCACTGGCTGAAGTACGTCACTCGGATGTGGCCTTGAGTCGTAGTCACATGGCACAGTGATGAAGTAAATGACAAAAAGAAAACAGAAAATTAAGGGTTAAAAGTAAAAAAACACACCATGATGGTCAAACAAACTTCAAGAGCATCACTTTAACCATAACGTATGTACAATCATGAAGTGGAAAGATAAAGGCATCAACAAATATTAAGTGAATGCATAAATCAAATGCGCCTGCATAATTACATCATAAATCTTGCAATTTTGTTTAATAGCATCTCTTAAACCACACCCTTAAACCACGTGTACTTTTTGGACGTTAATGTTTAAATCAGCAAGTGTAAATTAAAATTTGCATCTGTCTACAATAATTCTAGATTTAAAGCTTTCGTGACTGCAAGGATCCATACTCTTTGGTTCGCGAGCACAAATCAGATTTGAAACACGGCAGAACGAATTCTTCTGCCGTGGCTGATCACTGTTACAACACTGTGGGTGATCACGATATCATTTTCTCCGATACCAAGGTTCTTTGCAAACCCACGGGTTGTTATCAGAGATTTGTTCACGAGGCAATTCAGATTTACAAACACAGACACAATTTCAACCGAGAAGATGGTTTCAAATTAAGCAACCATTGGAAAGATGTTCTGAATCAAACCAAATATTAAACTAATTTTCAATGGTACAGTATATTTTTTCAAGTAGTGGTATCCCAAACTTTCGCAGCTGCTCAAATTCCCTTTTTCACACCATCAATATGTAAACGCCCCCCTCGTCGGTCTGCACATGCTCCCCCCCTGTACATCGTTCATCATGCTAAGTCCACCAATTAAATGCTAATTTTTATGCTAATTCCTTTGTCAAGGTGCTCTGCTTCCTCTCACACAGCTTAAAGGTCGCGGTCTGAGCTTGGCTGTGTTCACTCCAGCGCTGTCCTCTAGACAGTCTGCTCCCTTCACCTGATGAAGGCCACTTGTGTTGTGGCCGCAATGTCGTGAATTTTTTTACTTTTTGTGTTTTTATTTTTTGTTGTTTTTTATGTGACTTTACCGAATAGAACCAAAGAGTATGTCTACAATAACACATACACGCTTACTTGGAATTAGATGCATGATTGGAATACTGATAGAATGAGGAACACACAGATGAGATAACGTATGCATGTTACAAAAGTGGACGTGAGGGGGAGAGGTCGCCAAGGTGATAAAATCAGCATCCGTGTAGGAGCTATATGACCTTTTGTCATCGTGAGACTATAACAGATGACAGTGGTACGGGCGAGGCATTCATCCAGTAGTTTATAAATCCAGGGGAAAAATAAACATTACTATCACTGTACTGATAAAGTAGCCATGCTTGTGGTGATAAATATATTAATCTTGGCCAGCAAGAAAATACAAAACAAAAATGTAAGAAATCAAACAATATTGCGAGATTCACACATACATTCACCAATACGAGACTTTACGTGGTTTCATGAACCCAACAGTGCAGACCTTAGAAAAGTATTTGCGAAAACATCGCAACCCGGTAAAAGAGAGGTTATATTTCTGGAAGTACAATAACAACCTACTTCCTATATTTCTATTATTATAGAATAGTAAATTGACTTTTTATTTTTGTTCAAGATGGCATTAAGGGCCCATTATTAAGGTCCAATAAATTATCGTCAGCTTCAGAGCTGAAAACATGGTATAGAAAAGTGGTTTGGAGAACAGAAGACAGCAGTAACTTCAGAATGATGGCTGTTTGAAGTGCACCTGCTTTAAAACAGGGTCTACAAACAAAAACATGAAGACAGAGTTGGGAGAATATTTTCTAATTTAAACTGGCCCAGTAGCAACAATGGTTAGGGCAGACAGATCTTTACGAGTCTGTGCTGAATGCATTGTTATGCAATTGTCGGTCATGGGGCCTCGTCAAACATGCATCATCACGCGGGTGAGTGTGGGTCAGTAAAGGTTGTAAAACCTATAATCAATTTGTTTATCTGACGATCGCCTTCCCTCCCGTCATTGTCGTCTGCAAAGTGTTGTCCACGCAAATGGATTCATTAATCGGCCAAAGTGGTGGTTAGTCGCAGGATGTAATATCTGGGCTAATAATACAAAAATAACAATGCTAGTAGGTAGCGTTGGAAAAGTGTTTACACGTCTCTTATCGTTTGTTTAATGTTTTGTTGTTATAAAGCTGAATTTATTAATCGTTGCCATTTTCTATTGTGCTTGTCCTTTACCCCTACCTATCCCAGGGTTCCCCCCCTTAAGATCAGCTTTGCTAGCGCAATGGGCTGTCCCGCGGGGATACCAAAAATTAAATATAACAAAAATATCGGGTAGGCCCACACCAGTTGATTCAAGCAGAATGTTGCGAGGGTTGAGGTCTCCGCACACCAGGCCCTGCTTGTGAAGCCCGTCGAGCGCCTGCACCAGCTGTGCCGCCCACACCCTCACTGGCTCCTCGGGCACGGCCAGTGGCTGGCGCACTGGGCAGCCCCCCCGGCTAGACGGGGGAGCGGCCGCCACAAAGAGGCGATCGCGGCGATGGAGGCCGCCTCTGCTGCTGCCCCCACCGGCGTCAGGTGTGTCGCTGGCGGTGGAACTCTTCTCCCGCCGTCGATAGGAGAGTTTGGCAGCCTCGGGTTCGAGTCCTGGCTCATCCTGCGACCGTTCGTTTCCATCACTGTCGTCAAATCCATTTTCTGTGGAATCGCGGGAAGCTCCGGGGTCGGTTCGACTGTCGGTCACAAGGTGCAAGTGTTCGTTTCCGGCCGAAATTGCAATTTGTTCAAAAGCATCACTCGAGGAATCCTGCAAGGATGCGCAAAAGTGCTTTCCGTTGCCATTTGGTATGTGGTACGTCGCCCCGAAGGACAACTGTACGGAATCTGGGTTCAGTTCAACACTGTGTACGTCCTCAATTATATTGCAGCCGCATTTCTCATCGCCAGCTTCATCTAGTCCCAGCCGGTCCACGGCAAGGATATCGACCACCTCTCGGGGGATATTGATCAAGCCAGGTGCGCTTGATAATGGATCTGCCAGAGAGTGGCTGCTTTCACCAGCACTGTTTAAGCCATCGCTTTCAAACGCCACCCCATTACAGAGGTGCTCCTTCCTTTCAGCGGCAATGAAAGGCAAATCATTGGATAGGGCACTCGAATAACTGGCAAAGGCATCCCGCAATTCAGAACTGTCTTTTTGAGTTAAGGCCAGGTAAGACCCGTCGCGATCGTAATTGCAAACAAAGCCGCTGAAATTGCCTGTGGAATTACAGTGGGCATCGTCGGCAAACTCCTGTCTGCCAATCACCTCGAAGGGGTTGACGGTGATGGTGTAAGGCACGTGGTCACACCGGTCCCTCACTGGGCTGGGCTTCAGCTTCAAGTCCGCCGCTCGAACAGGACTCCTCGCACCGTTCTGCTTCTCGGCGCAATCTTCACGAGCGAGTCGGCTGCACGCTCTGGGCCCCGGCGTGCAGCGACGACCCGTCGCTTTGCTTGGCGACCTGGAGGCCGAGTCGCTGCAGTCTGACGCAGCCCTGGCACCGCATGCGGCGGGCGTCGGCAGCGGCACAGTTGTGCCGTCGGAGGTAGGCACGCGGTCATTGGGGGCGCGTGTGACGCTGAACGCGTTGGTTCCGCCAATGGGCGCCTGGCACGGAGGGAATCGGTCGGTCATCCCTTCTTGGACACTTAAGTAGGCGTCCCCTGCCGCCATGCTATTGTGTGAGAGGCATTCCTTTACGCTGTGGCTGAGCAGGCCGCACACATGCCCGCTTCCTTGAGAATCCGGCGTGCCAGCGGACGGAACGTCTGAGCGTGTCTCCCCGCCAGCGTCGGGGAGACACGCCTGAGGCTCATCCGGATGTGTGTACCCCATACGATGTGTCACGTCGCAGCCGACACCTTCGCCTTCGTCATCATTATCGTCGCTATCGCAAGGGTCAGCGACGCCTGTCGACTTGCTCAAATGCCCGGGTGTTGCGCCGGCGTACTGTTTGAGGTTGGGGCTCGTCACGCTGCCCCTCATGCCGCAAGTTACCCTACAGGTGAGTGGACGCTGCCCCACGAACCCCTCAAAGGGCACTTCAGAAGAGAACTGCTTCTTGACATGCGACCACAGGCGCCCGCCTGTTAGAATGAGAAAAGTGTGTGAAACAAAGAGGCATTAACATGAGATGGATAATGATGTCTACCTTGCAACTTATGTGCTATTAAGATATTAAAAGCTACGCAAATATAAATTTGAATGAATCTGCAAATTCTTAAGTAACTTCTGCATGAAAACAATAACTGGCAATCAATTTCACTTGGGTTCATATCATCATACCCTTTGAACGCTAACACATGAGAGCAGCCATGAGCGATACAATACGATACAAGTGTCCAAAAGCGACCGGATCTCGATGTTTTTTGTTGCCCCCCCCCCCAGCTCTGGATCGTCGTTGCATGCCTTGTACGTGCTGCAGCAGCAAGAATATGGAGTCGTCAGTGATGTAGTAGCGAAGCAGTGGCACCATGTAGGGCACGCCCTGGGGCAGCACCGTCCGCCGACCAGGCGAGTCGCCGCTTGTCTTCCGCACGCTCTGCACAGAGACCACGGCCGGGTGATTATCATAAGATGCTGAAGAAACACATTTGCACAACGAAAGCCATCACAGTCAATTTGGTTCTGCTATGAGCATTTTAAATATCAGTTTGGCTGCAATTTACTCTTTTGTGGCAGGGCTAGTGGGAAAATGCTGCCCGCTACTGCGTGGGTTAGAGGTATTTTGCAGGGATCTCGTTAGTAGTTCTTTGATATCCACAATTCTCTGCGAGACTTCAGAATGGATTATTTGTCTTGTGATGTGCAACCAAAAACAAAATCCGTATACAATGAGGGGAAAAAGACAAAATCATAAAAAAAATTATATCCAGTATCTTGAGGTGGCTCAGCTGTGAGAGGCCAGTACTGCTGAGAACCCAAGTATGAATCTGGGTTTCAGCCGTGCATGATTAAACTGGGTTCTCTAGAGGAGTGAATATATGGACTCAACCCATTCACGAATGACTGCACACACAAAAACAAGCACATATGTAGTTTTTACTTAATTCAACTGTCTCTCTAGCAGGGAAAGTTATAAAGTGCAGAATATTCAAATATACTCTAGGTGAGAGGTAACTGCAAGGTTGTCAAAAGTAGTTTTGTGATATAATCTTCCAGAGAACACCCTTAAGAAGATGTATTTATTTCTGCTGGAGACCTGAACGGAAATGCTTTATTTCTGTGATATGGCGATGATGAGCAAAGATTGAATATAAATGTACAAATGGAAAAAAGAAAACATTTAAAAACAACGATCATACCACACCAGTGGGTCACAGCAAGCCCTCGCACCACGGGAAATAGAAAGAAAATAAATTACATTTCTGTTAACATTTTCATTTTCTGAAATGTGAAGAGGTTTGCTTATAAGACGTGTTAAGATGTATGACAGAATGCAAATTTTGATTTGAGCCAAGACACATTAGTCGACCATGTCAACAGCGCGAACATATTTTCCAATAGCTGCCCCTAGGTCATCCGCGCACGTTGACATTTTTGCAACTTATATTGGAAAGCGAGAAGAGGGGTGTCTTATTGTTTCATTTTACAGACGCCCAACTGCACGTTCTCATTTTGGATTGCATGTTTCCACAGCCTTAATTATGAATGGATTATATATTTTTATTTATTTTGGTTCTGAATAGAAAATAAATCTGCCAAGGTAGGATAACTCACCTTTAGGATGTATTTCTCTCCAGTATTTTGGTCTTTAACAAGTAAAACCTAAACAAAATCACAACACACATTTTCAAAACAATAAACATATGCACAGAACACCTCGCACTTTCGTCTGGTTAGGGACCAGAGCATGAACGAATGTCAAAAATGGACGAATGTCAAAGCAGAGCCTTTATTTAGCTTGCAAATTTATTTTGGCCAGCGAAAAACGTCAATGCAAATAACTACAGTAACTATAAACACATGCGTGCACTACCTAAATAAACAGAAATAAAAGAAAAATAAACGTAATAATAAATAAACCAAACGAAATAAACAAAATACCTTGAAACATTTGTATTCTTGCCTAACACCGTAGTATTATACTGTTATCACAAAATAACTATGAATTGTTTACAGTACAATCACAGAAATAAGTACAGTATTAATAATATACGAATAAACACAAATATAAGAGATGCTCACTGAACGACTTATATTGAAAGACTGAACGAAAAAGACGGTGCGTGGCGCGAGCGTCGTGGAAGGTTTGTGATGAAATTGGACGAAAGAGGAAAGCGCGTGGATGAAATTTGAAATGTGGTTATAATTGAAAACGGCCGAAATAATGAAACGACGAAAGTGGATGAAAGTCAAGTGGATGAGTCAAGTGGATGAGTTAAGGTATCGCTGTATGTTGCTTTCACACCGTACAAAGGCAACCGTGCTAAACGGTACCAAGGACCATCTGTCACAGCCACATACTCAGCGGGGCTGCTGTGTACACACGAACTCATTCAAGCTTGCAACAACTTTTGGTTCTTGAGTTAAAAGTGGAATGGCAACAGCTATTTCAACATCTCAAGATGAACAACATCTTTTCATATATCAATAGTATGCATGATGGATGTTTGAAAAACATCCCATCAATAAGTATCTGGCAAATATTACAAAACAAAATTACCCCACTCAATTATTTTTTCCAGTTCTCCAGGTCAAGTCATGTCTTCTCAAAACATATTGCAATTTGGAAAATGGAATGTATTTTGCCTAGTTCTTGTGCATTACTCATCCTCATAACGCTCTTGATTCTTGAGTTACGATAAACCTTAGTCATTTGATTACTATAAAATTACACCAATTAAAAAAAGTTAAAGAGTCCACCCCCACCTTGTCAAAAATGCTGAGAACTTTGTAGTACTTGAGTTCCTCGGGTGGGCCACTCAAACTCCGCATGTGCCTGAGCCCGAGGCTGCTGAATCCCTGGGTGAAGACGCACGCGCCACACACACACACGTGGGTTACAGAACGTACAAAGTTGCTACCGAGACAAAGGCAGACAGACCTGTATGTTTGCGGCTCATACTGCGGAGTGTGCTGGCCCGTTCCCCAGGTGCTGCGTGAAGATATGCTCCGCTCGCATCAGGTATTGCTGCGTCTTCCTCCTCACAGCCTCGCGCCTCACCGGATCCGGGTCCGCTGCAAGTAGATGATGGAAGAGACATTCCGAGACGTTATCAGCCCATTGAGCATCCCCACTAAGAGCTGCTACTGCATTGAAAGTTACGCGGCTACGTACATGTATTCTATGTATGTATGTATGCTGAACGCACCGTACGTAGATAACTGTGCTAATCTAGTCATCTCGGAGGTGCTCTTTAACTACTTTTGTGTGTTCTTTGGTTCTTTTGGTAAAGTTACGTAGATAGAAAATAAAAATAAGAAATAGAAAAAAACCCACAACGTTTTGATTGCAACACAAGCGTCGTTATCAGAAAAAGGGGGGGGGGGGGTTAGCTCGAAAAGCAAACTGTTTATAAAGGTTTAGAGATGGGCATAGTTCAAGTGTGTCAGCAGCATGGGCGGAGCAGGCTAATGTTAATGTGGGAGAAGACAACGGGGGAGAGAGAGTGGGTAGAAATAGGGGGAGAGAGAGAGAGGGGGTAGAGATAGGGGGAGAGAGAGGGGGTAGAGATAGGGAGAGATCTTTCTTTCAACAATCAACTCCAGGTTCAGACCTTTCCTCTTCTCCACGACTGTCTCTATTTACAATATAAATATGCACACTATTCCTGTACACCATGTTGAGACTCGGTCACATTTATAACTCTACTAGCTTTACTACCCGGCTTCGCCCGGGACTTGGATTCACCACGCCCGGCCGCCTTCGTCTCCCCAGTGGCGATGTTCACACACCACACCAGTTACTCGTTTGAGGCTGAGTCGACCTAGGGGAGGCCCAGGAGCAGTTCAAATAATCGTCACTGGTGGTGGCCGTGAGCGGGAATCGAACTCGGGTCGTCCGGGTTCGTAGCGCAGCGCGCTAACCACTACACAACCGCTCCCCCCACACACAAACGCGCGCGCGTCCATAGGTACACATGCACGCGCTTGCTGCAGACACACGCAACTTTCGGGGTGCGTATGGCAGTAAACGACTGAAATAATAAACCAATGCTGCGCGAAGAACGCCTTAGACCTGCAACACATTTGTATGGCACTTTACTCGCGGAGGGTGAGGGGGGGATGCGTGATGTGAGCAGGCACACTGCGTGACGCTTCCGCATGCGCGGGTGACATGGCAGATGTGACGTCACAGCTCACTTGCCGTGCAAAATATATGCATTATTGCGCCCCCCCCCCCCCCGCCCAATAATGTTTGCATGGTGTACAGTCTGGAAAATACCCACATGGCAAATTTCAAGTTTGTTGCATGTCGGGAAGTACGCTAAACATTTTGAACAGACACACACTCACAAATTTCCATTTTATATATATAGATAAGATATAAATCCAAACTGCACTGAATTATATAATTTGGGTCATTTGAACTCCTGCCCTGATTGACCAGATTTTGTTCGAGCAAATTTGGAAAATGAAAGAATAAAATAGTTGAATGCATAGTATTAAACTTACATTGGATTTGACCTATTCCGATGACGCATGTATACATCGTCAGTTTTTCTTTCGATTCAGTTCCAATGACGTACGTGTACGGAACCGGCAGAAAAACTAAAATAAAAAAAAACTTTATCAGTACCAAAGCTCCCACAAGGCCATGCGGAAGGGCACGTGGCATAGATTGGCGCCAGCTATCATGGTGTGCAGTCGTTTCGCTAGAGTTCTCTGCAGTGAGTACAATATCTTTAAAAACAACGGCACTATGCCTCTCTAAATACAATTTATGCTGAACTGCCTCCATGTTCCGAGATTCAGCGGTGAACGAGATCACCCTGCAACTTGCCATCATCTCAGAATGGGAAACGGTTTACTGAAATAATGCAGTTTCTAACGGTACTAGCAAGTCAGGCAAGATAATGCTTCTATGCTGTGACGTGGATCCCTGCAGATTTATATTTTGGCTACATATGTAAACATGTGCATTAATGCTTTGACAAATTTCTAAAGAACTTGAGATATATGAGGGTTACTGTGACCCTGTGCTGCTCTTAATTCCCATACACTGCGAATTTAACTCATTGAATATTTGCCACAAAACGGTCATATCAATTATAAATAAATTTTTACCTCTTGCCATTTAGGGAGCTTGTATGCTGATGTACATTTTGTATTGTCCCATCTATGTATCTGAACTGCAATTTGATTCTCATTAAGCCAGTTTGTTTGATATAAACTATTAAAAATAAAAACAAATTATTTATCAGGTAAGCGCCCACTGAGCTACATAGCTCTTTTGCAAAAATGACCTGGCCAAAAATGATAGCTGAACGAAGTTGCTAATGTGGAAATTTATAGCAGTGAAAAACTGGAGGATCCGGATAAAATCCACGCAATCACAGGGAGAACATGCAAATTCTAAAATGAAGGCGGCAGGGTCGGGAATGAACCCAATACCTACTTTATACTTCCTCACCACCATGGCGCCCCTAACAAGGTGGTAACAAGAGAGTATTTCAGGAGCTGCATTTAGCCAAATAAAAGTGATGGATATTATGAGCAGCCATTGGTAATTAAAGGCAGCTGCCTGGATTGACACCCAGGTCTTAGCGGTACCAGCTCTGCCCTCAGAATTGAGTCATCTGGCCGCTTGGCTATTTTAATCTTTAAATTGTATATCGTTTTCCCTTTTTCAAGCTTCCAGATGGCAGATGCCTGGATGGTACAAAACAAAGGGCACAAGCATCGGTGTGTACGGCAAGCGGCGATTGTCGCCAGCCCATACCTTGCACGCCGCGCAGCAGCAGTCCCACGCTGCTCTGGTAGTGGTTGAAGGCCCCCTCGTAGCGCTCAGCTGCCTCCTCCTCCAGCGCCAGCCGGATCTGTGCGGCCGCCTGCAGCAGGTAGGCGCCCTTTCCGCCGGCGGTGTCGAAGCCGGCTCTGCGCGACGGTGAGCCGCGCACGCGGTCCAGGTATGACGCCGCCTTGGACAGTGGCCCCGTACCGCTGCTGATGCCACTACCACCGCCAGGGGGTGAGCTTTCTGGGAAGGCCATGGCGCCTGTAGCAGGGCTGCGTGACCCACGGTCGAGGCACGCAGGAGCTCCCGGCCTGCTCAGTTCTGACAACACAATTTCAGACAATTGGTTGTAATTTACCATGAAAATTGCGCGTCGCTAAAACGACCAATTTTTTTTTATGCCCGAAATCAAAATTAAATGGTGCATTTTACTGTTTCCATGTAGGATGGCATAAATTACTTGTTTTTATAAAACAAAATAAATTGTATTTTATACATATATATTGCTCCACCGGCATTGAAGCAGTGCTAAGAAGTATGTTTATTGCAGTAATAATTTAATTTGCAAGAGATATAATGGTAGATGGAATAAAGAATTAACTCTCAGGAAAAGCATTCACAAATATAATTATTGTATTTTTTACACCTCTAACAACCACACATGCAATTAGCATTCTGCGAAATTTCAAGGACAACTCACGTTTCAATTAATCTGTGTTCACGTACCAGTTAACATTGGACATCATTTCTAGTTGAACGGAGGCAGAAATCGAGTGTCTTGTTTTCTCGTGAGTGCAATCACATTTGAGATAAAACGCAATCACCTGAAGCCAGCTCTTCCCTTCAAAATACAATAAGCCTGACATTGATGGCTCACTCTAGAATGCCAGGTGAACAAAAGAGAAAATAGCAAATGGAAGCATGCAAATGGAAGCATGCTTAACTCACCTTTTATTTATTTAACTTTTTCCGATAAAACTACATTCCACTTGCACCCTAAGTATCTGTCATGCAAACATTTCCAAAGAACGGCTCCAGAAGAGATGATAATGTAGAATTGCTGATGAATTATTTCAATGGGGGTAATTTAACCATACTTCACCAAGCCCCTCTGTATGGGTGGAAGGTAAGGAGCATAGCTGTAGGAGCATTTAAAATACATGAACACGAAGGCTTTCGCAACCAATCAAACCCAAAAAACTTATGGCTAAAATACATTACTTGGATGGATTTTGCCACATTGCCCTCTGCTGCTCACCACATGGCCCCACAGCCAAAAACACCCTGATGTACAATGTGGTTAACCAAACATCGACGATCCACGCTCAAACCTGCTTCTGTAATCTGATGAGGTCAGGTGCATTCCACATGATTTGGTCATAGACACATACATGATATGAAATGCTAAGGCATTGTGCTACAGCCTAGAGACCATACCTGGAGTCTGAGCACCGGTTCCATCATGCGGCAGCCGAGGGCTCTCACGAGTCTCTGTGGCCGTCCTTCCCGATAATCTGGTCACTCTGGACGCATGCTCCAGGCCATGGCCAGAGTACCAGCCCTGGTCAGTCCCAGGACTGGGACCCGGGCCAAGAGGTGGCACCAGGGGCAGCCACAGGCCGTTGCGAGTCGTCACCCTCTGCAGTGGCGGACAAGTTTGGCCGACGCCTCCCTGGAAGGCAAATGCGGCACACCATGCAAAGCAAAGCTGCATCACAGAATATAATCATCTTCATCCTTGTGTAATAAGAGAGCGCCATCTCCTGGATTATTGTGGGGGGTATATTACTTTATACAGTCTATGTTTATCTATAGTAGGCATTACATCTAGGTGAAAGGTGATGGGGCGGATCCACCAGGGAAGCCTCTGGAACGTTCCCGAAGGTTCCAGGAGGGGCGTGGCCAGAGGCGGGGCTTAGCCTCCGGGGAGTGAATATAAGCCGGGGGCACAGCAACGTTAGGGGTCGGTGTTTGAAGATCAAGAGGAGCTCCCCGTCGCTGCTGTCCTGCCGCCTCCACCTGCCACATGGCGGCTCGACCTCCAGCCGCTCCCTAGCGTGCCGTCACCCAGCAGCGTGTTAGAGAGCGGATGAGCGCCACGTGGCGCGGGGCAGCATAGCCACCCAAGCGGATGGACATCCGCAGAGAGAGCGAGAACAAGTCTGTACCGAAGATTTATTCATAAACAACTTCAAGTCTTTACCGTGTCAGAGCCACTCATTACAATTGCATAGAGATCTATAGACTTAACACTCCTACAAGATCCATAGGCTTACATATTTTTCTCAGCCAAAGGTCAAATTATCGCATGAGGTCAGGGGCGGAGCCAGGATTTTGACTTTGGGGGGGCTCACTTAAATATTCTGAGATATCCAGTGTATGTTTTTCAATGGGAGCCACAAATGTATAAAACAAATTTTATTGGATTTGAACGCGGAGTTTATTAATAGGTCGGAGCCGCTGATGTGGCTAATAAGTTTGATAAGTTCTAAAGGCTGCCGCTCAAGCAGCCTGCAGGGCAGCTCAAGGTGGCATCCAGCATTTTGCAGCAGCCGGATATCCGGTTATCCCGATTACTGACTGCAGCAGCTCCGCCCCTGCATGAGGTCAACTGCTCATATATTCTTTCTACACAAGCTTCTATTCCATGCCTCTTTTCTCATCACATCCACTGTCCTCAAATCTTGTATCAATGCATCCTTCCATCTCACCCTCAGTCTCCCTCACCTTCTGCCCTGCACCGGTGGCATGTGCATAACCCATCTAACCTATGAGTCTGTGTGAGCCTATCGATCTTTAGTCTCCATGGCCCTTAACATTTTATCTTCCTGTCTCTTCTCAACACCTGCCCAAATAATCTCGTCTTCTCTCCCTTGTCTACTCGAGAATATAGAGATGTTTATAACATATTTTTTATCATCCATATTGGTGACCATCAGGCATAACAATTCACCTTCTTTATACAAGGCACTCATGCTTATTCATTTGACCTGAAGCTTCAAATAGATTACAATGGAACATGCTCTGCTTTTCCCAAACATTTCTGGAATGCTATTCTTATCATTGGCTGTATACAGAACACTGACAGTGTCTAGATTAGACTCATCTTGTTTTTTCAAAGATATAAAAAAATGGAAAATAAAGAGCATAGGATTATCTTTGGCAATTACTGAAGGCAGACCAGTATAAAAACGATGACAAAGATATGAGCAAGAGTCGAGTGAAGTACCTGAGAATGAAAAGCAAGATACGAAGGTACTTGCAGAAGAAAGAGTTAGTTCAAAGCATATCATCTGTTGAAACATATGGGTTGGAAACACGAACTCTGACAAAGAACATGGAACAATAGAGCCGAACAGTACACTAAGGAGCACGGAGAGGAGCATGCTGTAAATTACCCTAAGGTACAGAAAAGGGAACACATGGATTGGAGAACAAATGGCAATTACAAGCATAATCTTGATCTTCATGCAGCAGTGAATATAAAGTGAAGTTGATAAAGTGTACAGATGCATTCTTGGAATTACACTGACAAAAATAACATATTGACTGTGAAGAAAAGTGAACTTCGGTATGACTAGTGACATAATGGCAAAGATGGAGATGGAGTGACAAGATTAGCTCATGTGCAACAGGGAGACATTGCGGTGTTACAGGGTGGTGAAGCATGGTGACGACGTGGGAAGGCCTTCGCCCAGCAGTGGAAAGAACATGGTTGATGATCATGACGATATTCAAATTGGAATGTGCGGATTAGTAACCGTGTGTGAACTCCACCTACTTGGAAAAACACACGGATCTCGTGGCTCTGGTGAAGCGTGGAGACCGTGACTGAGAACTGCAAGAGGTCCTCTGCACGCTGGCGTCGCTCCTCAATCAGGCGTGGGTCAAACCGCCCTGCATGGCAGGATCAGCGGGGCGGGAGCGCAACGTTATACACGGCGGGTACCGCGCTTGTCTGCGAGCCCTGTATATCATAATGATCCATGCTCCCCCCCATGCCCCCAGGTCCCAGAAATAAGCTGGTGATCCATACACAGCTGTGCTTCTTCATAAACAGAGTGCACAGAGGGTTGATGTTACTTTTAACAATATAACTCTAAAACAGTTTGTCTATTATCACATTGTATGAACAACAGAAAACCGATGGATGACAATCGATTAATCAATAATTTTCCCAGTTATACTATATACTTCTAGGCACAATATCCTAAACGTCAACCATCGTGCCGGACAACACGCGATACAACTAGAAAACATAAGAGGTTTTTTTTGGGTTAGATCGCGTAAATATTTACGTAATCTAACCCCCAAAAAAAGCCTCGATTATGGATATTCGTCGCGAAGGCCTATGTGTTAAACAACTAGAAAACACATCGCAAAGCAATCAATATTATCTTTCTACCACAGAAATAACTTTTTTTCTCATTGGGCAACAGGGTCCTCAAAAGGCATTCTCACAGAGCCCCAAGCCATTCCAGCCCTTACCCAAAAGCCTGTTTTTGGGGAACGGGGGAAAATCGTCGGCACGCAGCTGCAAAGTGCTATAAATAGCATAAAGGGCCTTGTGTAACCTCTTGATGTCCCGGTAGCGCTTGCACACCTCTAGCTATGAGGGCGGAGGCTCGTTAAGTGGTCACACAAGGGTGAGGAGCAGGGGGGGGGGGGTCGCAGGGAAATGGAACAATGGGAGCAGGAAAAGCACAGGACATGGGTTGGAGGCCAAAATAAAAGGTTACGAAGAGGAAACAGAAAGTAAAGAATGCGTGTTAATTCAGTGGTTACAGATGGCAGTGACAGCACAGTCAAAATTAAGAATATATATTGAATATGAATATTATGGACATGGTCAACAACGCTAAGCAGTTAAATACAAACAAGTAGATTACTTACATGCATGAAAGACGTGCACTGTTTTATGAGTTACTGACGATTAAAACGTTTAACAACAAACTGCATTCATAATAAAAGTTTTTGGGTTAGATCGCGTTTATTTATAAATGTGTCGTAACCCTCCACCACCCGACACGGCCAATCAGCAAAAAAAAGTGTCACGTTGACAAAAGACAAATAATTCACTACTTCAGCCCACTGGTGTGTTGAAGAGTTAATCCACATTTACAGTTTGCGTACGACGTTTCGCTGGTAAATACATCCAGCATCATCGGGCAATTCGCCAGAATGGTAAAGCCCTCGCTTGCTCCCGGTTTTTATATAGAGCAGCAGGGTGACGTCATCACTTAATTCATATCAGGTGCAGTGATTAGAGGCGGAGGGGGGGTATTGCAATTATATAATCGATTAGTAATCAGTCATTGGTTATGATTAGTAATGAGTTGTAGATTAGAAATTCTTTAAATGTAATGTGTATTATTTAATAATACGCTTCCAGGCCGCACTAAGCCGGTAGCTGTCAGAGCGATTAAAGTTATTCTTGTTCCTCTCAATTTCAATGGATTCTCTAATTAGTCTTTGCCAGTAATAATTAGTTTTACACACCACTGCAACATTGTCGAAATCAATTGAGTGTCCTTGTTGACAAGCATGTTCTGCCACTGCCGACAGTTGTGTTTGAGATAATTTAATATTTCTCTGATGTTCTTTTAGTCTTACGCTGATGTTACGTCCCGTCTGCCCAATGTAGCAGCTGCCACATGAACAATTAATCTGATATACACCTTCTGTTGATAGTTTAGGTAATGCATCTTTAGTGCAAGATACTAGTTTTTGAATTTTGTGTACTGTACCAAATCTTACTGTAATGTTTTGCTTTTGCAGAACACGGGCTAATTTGTCAGTTACTCCTGAGATATTACTAATCGATTATATAATTACAATACCCCCCCCTCCGCCTCTAATCACTGCACCTGATATGAATTAAGTGATGACGTCACCCTGCTGCTCTATATAAAAACCGGGAGCAAGCGAGGACTTCATCATTCTGGCGAATTGCCCGATGATGCTGGATGTATTTACCAGCGAAATGTCGTACTCAAACTGTAAATGTGGATTAACTCTTCAACACACCGGTGGGCTGAAGTAGTGAATTATTTGTCTTGTCAACGTGACACTTTTTTTGCTGATTGGCCGTGTCGGGTGGTGGAGGGTTACGACACATTTATAAATAAACTCGATCTAACCCAAAAACTTTTATTATGAATAATATTGGTCGCGAAAGCCTACGTGTTAAACTAACAAACTGCATGTTTTGTGTGTATGGCTTCAGAGAGACGAGGCCAGAAAGGTAAGTATAAACCTCTAAGTTCCCATTGACGTGCCGCATATGGCTGTATGGTATGCGTTGTGCACACGTATAAAGTGAGCTTCAAGGGTGCTTCACCAAGAAAAAGACCACCATTTGAGCTGCCCAGAACGATTTTTCTGCCTGCTTAAGAACTGCAAAAATGCCTTTATAGTTCAGCTGTCTACTTGTTGACCTAAGTGATAAATGAGCAGCAAGTCCAGTACTTTGAGCAAACTTTGAATGGAAAGTGATAAGCTGACACGTTCTCTCTCACACGTGTGCACACACACACACCTTAAAGACATCTTCGGCATTTGACCTTGACACGATCTGTGGATAAAAACACATCTGGGAATTTGACCATAATACAGAGCAATCCACAAGTTTATGCAACAGCTGAAGGCTGTAGTGTTTGCACACTGTACTTGCTGTGGCACTTTCAGATCAGCAGCCATGTGGAGGTTAAGCCCGCTTGCCTCGCTGTTCACAGATACCAGGTTTGACTCTGGTCACTGGTTGCGTTAAACAACTTATTTGAAATATCTCCAACACGTTTCAGTTATAAAGGCAGGGAATTGGGGGAAATTGTCACTGTAGAAATATTATCCAATAGATTTATAAGTAGAAAAATAACCTTGGGTGGACCGATCCCTCCATCACTATCAGGGTAAGAATGCTGTAATATAAATTCTGCAATGGAATATGGTGGATTCAAATGTGAAAACATTTGCAGATATGACAACTTTCTATTTTCAGCAGTCAAAAGATATAAATTAACGGTGACTGCTCCTCGTGCTGCCAAATAAGTTTACCGAAGTGATAACAACTTGCTGGGCCATTCTCTAAGGTGGTGCACTGCCCATTGCGAGAGTTTCACATGGATATTTCTTCCTTTCAACAGGTCAGGAGCAGTGCAATAAAGACACAATTTACAACAACTGACGCATTTTTGTTTGCTCATTCACGAAGCTTAAAAAGTGCCCGGCAGCCCGACACACAGTCTAAGTAGATTTCAAAGAGCCATGTGAGCTGTTGGAATTTTTGCCTTTTCCGCTTGTAAACACAGTGGTAGCTATCTTGGTCTCCCATGGCCACTTGCCACCAAGATGGCAGCGCGTTATGTCACGCGAATTTAGAGGTTCCGAAACTGCATCACTGCAAGCAGGTTGTAGACATTTTCGACTTAATAGCTGTGCTGGTTTTTATCGCTTCTTAATAACTTTTAAATAAACACCAGGTTGGCGGCCAACTTGGTGATCTCCCCCTGCGGGTAACTGACCACCAAGATGGCCACGCAAACTTTTGAGGTGCCGAAACTGCAACACTGCAAGTAGGATGCAGGGCATTCCCAACTTAAGAGCCGCTTGGTTTGTCGTTTATTTGCCTCCTTTTAAATGAACACCAAGTGGCGGCCAACTTGGTGATCTCCCCCTGCGGGTAACTGACCACCAAGATGGCCGCCGCGTTTTGTCACGTGAACTTTGCGGTGCCGAAACTGCAACACTGCAAGTAGGTTTGTGGGGCATTCCCAACTCAAGAGCCGCTTGCTTCGTCGTTTATTTCCCTCCTTTTATAATGAACACCAAGTGGCGGCCACCTTGGTGATCTCCCCCTGCGGGTAACTGACCACCAAGATGGCCACGCGTTTTGTCACGTGAACTTTGCGGTGCCGAAACTGCAACACTGCAAGTAGGTTTGTGGGGCATTCCCAACTCAAGAGCCGCTTGGCTTGTCGCTTCCTTTTCATTTCCTAAATTCACACCAAGTGGCGGCCACCTTGGTGATCACCAAGGGAACTGACCACCAAGATGGCCGCGCGTGACGCGACGCGAACTTTGCGTTGCCGAAACTGCAACACTGCAAGTAGGTTTGTGGGGCATTCCCAACTCAAGAGCCGCTTGCTTCGTCGTTTATTTCCCTCCTTTTATAATGAACACCAAGTGGCGGCCACCTTGGTGATCTCCCCCTGCGGGTAACTGACCACCAAGATGGTCGCGCGTGACGTGACGCGAACCGAGCGGCACGACGACGTGCAACGAATACGAAAACAAAGGCGCGGATTTGTTTTAGTTTACGGGCACAACAAATAGCACTGCACTCAGCGGGGGTAGAGAAGAAAAGAACAACTTGTAATGTCCGTATTGTACACGGCGACAATACCAGCAACGCGTGGTGCTACGTGGCCAAGCCGGTCCACGAGCGCACTGCAAAAACAACAACAAAGACAAAGGTCCCCACAGTCAAGACCGATCTGACTGCTGGGGGCAAGTGCTGTTCGCGAGTAGCACCGGGCACGGCACGGCACACCCGAGGGGGTGGGTGGCCAGTACCACACCCGGCCGCCTTTGTCTCTCTAGTTAGCGATATTTACACGCACACCGCACCAGGAAACTTGATTTGAGGCCGCGTCGACCTAGGGGAGGCCCAGGACCGGTTCCGGATCAATCGTCACTGGTGGTACTGGTGGTGCTGGTGGGCCGTGAGCGGGAATCGAACTCGGGTGTCCGGGTTCGTAGAGCTGCGCGCGAACCGCTACACTTCCGATCCCCATCGTAGCACCACCAGCACCGCATTACAGGGGACGCGGGGACATGTTGTTTATCGCCTGTTGTGATTACAAAAAAAGCGAACTAAAAACAACCCTGACCAACAATTACGTGTAAAAGAGAGGCGCGCGGGGAGGGTGTGGTAGGTGTTTGCTGGCGTGGGTAAATACGTGAGCGGTGACGGCGAAGAGCGAGCGGCCCTTGTCGGAGACGGTGTAGAATCGGGCGAGCTCCCGGCTGCCCCAGTCGCCCGCCATCCCCTCTCGCCGCCGTCGCCGACAACGGTGGTGGTGGGGGTCGATGCCAGAATGTGGAGGAGAAACCTCTAAGCCCGGGTGGTGGTGAGACGGGGGGGTGGTGGTGGAGGGGCGGGTGGAGTGTCGGGGGGGGGGGTGGAGTGTCAGGGGGGTGGAGTGTCGGGGGGGGGTGTCAGGGGGAGGGGTGGAGTGTAAGGGGGAGGGGTGGAGTGTAAGGGGTGGAGTGTAAGGGGGAGGGGTGGAGTGTAAGGGGTGGAGTGCAAGGGGGAGGGGTGGAGTGTAAGGGGGAGGGGTGGAGTGTAAGGGGGAGGGGTGGAGTGTAAGGGGGGGGAGTGCAAGGGGGGGGGGGTGGAGTGTCAAGGGGGGGGTGGAGTGTCGGGGGAGTGTCAGGGGAGGGGTGGAGTGCAAGCGGGAGGGGTGGAGTGTAAGGGGTGGAGTAAGGGGTGGAGTGTAAGGGGGAGGGGTGGAGTGTAAGGGGTGGAGTGTAAGGGGGAGGGGTGGAGTGTAAGGGGTGGAGTGTAAGGGGGAGGGGTGGAGTGTAAGGGGTAGAGTGTAAGGGGGAGGGGTGGAGTGTAAGGGGTGGAGTGTAAGGGGGAGGGGTGGAGTGTAAGGGGTGGAGTGTAAGGGGTGGAGTGTAAGGGGTGGAGTGTAAGGGGGAGGGGTGGAGTGTAAGGGGTGGAGTGTAAGGTGGAGGGGTGGAGTGTAAGGGGGAGGGGTGGAGTGTAAGGGTGGAGTGTAAGGGGGAGGGGTGGAGTGTAAGGGGTGGAGTGTCAGGGGGAGGGGTGGAGTGTAAGGGGTGGAGTGTAAGGGGGAGGGGTGGAGTGTAAGGGTGGAGTGTAAGGGGGAGGGGTGGAGTGTAAGGGGGAGGGGTGGAGTGTAAGGGGTGGAGTGTAAGGGGGAGGGGTGGAGTGCAAGGGGGAGGGGTGGAGTGTAAGGGGTGGAGTGTAAGGGGGAGGGGTGTTGTAACTCGCTTAACCGCCCAATACTGAGGGCATCTGTGGCACACACACAAAAAGAGCTTCACAGCTTATCAGATTCCTCCCTCCAGTCTAAATAAAATATTCTGATCCTTGGGGGCCGGTTTGCACGAACGCCTTGCAGTACACACACACACAAATTATTCGCTTGAGATGTTGCGAACAATTAGCACGCACGCAAGAAAAAATACCCCTCAGCATAATCATCAATAGCCCCGCCACCATAACCAATGATTCATTTTCTTTGGGTCTTTCGGTAAAGTCACGTAGATTCAAAGAAAATAAAAAAACACTAAGTTTTGATTTAAAGCTTTCGTGACTGCAGGGATTCATATTCTTGGTTCTTTCGGTAAAGTCACGTAGAAGGGAAACAATAAAAATATAAATCAATAAAATTCTCACGACGTTTCGACTGCAACACAAGCAATCATCATCAGGTGTGAAAACCACAGCAAGAAAATTTGAAAAAAGTGGCGTTTAAAAAAATATATATTTCATTGTTTCCCTTCTACGTGACTTTACCGAAAGAACCAAGAATATAAAAACACAAAGTTTCGATCACAACACAAGCGGATCGTCATCAGGAGGAAAAAAAAAAGAGTGGGGAAAGCTGCTGAGGCAGACTGTTTTAAAGGTTTAAAATGTGTGTAGCCCAAGGGTAAACCTTTAAAAGTCTGCCTCGGCAACTTTCCCCACTCTTTTTTCCCCCTCCTGCTGACGACGATCGCTTTGCGTTGTGATCGAAACGTCGTAGTTTTGTTATTTTCTTTGAACCTATCTACGTGACTTTACCGAAAGGCCCAAAGAATATGAATTCATGTACGGTAGCCACGAAAGCTTTTAAAGTCAAGATCAAAAAAATAATAATGCATACATTTATGCAAACCGACACACCTGATGACGACCGTTTGTGTTATGGTCGAAACGTCGTGAGAATTTTTATTGTTATATATATTTTATTATTTTATTGCTTCCCTTCAACGTGACGTTACCCAAAGAGCTAAGAATATGAATTACTGCAGTCACGAAAGCTTTAAATCAAAATTCAAGATCAAGATTCAATGATTCACTCGCGGAAGTGAGCGCGCCAAAAGTTTTACGACACCTCACGAACTCCTTTACGGTCATCGCGCTCTCCCGCCCAAGCGCGCGGGGCCTGGATCGATGCTTAATTGTATAAAAGTTAGTTGTCGATATTCGTAATAGATTCCTACGCTCGGCTGCCGCGAATACAAATCTCGCGCGTAAAATCAGAACCGGTTTCCGATTTACGCGCGGGTTATGTCGTTCGTAGCAAGGCGTGCATTTAAATTCTGCGTTGGGTTTGGAGTCTAACCTGAATTTTAAAGGCGAATTAAAAAATCGATTACGAATTTCGAACTGAGTGTGCCTCGAATCGCATTCGGTGGGAATCGACACGAGCTTCGCGACCCTTCTGTTATTTTTGCGACAGTCACGTGGCCGAAGCAACGCGTCAATCGGCTTTACGGTAAACGATTCATAGAGCAGAGGGGAGTTCGAATCCCGGCAGTTTCTTTCGCTTTTATTTAACTTCTCGTTCTCGCGATCATAATACAATTTATACACACACATATACACACATTAACACGTTGGAATTACTTTCCCGTTAAAGATGGGCTTGATGACGATCCTGAAGAAGATGAAGCAAAAGGAGAGGGAGGTTCGCCTCCTCATGCTGTATCCTCTGCGTCAGTGAAGATGATAAAGTGAATGGATAAGGGCGATAAACGCTGTTTGGTGATGGTTATATATATTTGTTTTTATATCTTCTTACGCGTTCAGAAGCTCGGTAGCGATGTCGAGGTTTGCTTGCCACGGTGAGCCGTCCGTAGTTTTGTTATCCCTCCCCTCGTTCCAAGAGCGTCGACTGCCGTAGGATTGTCTTATCGTTTAACAGTAACTGTGTGTCGGATCATATAAGGATAGGTTTTAACCCTTTCTGCGTCAATAAAACGGGTGTCAAAACAGAAACCTTTTGCAAGGAATTACGTCTGCATTAACCACACACACACTTGTGGTGAACGTGCATATTAAATAAAACGCATGTTCTGGTAGTATTTGCATTGTTTTTTTTATACTGACTGGTCCACAGTTTTGTTCGGAGCCCTTGTCAACGCAGACATTATTCATTGCAAAAAGGTTTCGGTTTGGTGTTTTAACACTTGTTTTATTGCTAGAAAGGGTAAAACCTGTTATATTTTGATGTGTCTCGGTCAGTCTGTATACGCCTCTCGGTGTGTCTATATTTGTGTCTCTCCGAGTCTCTTATGTAAGTTTACATTTCTTCATCGTAGTTTTTGGTCTGCATGGGCCACAATCGCGCTACACTGGGCTGTGGCCTCGTTTAATTCCCCCATTCAGGAAGGTCTCCGCGCTCATCGTCCCCCAGATTTCCTCTCGTGCGGTTTGATTGTCCCACCGCCGGTGTCCTCGGCAGGAGGACCGTCAAAGCCAGGAAGGCGGATGCGATGTTTGGGGGGTCTCGAACGGCAGAGGCGTTCACTGATGCAGGACGTCCGCGTTGCTTTCTTCGCCCTGTTCGTCTGGAACGATATTCAGGTGCATGTAACGTGCCGCCCTTTTTCAATCGCACCGCAGGACGAAGGCCTCTCACCCACGTCGTGTCGGTCGATTGACCGCATAGCTCACGCTGATCGATGGGGGTGGTGGGGGGGGGCAGTAGGTTGCGAAGCAGGGCGTTGACGTGGCCCAGCGGTAGCTCGTTTCGCCGCTTAGTTTCCCGAGGTTCAACGGTCGCAATCTCGCGGCCGCCCTGGTAAATACCACTGCGGCATCTAATAAGCACGGTAACACTACGCGCCGTTTATTTCACACTGGACGTGTGTGCCTGCGTGCCTGCGTCGAAAATTACACCCCAAGTGACTCCCCGGGGCTAGGCGGTGGTCGGCAGAGGGCAACCGAGGGGCGGTGTAGCAAATTCTCTCGTCCGTCAGTGCTCCCCCGATGGTTATGCTGCTCTCTCCGTCTTCACCTGCACCGGCCAGGGTGAAATATGGGCCAACAACCCCCATGACCGACACAGCGTGGGGAAGCTCTCATCCGGCAGTGAGTTAACAAAAGGGCTGTAACGTGTGTTCGTGCGTGTAATCGCTCCCTTGTAATTGATTGTGAATATTCTACTTCTGCCTTGTTTTTCTGTATTATTTGTACGACAGTATTTATAATCTGACCCGATTCAAGGGTCAACATCCATTTTGATGGCCGACTTTATTTGCAACTTTGAGAGTTCTCACTGTCACAGACACACAATCCTTGACATCAGTGCAGGGGTCTGGACAATGCGGGTAAGACCACAATTCTGAAAAAGTTCAACGGCGAGGACATTGACACCATCTCCCCGACTCTGGGCTTCAACATCAAAACACTGGAGCACCGAGGGTACGACCTACTCATCTGCAAAGCGATCACCCATCATCAATACTGCTCACCACCTACATAATTAACCCGGCATTGTAATCGAATCTTCATTAGCATCGTTCAGGATATTAATAGCAATATAGATAAGCAGATGAATTGTCTCATTGTCTATAACAACGGAGTCCTTGTCTATAACATCTGCCAGTTCACCAGCATTGTCTCAAGCAACCTTAACTGCTGATCAGACAATGTAAAAGTATTATATATATTTTTTTTATTTTATTGTTTCCCTTCTACGTGACTTTACCAAAAGAACCAAGAATATAATCTTCTTTGGTTCTTTCGGTAAAGTCACGTAGAATGAGAATAAAATAATAAATTGATAAAAGAAAGAACCAAAGAAGATGAATCATTGCAGTCACGAAAGCTTTAAATCAAGAATATAATGTCAAAGCAGTTCAGAGTTTGCTTGTACAGAATCATTGCTGTTGAAATGATATACTTTCCAGAAGAATGCTGGGCCAATGGGTTGTGTAAACATTAACTTTACTACTCTTTGTTTTTTTTGGTAAAGTTACGTAGGTATAAAAATAAATGAAAACAACTAAATTAAATCACGACGTTTCGGAGGCAACACAAGCTTCCTTCATCAGGTGTAAAAAAGCACAGCAAAATAACTGTATAACTACAGTTGTATAACTACAGTTATTTTGCTGTGCTTTTTTAACTGTAGTTATAGTTATTTTGCTGTGCTTTTTTAACTGTAGTTATAGTTATTTTGCTGTGCTTTTTTACACCTGATGAAGGAAGCTTGTGTTGCCTCCGAAACGTCGTAATTTAATTGAGTTGTTTTATTTTTTTACCTACGTGACTTTACTGAAAAAACCAAAGAGTATGAATCCTTGCAGTCACGAAAGCTTCAAATTTAGAATTAACTTTACTGTATATGTGTAGAGACAGTTATATGAAGCAGATATTGTCTGCTCATAATTTGTTTTATAAATAGACGTAGCCTATCGCCGAATCGACCATATCTTGGAAGATAAGCAGATTTGAGCTTGGATGGTGCATGGCTATGTGCCCACCATGCATAAAACAGGTGTTTGAGCATCAGCGGGGATACCTTGTCAGAAGGAGGGCAATGCAAAAAAATCTATTGCTGTATTGCACCACGTCTATGCTTCTTGTCTTCACCAATACGCAATGACCAGCATGGTAAAGCATGGCCATATATAGCTCTCATCCTCACAATCATGGGGGAGGCCGTCATCCAGCAGTGGACTGACACGTATGTGTAAGTTGTGATACCTGCCAAAAAACATAATTAGCGATGTTTTTACTCAAACCCACATCTCCGTTCGCAGGTTCAAGTTGAATATCTGGGATGTGGGCGGGCAGAAGTCGCTGCGCTCCTACTGGAGGAACTACTTTGAGAGCACGGACGGCCTCGTGTGGGTGGTGGACAGCGCTGACCGGCGCCGCCTCGAGGACTGTGGGAAGGAGCTCGCCTCGCTGCTGCAGGAGGAGGTGGTCGATCTGCACGCTCATTCACATGCTCGTCCACACACTCACCCACACACTCGTCCATTGGCCACACACTTACCCATACATTGGACCCCACGCTCACGCACAAGCTCACCCACAAGCTCATCCAAACACCCACACACTCAACCACACGCTTGTCCACATATTCACCCGCACACTCGTCCACACACTCACCCGCATGCTTGTCCACACAATCACCCACACGCTCATCCACACACCCAAACGCTTATCCACACACATCCACAAGCTCATCCACACACTCACCCACATGCTCGTCCACACACTGGACCCCACACTCACCCACAAGCTCACCCACAAGTTCACCCACACACTCGTGCACACAGTTCCACACACTCGCCCACATGCTCGGTCGACGCCTAATTATTTCCGTCTCACTTACCACCGTCTTGATTACATTCGTGTGCAGGGGAGGCATCTAAGAGTTGTGTGGTTTTGACTTTTGTTGGCAGCGACTGACGGGGGCGACGCTGCTCGTGTTTGCCAACAAGCAAGACCTTGCTGGTGCCCTTTCGGCGGACAATATCAAAGAGGTGAAATAAAGTTCCAAGGCCAAATCTAAGTCCCTTGATAATTAATCTTGACTTTGGTTTAGACTCTGCAAAGTTGCTTTATATTATCCCAAGGTATCTAAAGCACGTTCAGTTATCTTAAAATATGTATTTTATGACTATGCTGAAGTGTTGCTACTGTTAATATATTTCTACAAAAATCCTCTTGGGTTTAAGGCTTTTTTGGTCCTTTTCTCATTTTTATACCAGTTGTGCTATCCTGATTATGAGATGAATCAATTTGGTGCTCTCTCAGTATTAGAGTGTGGCCCGGTTAAGCAGATTTTGTAGAACATCTGTTGAGATTCCTTCAAGTGACCTTTTTATCCACACGATGGGCAGCAGCACTTTCACGCATTACCTGCTTCAGAGAGAAATATTCAGCACATGGCAATAAAAAAACCCATTTAAATTGTCGAAGCTGTAATTTGGCCAAATTAAGTTACAAAAACAACTTCCACGGCATGGTTTTCTTGTGAAAAATAAAATTGGTGACGGGGGGGATAAGCACACCAACTCAGAACACGTGCGAATCCAGTTGAACCACAGGTGATAACCCAAATTCTTACAGAGGAATTCAGGAGTGCTGGCTCAATGCTCTGATCGCCTGAACCACCCACCTACTTCTACCACCTCTACAAATGTGTTTTTCTCATACGCAGCAGTTTACAAATTTAACGTGTCCCAACGATTATCTGTCTGCTAGGCGCTGGATTTGGAGGCCATAAAGACCCACCACTGGTGCATCCTGGGCTGCAGTGCAGTAACGGGAGAGAACCTCCTCATGGGGATTGACTGGATCCTAGATGACATCTCCAGCCGCATCTTCACCAAGGAGTAGCCGCAGGCGGCGCTCGCAGAGATTGGCATTGACTCTGGCATGGTGGGCGTGTGGTATGGTGGCGGGGCCAGGTACGAGTCGAGTGAACCGAGCTCCCCGGGAAAGGTGTCACCTGGAGGCGAGGTCATAAGCAGTCGCTCTTGCGCTGTGGAATCGGGATGCTGAACACGTACTGACAAGTGCACTTTTTTGCCCGATTTGTATGTGTATACGTACATCCCTTTTTGTTTTCAATCGCACTACTGGGTGAGATCCTGCCCACTCTGGAGGCTATTTGACGAAACTTTCAACCGCGCTGGTCGGTGCGGGTTGGAGAAGACGCGCAGCATGGGTGTGGGAGAGTACAAATACAATACCACAATTAATTCTGCTGCACTCCACTCTGCATTATCCAGGATGAACTCTGCTTAGTTTGGGTGGAGTCCAGGTGATTTGGTCATAGGCTTTTTGTTTGTTTATATACAGTAAATATGTGAACCTAAGCTGTTAATTGCACAAACCACCAAACCTTAGTAAATTAATTTAGGATTTTCAGTGTTTGTAAACTGGATTTCCGAATAGTGAAATTACTGAAAATGTTTTGCTTTACCTACATTTTTTGAAAGAACTAATTTTGTTTTTGCGCTGCTTAAATAAAAGACGTAATAAGGTTTGCTTATGTATGGCTCTTTTTTTCACGGCAAAATCACAAAATACAATTAAACAGTTTTGCAACGTTTTGGTCCAAAGATTGAAATCCCTATACATGCATTAGACGATATTGTTGATTTTATATATTGTACGCAATTGGTTCACGTAAAACCAGCACCCAAGGATTTTACACTCACTGTAACGGAGGAAAACGAGAGTTTTTTTAACATCATGACCCCAAATTGGCGAATTTCATCCAATCACAAGTGAGGCGAATGTTTTACTTGCCTGGTGCCTCGCTGAGACTCAATTTTTCAGGAGGATCTTGCATTGGAACTTTGTCCAATTCAATCAATGATAGTTTGCCATCATGTAGGAAAACACGCACATGATGGTGAACACGCTCCAGTCTCCAAATAGTACAAATTTCATAGTAAGGCCATTTACTGGCCACTGCAACGGGCTCAACTTCTAAATTAATGTCGTGAAGTAAGGTGTGGTTTCACAAACTGCATTTCATTCCCGCACCGCTGATTAGCACGCTTGGCTACGTGCGGTGCGAAAGAAGTGTAACACACGTACATTTTAGCTTTTGTCAATGCATGCCGCACACCCATTTTCAACACGGCAGCTTTCAAAGAAAAGCAACGCACGAGGGACGAGAATGATTAATGTGCCTACGCCGTAATGACGCGTAGTTGTCTGCTCAAGCGTCGGCCACGACCGCAGGCATCACGGTGGGTTCCGCTCTGACGTCTGGGACCACGTGGGGGCCCTTGGCAGCTGAGAAGCTGCTGCTTTGGCGGAGACCGGCGGCGTCGGCCCGAGCAGCGGCCAGGAGGGAGAGCAGCGCGACCCAGGCTGCTCGCTCGCGGCCGTCGCGTCGCTGAACGTGACTGAGCGCGCCGACGTTGAGCCGCTCTTCCTCGAAGACCGCGGCGTCGCCGTTCCGGCTGTGCCCGTGTCTGTCCGAGCCGAGGTTTTCTGGCTGCTGACCGACAAGTGGGCCGAGCGCGGGATTGAACAGTCTCTGTCTTCGGTGGTTTTAAGCGCCGCTGCAGCCGGCTGTGCCGGTAGCATCGCACGGTGGCTTGGCTTCTCGGTAGAGGGAACCTTTTCTTTGACAGTCACCGTTACTGGACCTCCCTTGCGGTTGACGATGGCACTGCTCGTCGCCCCGACCGACCGCCCGGCGGAGACCGATTTGGCAGAAACGCCCGACGTGGCTCGGGAGAATTTGCCATCCGGCGTTGAGCGGCGGGAAACTGTGTCAGCGTGGCCGTGCTGCGACTGGGACGAGTCGGAGCCCATGACGGCCGAGCCGACGGGTGTAAGGACGCCCACGGTGGTACGGAACGTGTGCAGCACGCGGTCGGTGCGCTGGCGCTCGCTGCGTTGCCGCCGCTCCTCCTTCCGGATGAGTGTGCGCGTGTCGTGCACCAGCTTCTTACGAGTGTCCACGAGGCTTCTGAAGGGACCGGTGGTGGAGGGGGGGGGACCATGGGTTTCACAACAGTGGATGAATGTGTATGAAGATTGCACTAAAAAGTTGATTTTTAATATTGTAAAAGTTCACGGGCAAATGTGCGGCCCCTGCAAGTGCTTGCTCATGCCATTGTTGGCGGAAGGGCATCTACTCATAGGATCTCTAGAGAATCCCGTTATATATTTTGGCCTACTCTTCCTCACTGGCCCGACGTCTTGGAAGAGGTGGGAGTCCCCCACACTTTACCCCACCACATGTAACCTGCCAGTTGACTTAAGCTTAAACTGCTGGATGCGATAGAACATTTTTACATTATAAATGCTGCAAAATGCTTGGGCTTTTCTTCACGGCTATATTTGGGGTGGCCCAAAAGTCAGGACAGGGTTATTATGTTAATTGTATATCAAATGCGCTTGATGGAGTCTTGCCATGAGATTGAGAAATCTTTGCTTGGAACTCGCTCAGGAAACAGTGGAACCATGGCAATCAAATAGCTGTTGGAGAAGATGCCAATGTTTGAAGTCGTAAAGTGGGAGGGGAGGTGGTGCAGATGGGGCATGTCTGCACCGGGCCTCTGAAAGGACAAAGGGGGGGAGACGTGGGAGACTTAATCTGGCATTTTACATTCGTCCTCCCAAAAAAACATTGGTGGTTAATTCTTCATCGGGGCATATGCAACGGCACGCGCATGTCTCTCCGCGCGTTTGGCGGAAGCCGCGGGTCTCGCCTGTAGTCAATGCGGCCATCCTTGTCCCTCTCCAGCTTCAGCATGAGCTCGTCCAGATGGTGCTTGTCCAGGGGGATGCTCAGGTGCTGCAAGGTCAGAGGTCAAACCTGTGGTCACCTTTTTCTTTTAAATAGATGTTTATGGTTGTTTCATCCAAATATTTTGTTATGAAAACTACAACACCTGTTTTATGCACGGTGGAATACCTGTAAATTGCTGCACACAAAACAGACGGCTTCGTGAACATTTATAATATATACATATATAATAGCCACGCACAAACATTGATGTGGGTGTGGGCGGTTACATGGCCAGAATAGGGTTAGGGTGTGCACTATGTGGCAGGAGCTGCCAAAGTATGGCCAGAAAGGCAATTCGTTTTTACGAATGTACTATACACTATATATGTTCCATTGTATATATTATATCGCTGAATATATTATATGTGACAGATATGCGAATTTGTATTGTATATACTGTACTTAAATTATGGTATTCGGCATTGTCTCTCCAAGGTGGTGGCAGGGCACGCTCACGCACGCACGCACGCACCTGCACGGCTCTGCGGAAGTCGTCGCTGGAAATCTTCATGGTGCCCTCCTTGTCGGCGGAGCGAAAGAAATCCCAAAGCCGCAGTTTGTGCTCCACCAGGTAATCCTGCAAGTCATTGCGGCAAGGAGACGGACTTCACTCTGCAAGTTGGCGATAGACCTGGGAGGCGTGGGTTCTGTTACAGCAGTAATTGTCACAATTTGTAATTACGGAACAGGATTTAGATGGCGTGCCCAAAGCGCCTTAACGTCGCATCTCATCTCAACCATTCCTATGCCCTGCTGCAGTAAAGCCAAGGGGGACCCCCAGTGGCAGCTGTCCCTGTTTGGCAAAAGGTGTATGCAGCACCAGGCTGCACGTGGGTATTAGTCTGCTGGTAGGCGGCGATATTACGTTGTGGTCTTTCCCAATTAAGTAACAAATCGCAACCACACTGTAACTGTCATTGCAGCCTGCAATGCTGCTGTAAATCTAATGGAACAGAAGATGAAATGTGTGCAACAAAGCAAGGAGAGTTGCGTTCTTGAAATTACACTGAGAGAAAGGAATGAGCTTGGGAAAGACATGCAAATCGAAGGAATGATGATCGGTGGTAAAGACGAAGAGCAGAGCAGCAGCCAAAGCAGGAAAAGCACTTGGGAGGAGATACAGCGATAAAATCAGTTAATATGCAGAAGCCAGATGGGCCGTTGAATCACAATACCGCGTGAGACGGTAACAGCTTAAGGGACTTCATCCAGCAATAGATGAAGGGTTGTGATATTTTAACACTTAGAGGATAAGCTTCAGCAGGTCAACTTCCATCTCCAATTGCTTCATCTCTCAAATTGATGAGCCCTTGATCAATTATTTATATTACAATAATAATATCTATAGCTGGAACGATCCGTTGTTCGATCACGGCTGCTGATGATGGTGATGACGGTGACCACGATGTAAAGCTGGCGACGTGAAGGGAACCATGCGTGGGCGCCCTGTCGTGCCTGAATGAGCTTCATGGGGTCCGTCCGGGGTTTGGGTTTCCTCGCCAGGGGCCCCCCGACCCCCGAATGCAGAACCGTGAGGCCCTGCGTGCGCCGGATTGCCGACACGGTGTGCAGGAATCCCTGGTTCACACGCACCGTCTGCACAAGATCCAGGTTCGATTTAACACAGTACATACAAATCGTGATCTGATCCCATCTGTGAAGGATGTGATCCCTGACATGCAATACCCCGGCGTCTACTAACTAAGCTGTGTCTGCGGCAGTAGTTACATTTGGGAAACTAAGCGACATGTCTCGGACCGTGTTCGTGAACATAAGGCAGATCTGAAACACGGTAGGATCAATACCTCGGCCGTGGCTGATCATTGTTTTAATGCGGATGCCTCACACGGAATTGATTTCTCTAAGACGAAGGTACTTTGCAAGCCCACTGGCTATCAACAAAGATTCGTTCATGAAGCCACCTATATATATAGACACAAACACAATTTCAACCGAGAAGATGGGTACAAATTTAGCTATCATTGGAAGGACGTTATTAGCCAGTTTAAGTCATAATTGGCTATGATGTTGCCATCCTACCACCTTCCGATGTTAGTTGTGCTTTACGCCCATTTCAAACTTGCGCTTTCACAGGGTTCACACTCACACAGCCACTTCGCGCGCCGACCCCTTAAGGCTCTGCGATCTTCCATTAACATGCTAATCTCTCTTTAACACGCTAATTTTCACCTGGCAGCCCTTTGATTGGTGGAAAACCAACCACCGTCGGGTTGGCTGCCCACCACTTACATTATCATTGGCTGCTGACATTTGGGCTACGCCCATTTCAAACCCTTATAAACAGTTTATCTTTAGAAGCTAACCCCCCTTTTCCTGAAGACGACCGCCTGTGTTGCGATCGAAACTTAATAGTTTTTGGTTCTTTTGTTGTTATTTTCTTTGAACCTATCTCCGTGACTTTACCGAAAGACCCAAGAATATGGCGACCCTGACCTCGTGCAGAAATCCACAAGATTAGCTCACTCTCCTCTGCTTGCTACCGTCGTCTGAAATTCCTGTCACCCAGCCGTCCGTGCTGTCATATCCCTGCCACCGTTCAAGTCCAACCTCGAGACCTTCCACATATCCTCTGCGCATTCAACCGACGCTGCCTCTCCATAAAATATAAACTGTGCCACTGATTCTGTGATGGCATCTTGAGAAGCGGTCGCATTGAGAGGCATGGAGGGGTGGAGGTGTAGCAACGATATTATTATTAATAATAAGTGATGGTACTCACAGACATGTCAAGCCTCTCCAGCGCAGAGTGCTCGTTGACCTTGACTGCTTTGATCAGGACGAGGGCTCCCTCCACAGTGAAGATGTTGAAGCAGAGCTGAGAGATACGCGTGCAAAAACACGCTCAAGCTGAACCCAGCCAAAACCTGATCAATTTATGGAATCTTCTGAGCTATCGTGAGTTGCATCATCATCATCGTCGTCGTTCTTGACAGCTCTTCGTTGTGTTTTCGGGTTGTGCCGCGTGTTGTTCGGCACAATGTCCGGCGTTTCGCTACGTGCTAGGAAGCTCTTTCATGAACTGAACAGAACTGAGAGCAAACCTCCCCCTTCACCAGCCCACCATAACCGGTGTGATGAAGCTCGGTCCAAGGGATACTTCATCTTGCAGTGAACTGACAAAGGGCTGCAAATTGTTATTTTCAAATTATTCAATTGCTAAACTCGGAGTAACATACGAACCGTAATGGCCGGACCACACAAAACGATATACTTTTTTACGAGAACACACCGCCCCCTTGTTGGGAAACCCCCTCCTCTCCTGCCAGGGATTCTCCACTGCTGGCCTACTACCTGCAGCACCCGGAGACTGTCGTTGGTGAGCAGGCCACGCGCCAGGGCCTCCATGCCGGTGTTGCCGATGCGATTGTTGCGCAGGTCGAGGTGGAGCAGGGCCCCGTTGAACTTGAGAGCCTCGGCCATGGCGAGGGCGCCCTCGTTCCCGAGACCGTTCACGGACAGGTGGAGGTGGGTGAGCGCGTAGTTCACCTGGGTGGGCACCGAGCGGAAGGGGGAGGAGGGGGGTAGAGGGAGCCAGGTCGAGCCATTTGGGGCGCATGGCCCTAGCAAGGGCCACGGCGAGGGCGCCCTCATTCCCGAGGTCGTTCACAAAGACAGATGGAGGCGCATGAGCACGCAGTTCACCTGGGCAGTCGCTGAGCAGGGGAGAGAGGTAGAGGGAGCTGCGTTGAACCAATCGAGAAGGCGCGTGGCCCCTGAAAGGGAACTTGATGGAGCCACTTTTTTTTTTAAACGCGATTAAAAAATTTTTTTTTAGGAAAATGCTTTCATCTACGTACCACGTATTATTTTTATTGAATTAGAGCGGTAACGTAATATTGCAAAGGGGTACTACGGAGCCGTAGCGGCTGCATTTTGCGAAGACGGAGCGCCCCGACAGCATTAAATGTTCGAGACCGTGAGCGTCACGATGCGATTAGGCGAGAGCCGCCCACGCTATATAACAGCCTGGGTACGACCGTGCGAGGCCAATGAAATATTTGGGGCCCCACTTGACCGATTGCCGCACCAACCCCCTGAGCCGATAACGCAGTTACTACGTCGCTGCCAAGAACGCGTGCAGTTGTCTAACTCAACACGACGGTCGTCGGCGCAGAGCACGTTTGAAAAGTGTGTCGGGAGTGGGGCGGGGGGCGTTGCACGGGGGACAGCGCTGGCGGAGGGCCTCACACGCAGGCCGGCACACAGAGCCACCGCGCCCTTGAGCCGCAGGTGATTCCAGCTGAGCTCCAACTCCTCCAGGGTCTCGTTGTGCGCTGCACGAAAAAAATTGCATCAAGCGAAGGCAAACGCTGAAGGGGGGTGGGGGGGGGCGTATGCCGGTCTCCTTTGATTTCTTTTGCTTCATTGCTGTACTACTCAATGTGTTTTTGTCATTGATGTTAATCCGGAGACTATACTGGTTGAGCAAAATAAACTTTCAACTTGAGGTGGATTTATCGATAAAGCAAAATACGCCGGCAGCGGCTTCCTTCTTCAGCACTGACAGAGTCCCATCGACTCACATCGCGATCTGTAGACTCACAAATAGACTTACGCAGAGAGTCATGGAGTGGCATAGATGCCCATAGTCGCATTGAAATGCACAGATTCATATAGCCCCCCATAGAGCCAAACGGGACCCCATTGTCTAGGATGTGCCGGCAGTGGATTCATCATCTGCGCTTTCTCTACCAGATGGGCACGTGCAGCCCACGTGGCTTCCCAGAGGAAATGGTGCATCATCATCATCATCACCTCCGATGAGCGCTGTTGGCTAATTATGATGCGAAGGAAGTTCAAAATACGTACACAATCAATCGGCGATTCAGTAATCATCATCTTTTCAAAGGCCCTTTGCCACCTAACCTGGCTGTAAGAGACACTTACCTAACAACTGGCCCAGGTGTTCTCCTCCCATCTCACTGAACTCGTTGTGGCTTAGGTCCAGCTCCTTGACGCTGTAATTGGACTGAAGGAGAAGGAATGTGAGGAGCACGGCGTCAGTCAGCACCACGTGCAGATCCAATGTCACCGGACTTGGAACACGGCCAGTTACAAGTGTTTGAAGTGGACCGCGTTAGACAAAAGCCAACGACACGCCACACTCAAAACCTTCCGACACAGGAAACAATAATCAGCCGTAAAACTGCTGCAGAAGAATAGGCCATGGCAACCGTGGTCACCTCCTGCATCAAACGAAGGACGGTCCGCAATGTGGCTGCTGCGGTCACCAGATCCAGACCGTGGATCACATGATCAGAATCGATCATTTTTTGTTGATGCTGGAGGAATCCGATAAGCTACAAAGCTCTTTTTCACAGATGTCCAGCACGTGATCCCACACTGCCCCCCTGCACTGCCGATTCACGAGCAGTATCACCGCAACATTCACCAAGCCTCCGCATAGGGTGCCGAGTGGCTTAATAACCTCAATATACAGAGACAAAGAGCCCCTGTATAGCATTAACAGAGTGTAGGAGCAAGTGCTGTTAAGCGACTAGCACCTATGAAGGCTGGCATGGCACACGAGGTGGTGGGTGGCTAGCACCACGCCCGGTCACCTTTGTCTCCCTAGTAGCGATGTTTACACACTGCACCAGGTACTCATTAGAGGCTGAGCCGACCTAGGGGAAGCCCAAGACCGGTTCAGATAATCCTCACTGGTGTCGATATACAAGCACACTCACAGACATAACATTGCAAATTCAAATTGGAATCGAAAAGAAGAAGACTCAAAAGATAAAATGGTCCAAAATAAATTGTGATAATCAGGGATACGGCCTTATCAGGGATTGTGAGAATAACTATCTTTTCGCAGTCACCCCTTTTTAACAAAAGTATGGTGTAGGTTTGAGTATGGAACAATGTCTGTGTTGTCGAGGATAGGTGAGAAGTACCTATACCCATTACCACTATGAGCGATGATAACTAAAACACAAGGATATGTAGATGTTTCTGTACACCCAATGTAACACTGCATAGAAGACCATGGCCGAGGGACTGATGCAAATTCTCACGATGTTCTAGAACGGCTGATATTTGGTGCAAATGTAGCGAAGACTATGGTTACGGCACAAACAATCTAACTGTAGTTTTAGGTCGATTGGATTTACTCACAGGGAGGGCTCAGCCTCAAGCTCTACGTGGCTCTACATCTCACGCTAAACACTTACACGCACGCTCAACTGCCATCGGCGAAACCAAGTGATTCTCCTCCCGTGGAGCGCGATGCTAGAGGCGCGTTAGAAAACGTGGCTCGCATGCCCTGCGTGTGCTCGGCATACTCACGGACATCGCGTCGGCAAGACACTTCACGTCGTTGTCCTTAAAGTGGTTTCCTGAAGGAGAAAAAGAGGAAAAACATTTATGGTAATAATCCGATCCAGTGATCGACTCATCTCGTCTCTATTCCCCTCCACGCACTCCCCCCACCTCTGCCCTCTCATCTCGCTCTACTCCCCTCCACACACTCTCTACTCCAGCCACCAGTCAACCTTTTTTTAAGTGAAAGGTGGGTGGAGGAGGCTGGGAGGAGCCAGAGTGGAGGGGGGAGGTGTACGGGTGGAACATGAAGAAGTGGAGGTCCAGGAATGTGGAGAGGTGGATCAGTGGAGGTGTGGAGTTGTCAAGGGATGGAGAGGTGGAGGGGTGTAGATTTGGGGGTATGGAGGTGTAGAGGGATAAGAGGGGTGGAGAGGTGGAGGGGTGGAGGTGAGTTGGTGTTTCGGACCGGACAGGTTGATGACCCGCAGGCTGGTGGTGTCTCCCAGCATCTTAGCCATGGCTTCTGCCCCCGCAGCCTCCAGGCGATTGTCTGCCAGGTCCTGCAGGAGACACAGACAGACAGATTCATAGCCGTGGGGAGGCCCTCATTGAGCAGTAGATCGACGAAGGGGCTGTACGCTCCTCACCAAGACCTCGATGCAGCAGTTCTTGGTGAGCATGTCGGCCAGGTGTCGCGCCGCCTCCCCTGTCAGGAAGTTGTCTCTGAGCTGCAGGTGACGCACCTGTTGGTCTGCCTGCCACACACGCGCACAGGTGGAGCCAAATATCAGCATCTCCAAGATCAAAAAGTCATGGCGAGAACCATTTGGATGTCACCATCGCCAGAGCTCACTCCCTATGCTTTCTACCCTCCGCCAGATCCCGCGGCTGCTGTACGATAGACTCACAACCTTGAAGACCTGCCCCTCACAGTATCTCATCATTAGCACGGTTGGCTATGTACGGTGCGAAAGAAGTTCAACATGCATACGTACATCATCTGGACCCATAGATTCGCAGAGACCCACAGACTCACTCAGCGACCTACAGACTAACAGAGAATATAAATGACAGCTGTCTGTATTTTTCCGTTGCAGAGAAACGGGTTGCATGTCAGTGTTAATACAATTACGTTTTAGTCCACCTGCCTATTCGCTTTCGCATTCTCCAGACCATCTGTTCTTCACTAATTTTCAGAGGGTGGGCCACTTTCGCCGATAAGACATCATCAGCCTGAGGGCCGCCACACATTTGAAACAATTGAGGGTTTGACAGCACGATGATGGTGAGGGGGGTGTTTTCACAAATGTGCATTGTCAAGGGCCGCACTAAAGGCCACCAGGGGCAGCCAGTGGGCCTCAGGCCTTGCAATAAAGAACACTGCCCCACACCGATATTATCCAGCAGCATTGGCGTTGGCCACACTTGCGGAGATTGCGTGGTCAGGAGAACTCTCACCACCAGCGCGCAGGAGAGGGCCCTGGCCTCCTGGGGCCCGAGGCCACGGTGGTTCATGGACACGGTGGAGGAGGTGAGGGCCCGGAGCAGGGGCGAGCAGGCCACGACGCCGAGGCGGCCGCACGCCCGCCGGTACTCGCGTACCGCCGCCGGCCCAGCCTCTGCACCAGCGCACGCAGGTACCGCCTTTCATTGCAAACTCAACATCGTTGTCATCATTCGCGTTTTGTGGTGAATATGAAGAACAAAATCGACATCATAATTGGCGTCGTTGTGGCGAGTATTAAATACAAAATGAAGCCTCACCTATTCTCGATTGCCCATTCGCCTCCTCTTCCCCTCCCTTCGCCCCTGCACCCCCCCCCCCCCCATCCCTACCTCTTCGTGATCCCTAAGTGCGGTACCCTCGATCGCGGTCACTCATTCCTCAATCCTTGCACGCCCCTGTCAGCTAATAATAACAGGGGCTTGTACGGATTGGTTGACTACGTACGGTGTGAAAGATGTTCAACGTACATGCATCTAATCGTTCTATTCTGTCACCGTTTTTTTACTATGTCAAGATAAACAAGCATAAAATACACCTCCTTGTATTGTATCATGTATTTTATAACCATATCATTATGTGTGATATAGTTTTGCATTTAACTAGGACCCATATCGTAAAGAGAGGGTCATTTGCATGTAAGATTGGCAGTTCACCAGCGTTGCTTCGAGCAAGCCTGACGCTGCTGATGAGACGTTGCGCGTCGAAACCGGGTCCAGAGTTTTGCCCGTCTTGAATAAATTCTGCTGAAATGATGCACTCCCAGAACGGGAGGCCGCGCGGCCGATGGCTCGCGTAAGAAACACGTTCATCCTTCACGTGCAGAGACGGGTTATATGTGAAGGAGACATTGCTTATTTATTTGGTCACACTTACGTCACGTGTCACCTCCGTTACAAACGAAACGTATAATAATCAATCATCATACTGAGCGTCAACATCAGACATGATCTATCCACTGCTGGATGAAGTCTTCCACGAACTCATCACTCCCACCTCCGCATTGGACCGCATGCCATATCGGATGTTTCCCCCCCAACTCCCGCTGCCACTCTGTCACTCGTCTCCACAAATCCGACCGCAGAGGCAAGTTGTGTTGTTGTGATCGCGCCACGTGTCAGCGTACCTGTCGAATCCTTTTCGCGCACGTGGTCGGGCGGCTGGTCACGTTCCTGCTCGCGCACCTGGGTGGGTGGGTTGCACATTGCGGTCGAACAACTGGTCATGCACCTCACCAAAGATCCCCCGTATAGCCTTAACAGACTGTAGGGACAAGTGCTGTTAGCGAGCACCTATAAAGGCCGGCACGGCACACGAGGGGGTGGGCGGCCGACACCACGCCCGGCCGCCTTTGTCTCCCTAGTCGCGATGTTTACACACCGCACCAGGTACTCATTTGAGGCTGAGTCGACCTAGGGGAGGCACAGGGACCGGTCATGCACCTCACCACACACACACACACCTGGTTCCAAAGCTCAACAAACTCCTTATCACATACCTGGCCACGCACCTGGGTGTGTTCCTGGTCAGAGACAAAGATCGCCTCCCCCTTCCACCAGTGTAACAGACTGTCGAGGTATTGTGAACGAACACCGCTTAAAGGTCTGAACGACGCACGAGCGGTTTTGGTGATGGTATCGCGCTGCATCTTGTTGTGACTGTTTCACCTGAAGGCGGAAGCTTGTGTTGCCTCCGAAACGTCGTGATTTAATTGTTTCCTTTTATTCTTATTTTACCTACGTGACTTTACCGAAAAAATAAACAAAGAGTATAAATCCTTGCAGTCAAGAAAGCTTCAAATCTAGAACCTTTGTCTGCCCACCTGGTGTTTACACATCGCACCGGGTAATCATTTGAAGCTGATAGGGAGGTGCAGGACCCGAGATCTGATACCACTGTAAGGAATTCCACTTTGACACCACCTTGCTACTGATGTTAGCCGTGGCCGGGATTCGAACTTGGATGGCGTTGGTTTGTAGTGCAGTGCGCTAGCCACTGCGACATCGCTCCTCCACTCCGCATGCATACAAATGTGAAAACACATTAATCCACATATATAAGCATGTATATACAAAGACAGAGATCCCCCGTATAGCCTTAACAGACTGTTGGGGCAAGTGCTGTTAGCGAGCACTTATGAAGGACAATCATCATAGTTCTAATTTCAAACACGACACACATCCTGTTACAACACGCGGCCAATGCCACGGTAACGAAATTCATCTCAGCACGGAACACAAAGGCTTACAACCACACATCCGCGCCTCCGATGAGCGTGGTTGGCTACGTACGGTGCGAAAGAAGTTCAACACATACATAGTGCGAATCGCGCAGTGCGCTAACCGCTGCGCCACCGCTCCCACTCAACACGCTCCAGGTCGCACACACCGACCTGGTCACTTTCCGTTTCGTCTGCCTCCCCGCTCAGTCCTTGATCCATCGCGTCCTGTTCACACTTACAAACACACACACACGCACACACGTGTGTGGTTCGACACGATGCCCGACGTTTCGCCGCACGTCCTCGGAGTTTCCCCATCGCGCGATTTGAATATTCCGTTATTCGGAAGTTCCCAGCGCGTGGTTGCGAAACGTCGGACATCATCATGCCGAATAGCACGCGGCACAACCGCGAGAACCCACAACAGTGACACAGTTGTCCTTTATCCATCACACAATGAATGGCTCATCCAGTGCTATACCCAATGGCTATCGAGTGCTATATTAACACGTGTTTGTATATACCTATACTGAGTCTGCACTTAAGCGTGAAGATACCCGTATGAGGAATAAATAAATACCTATATACTCTTCACCTTACCTGCTGTGTTTGAAATCCACGTCAGCGGGTGTAATTATAGGACGAGAAATTGCGCTCGGGTCTCTACCCCACTGTAAGGGCACTCCTCAAGTGTCTGCCCTGCCGGGCAGCCAAGGTAACGAACGACACAGGCACCTCCTGGGCACACAGAGACAAAGATCCCCCGTATGGCCTTACAGACCGATACAGAGGGAGAGAGGGCAGCGTGTTATGAGCTGTCACCTATTAAAGCCGGGATGACGCACGAGGACACGGTGTAGACAGCAAAAGACGCCCGGCCGCCTTTGTCTCTTCTCACGCTGGCTGATGTTTGCACCTTGGTTCTTATTTGAGAGGCTGAGTCGACTGAGGGTGGATGCCGCAATCATTCCACTGCCGTGGCGGCAGGATCGGTTCACGCTTTAGCCGTCGCAGAGAATTTAACTAAGGTGGACCGGGTTCGTAGCGCAGTGAGCTAACCGCTACACTACCACTACCCCCCCCCACACACAAATACAAAGACCCCCCCCGCCCCCTTATGGCCTAGACAAACTGTTGGAGCAAGTGCCGTTAGCGAGCACCTATGAAGGCCGGCAGGGCACACGAGGGGCTGGGTGGCCAGCAGCATGCCGACACGCACACACACACCGCACGCCACTAAATAATTCAGGAGAGTGTAATCCGATCTTTAACAGTCGTGGCTTGTGTCCCAAGAACACCACCGGAGCGCCCTAATTAATTGATAGCCGAGGTGGCAACACGTGGCATTTGGTTGCACCTGATGCGTTAATTGGCCACTGTGACACACCGGGTGTTTGACGTGGCCAATAAACGCGCGGTGCGTAACGGTGAAGGCGCAGACCCGCAACTGCCTGCTCATGCCACTCCACTCGAGGGAGCTCAAGAGAGGGAGCTCTCGACTCAACAGAGCCCCCTCTCGAGGCTACATTGGCCTACTCTTCCACACTGGTCAGACGTCTTGTAATAAGTGAGAGTACCCACACTTTACCCCACTACACTGCGACCTCTATCGATCGAATAGTCTCGCAAACAACGACGCATAACACGGACGCAAACCCATGCATTGTTCAGAGATTTTCACACCCAATTTGGTTTTAGCCTGCTCCAAAAAAATTAGGACTAACAGCTTATGAGTTTAATTTCAACCAGGGATAATATCCTGGTCGGAGACCCGCAAAATATTTCTGCACCCGGCACACCACGTTCAGTATACTTCTCACTACGGCTGTGGCTACGAGTCTACTGCAGTCGCCCGGCGACCCTGGTGGAGAATCCTGCAGCTATCTACTTAAAACCATGTCAAGCTTAATCCTCTAAGTTGTGGCCAAATCCATCACAAATAAATTTTTTTACGAAGGATACTTAAGAGCGATTATACAAATCCCGCGCATCCGATCAGCACGGTTGGCAACTTACGGTGCGAAAGAAGTTCAACATATACGTACAAAATGGAGCTCGATATTATCGGTCTGGAAAACCAACACGCCGATGGACTTGGCAAAAAAAAATGTGGAAACGCAGAACGAAGTTGCACTTCAATTTGCTGGGTTTTTTTTACGCGGGGGCAGAAAATGCGAACAGCCGACGCCATGCAAAGAATGAGCCGCCTTGTGGCCCAGAAGAGCGATTCTTGGAAAGCGCGGCTGTCTGTCTGCTTGCAGCCCCGAGGGGGGATGTGGGGGTGCCGCCCTAATAAGTTCCCCCAGCCCGTCTCCTGCATGTCCCATTGATGCCGCACGCACGCGCCCCATTGTCGAGGCTCACCGTTTTGGCGCTCGCTCAGCAGACGCATCCCATTAGCGGTGAGTAGGGTGGAGGGGGTGGCACGGGGCCAGCCTCGGATCGCTACGGCACAAGGCGCCGAGTCATCAGTGCCCTCAGTTCGGAGGTTCTCGATCGCGCCGTCAGATAAACACAACGCGGAGTCGCGTGACTCGCGTGGGGACAGGGGTGGTGCCTTGCTCCCCACTCCCCCCCGGTGGCCAAAATTACGAGTTTGGGGGGGGGGGCTTTGACAACCACCATGACATCTGTTATCAACAACAGTGTAAAAGAATAACGCATCTCAAACGCGGTATAAATGTTCGAGGCCGTGAGCGCAATCATGCGATTAGGTGAGAGGAGCCGCGATACATAGACTAGGTACGACCGTACGAGACAAGTAAAATATTGGGACCACACCTGACCCATTGCCGCACCCCCTGAGCTGACAATGTATTCACTACGACACGGTTTTAGAGGTGGATGGGTGCGTCTGCGGTCTGAGCGCCGCGATCCCTCTGCCATAAAGAAGGGCCATTGCCCGAAACGTCACCTGTTAGATATTTGTTGCTCTCTTGGAAAGTGTTGTTGACCAGGTAACGCCCACTGAACGAAATAGCTCTTTTTTCGCAAGCGACCTGGCCGTAAATAATAATAGCTTAACGAAAGTGGGTTATCAGGTGGAAAATGTTAGCAGCCAAATACTCTTAAACCCACGTTGTTTCTAAATGTGGAGGGAAAAACCGGAGGACCCTGAGAAAAATCCACACGACCACATGGGGAGAACACACAAACTCCCAGTATATCGGCATCAGGGTCTGGATTGAACCCAGGACCAGGCGAGGTAGTAAATATTTCAGTACCGTGGCGCCCAAAATGTTATTTTATTTGCTATTTGTGCTGGTCCATCGCTGCCAACGCTGGCATCCGCCGATATCCGGGGTTGGAATCGGGGTTTCGGCTGCCCGTCATTAAACACCGTGGCTCAAGTGCAGCGAGACGATGGCCTCAGCCCGGTCACCAATGACTGTACGAACAATTAATCGTAAATTGTGTTCACTTGATTTGGCTCCTTCAAACTCTTGAGAATTAACACATTTTTAGTTTGACAAACGAATAACACTTTACTCTTTGGTTCTTTCGGTAAAGTCACGTAGGTAAAAACATTAATAATAAATCACTGCTTTCATATATTTTTTCTACCCACCTGATGTCGGACGCTTTTGTTGCGCCAGAAACGTCGTGATTTAATTTATTTTATACCTACGTGACTTTACCGAAAGAACCAAAGAGTATGGATTCCTGCAGTCACGAAAACTTCAAATCAAGATTGAATAACACTTCGTACAGGTCATATAAAAGGTGTGCCCTCTTATTATGGGTCAAGAGGTTTTACTGGAAGTGACCTCGGAAGCAGTTCCGCAACAAACTTTTCTGGGGTCGCACTTCCAACACAGGGTGGTGGCACCACCCTCTACCATCCATAACTCCGAATGTAAATTCCTTTGCCTCGGCACGTCACCGATGGCACAACCTGAAAATACGTTTTGGGGTAAAGCAGCCACAGCTCTTGAAATCTCATTTAACGTCGCTTTTATTTTTTATTGGAAAATAAAGGAAACAACCAAGAGAATAATCAAGAAACATTATAAAAAACAAAGTGTAAACTTTTTTCCCTCACGAAAAAACATTTCACAAATTTATTCGTCAAAGGAACGGTCGATAAAAAAAATTCCAGACGGCAACAAGGAGCTGCGTCCAACGTGGGTTTTGAAATGTCCCTTTAGTCTTGACACCGTAGTACTTATAGTGAATGGTTAAATATTTGTATTTTTATTTTACGAGTTATATTTTGTTAAGAGAATGAAAGACACACAACTAAGGGGCAGTTCAGTTCAAGCTGAACACAGCTCTCTCAGCAGTTATGACGAGTGCTCATATTTGTTCATTTCGCCAGTGCAGAGATGGGTAAATTACCGATTACTCTTGAGGTGTGCAATTTAGATACCAGTTACAAATGTAATTACATTTATTTCAATTGCATGTACATTTAGATGCAAATTACCAATTGCTTCGAGGAGCATGCTTTAAATGCAATTATAGATTACAAATGTAATGACATTATTTATTTAGATTACATGGAATTGCGATGCTGCCCATCTCTGCAAGTTGCTCGTGGCAGTCTGCTCTGGCCAATGGCGTCATTGGACTCCTTGGACGTGCCGTCCACGCCGGAGCACGCGCCCGCCCACCGTTCAAGCACCGCCGAGTGACGGGACCTAAACGGGTGAAACTTTGACCTTTCTCATTAAGTTGCTGCGTCCAAGCCCAGGTGCGGCCGTCTGGGGTCGATGTGTCAACAGGGACGTGCAGTCTCGCGTCGCCTCCAGTCGACTGCTCCCGGCGCACCGTTCGGCAAAATGACCAAAAGGTGGTTTCGGCGTAACTCTCTGCAAGATCGTCATCCAGGGGTTTAAAAAAAAATCTCCGCTCGGGCAGAGCGCAGATTCACGCGGGAGACGTGAAAGGCTCCAGGGGCTGCGGGCCTGGGCCTCAGACTTGGAGGGGCCCTCCCCAAAAATCTAAAAAGATAGCTTTATAATGGTTGAAATGTAGTACCCTAGCACCATGATACATCCTACCGGGAATGGGGGGGGGCTCTCCAAAAGCCAAAGCAACAATGTGAGTATCATGACCAGTTGTGAACGGAAATTAAAATAGAGTCTCGATTTAAAGCTTTCGTGACTGCAGGGATTCATCTTCTTGGTTCTTTCGGTAAAGTCACGTAGAATGGAAATAAAATATAAAAAATAAAACATAATATTTTTTATTAAAAATAAAACATAATATTTTTTATTATGTTTTATTTTTATATAATATTTTTTTTATTATGTTTTATTTTAATTATTTTATTTCCATTCTAAGTGACTTTACCGAAAGAACCAAGAAGATAAAATAGAGTCGTTTGTTTGAATTTTGATTTAGCTTTACCACTCGTATATATCACGCTTAACAACCACAACTGAAGGAACCAAGATGAATAATGAGGCGTTTGCCAGTGGGCATACAATGGTTTGGTAAAACAGTGAGGGGAGAGAACTGAACGGACAAAGGGGAAGCTCCCCAAGACCACAAGAGCTTCGGGCCCCAATCAGATAACAATGGGCCCCCATCGGATAACATTGAGCCCTCGGTGTCCCATTCGTTCTCAAAGATGTGGCCCTCTCAGCGGGAAGCGGTGAAAAGTGGTGTGCAGGAGGGGAGCCATGGTACAAATCCATCACAAGGATTACACTATTCTAATTGTCCATTGAAAACGAAGCGTTCCATCATCCTTGTCATCATCCCCCATGATCAATCCGCAGCTGAATGAAGGCCTCTCCAAGATGATTGTTACATCATGGGACGGAGACAGTAACAATCCACCTTGCATCTGCACATAACCTTTTGAATTGCTCTAATCTCTGCAGCGAATGCTTCCTCCTTTGGCGGCCACTCCATCCCCTTAATCTGAACCGGCGGCCAGACCGACTCCCCTTCTAGCGACGTCTTCTGCCAGCGCCTAAATTTCTTAAAGGGGTCGCAAGATGACGTTTTTATAACAATGCGTCAAAATCACCATTGGCTCTTCTGCGCCGAAATCCCCTGACAGCATGTCCGCTCTGTGGCGCCGCGCGCCGATTGTTGGAGGCAATGCTTCTCTAGCATCTCTGCTCGTGATTTAAGACGTTTCCCAGTGGTTGTGCATTCCACGATAATTTTAATACCACTTCCAAAAAGGTAATCCCACGTCGCTGAAAAATGTTTTAAAAAATTGCGATGGTTTCCCACGCTCGTACGGGCATGGGACGATCCTCCTCTTCTGTTCATGGCCGCGAGTCGGTGCTGTAAATTCCACATTGCTATGGCAGGGGTTTAGTCCATCCTTAGGATAACTGCCCTCGACTGCCACATAGCGGCACTCGTTTTATCAACCATCATTTTTTTTTAAAAGGGGTGCTTGAGTCAACCCCCGACTGGGAATCGAACTCGCAACCTTCCAAACTGCGAGCCACTTGCTCATAGCTACCACCTCACCTGTCGGGATTAGCGATTGACGTCGACCGTGGCCCAACAACACCGAGCCTGGCACTATCATGAGCCACCCGACGGTGCTCGAATTCATCTGGCGTTAATAAAAAAAAATGTAACCCTGTGCCCTCACTGGCGGTGCCACTTTAAACACAATTTCCATCCGTCAGTCAGTGCCTTTGCGCGACACTGATTTTTTCTGAAAATCATAAGAACGGTTATGTTACGATAGTAAAAAAAAAATAATCTAAAAAATAAAACCCCGAAACGCCACGTTGATTGATAAAAGTTCGACATCTTAAAACCGAGCGAGGCCACCACCCTTGTCCGTTCCAACACCGCGACCGCCGTTTGTCTGAGTGTTGGCGCTCAGGCATTCATACGAGGAGTTTAAAACGTTTTTCTTTTTCCTAAAATGTTGATCGTTGTGCCCGAACGACGTGAAGCATCTGTCGGATAAAATAAGCACCTTGTTTAAAAAAAAAGAACGCGTCGAACACCAACATCCACTGCCTATAAAAAAACACTCTGCCCGTGAAAGCGAGTCACCAAATGTTGGCCCGGGTAAAATAAGGTAGTAAGCGTAATCGCACACGCGGCTCGCGAATACTCCTATGGTCCTCTAGAAAGCACTTTTTGGGAAGAAATACGTCGTAAAGTGCAAACTGCAATCCTGCGAGCCGTCCTCGCCCGCACGCGATTCACACGCGAATCTTGTAGCCTTCCTCCATCAGGAAGTTCGGCTCGGGCTTCTTCTCAGCTGCCAGGGGCCTGGGGAGATAAAGCAAAGGAGAAAATGGAATTTTAAATGTTGCCAATGAGTCCGTTAAACGTTGGCGATAATTGGAATGGCAGCGCAGCGATTAGCGCTTATTGCGCTATGGAGCTGGCCACCTCGGCTCGATTCCTGGCCATCGACAAATTTGGTGGCGAGTGACACCAGAACCGGCTCTGGGTCCCATGTCCAGGTCCGTCAAGTCACTCGTTTTGCGTTGTTAAGTGCCCCACTGAGTGAGCAGGAGTGGATAAAGTAGGTGGATCTGTGAGTCAGACAGTGGGCGGATCTGTGAGTGAGACAGTGGGTGGATGGGGGGTAGTGTATCGGTTAGCGCGCTGTGCTATGCACCCGGTGACCTGATTCCCGTTGACGGCCAACACCAGTGATGATTATCTGAACTGGTCCTGGGCCTTCCCTAGGTCGACTCAGCCTCAAATGAGAACCTGGTGCGGTGTGTAAAAACATTGGCACTGGGGAGACCATGGCGGTCGGGCGTGGTGCTGGCCACATACCCCCTCATGTGCCGTACCGGCTTTCATAAGTGCTTGCTCATGGCACTTGCCCCAACAGTATATGCGGCAAGTGAGAGATGAGATGGGAATGTTAGGGACTAAGCAGCGAGTCAGGAAACAAGCGAGTGGGCACGAGATTAGATGAGAAACTATGTGGATGAGTGAGGTAGAAAGTGAGCGAGTTAGTGCGTTAGCAGGTAAGTGAGGACAGGGGGGGGGTAGGCAGACAGGTGAGTGCGTTGAGCAGGTGAGTGAGCTCATTGGTGACTGAGTGAGAACACCGATTGGGTGCGCGAGTGAGGGAGCAAGTAGGGGAGTGAGTAAGTGAGCAGATAAGTAAGCAAACGAGTGAGTGAGTGGATGATCGGAATAGTGGGCGAGCAGATGGGCAGATAAACAAGTGAGCCGGTGAGCGGATATATGGCTGAGCTGGTGAGCGAGCGAGAAAGCGATCGGGTGGGTGAGTGGGAGAGTGATTGAGTGGATGAGTGAGCGAGAAAGTGAGTGAATGTATGAGTGAGTGAGCAGGCGAGTGTGGTGATGAGCGGGCGGGCGATGGGGGGGGGGGATGCTCACAGTTTCTCCACCCTGCTTGCCCGGCGCTGCGGGCTGCCACAGGGTGCCCTGTGCGGGGACGAGGTGGACGAGGTGGACGCGACGCTCTTCCTCCGCTCCTTCCCGGGCGACACGGGCAGCGTCACGCCCTTCAGCACCTGAACGGCCCAATGAATAGACAAACGAATACATGAATGAGAATTCATTCTTACTTCCCAACTTCACGATCATACAACGGCGTGTTGTCCGTTTGACAAAATTTGTGCGTGTTACAAATTTTTTATTCTTAATTATTTATAGCGAGGCTCGGAGCGCCACGCGGCACCTTCATGTCGCGCGCGTGCTTGTCCAGGTCCCTGCGGAGTTCCTCGCCGCTCAGGCGACTGACGTCCACGACCAGGTGCCTCCACTCCACCTGCGCACGACGACGACATCGCCTTAGCAGCGTCCGTGCGTAGATGCAACCCCTTCCGCCCTCCCCACCCCCAGCCCTCCCCCAGCCCCCCACTCCTCCACCCTTTTATAACGATGCTAAAATAAAAATACCTTAAGGGATCTCAGAAGTAGTTGCGTGATGTCCACTTTCAATTGCGTTCTCTAACACGGGGTCGCACTCCGGCGTTGGGCGGTGGAGGGTCTCGCGACACAACTTTGGCCAGATCGTCGCGGGACTGCGGCCTAACTCAAAACTAGATTGCAAATCAGCATACCGGCTGTGAAAGCCTACCGCACGTTTAGAATACGTCTCTGTAGGAGGATCGAATTATCGGGGCGGGGAGGATCAACATGTAGGAGGGCTTTCGCGACAAATATTATTATATATATAAAAAAAAGGTTTTTGGGATTAGATCGCGTAAATATAAATGTGTCTTTAACCCACCCACCACCCGACACAGCCAATTTGGGAGGTTTGTCACGTAAACAAATTGCAAACGTTGCGGGTTTACTCTCCAAATCACCGGGGTGCTGAAGTAGTAAACAATAGACACGTTTTGTTTACGCGACAAACATAACAAATTGGCGGTGCCAGGTGGTTGGCGGCGGGTGAACGACGCATTTACATTCAGCGCTCGAACACCCAAAAAAACCAGAAACCTTTATCAACGTTTACGTGAACGCGTCTTCCCGATCGTCCAGTCGGCCTCGCGCGGCGGGCCCCACCTGCTGGAAGCTGCGCGGGTCGTGCGGCACGTAGAGCCCCACTTTGAGTCGCGTGACCGCGTGCCGGTAGCTCGAGTACGCCTGCCGGAAGTCGGCGACGAGCGGCGCGAGGCCCGCGTGCGTCGCCGCCTTGAACATGAGCTCGGGCCGGCGGCTCAGGCCCAGCGCACCGTAGCGGCCGCCGACGCACACGCCGAGCACCACGTGGCGGAACGCCGAGCCACCGAAACGCGTGCGGAAGCTAAGCGGGAAGCGCTCCACGCCGGGCAGGCCGTTGGTCAGGTAGCTGCACGGGGGAGGAGCAGGACGTGGCGGCGGCGGCGGCGGCGGCGGCGGCGGCGGCGGCGTCCGTCAAGGGAGCTTTTACCGGTGATGCCGAGACGGCAAATGCGCGGCAACATCGTCATAAGAACGAACGAGCGAGCGGGCGGGCGGGCGAACGAGCAGACGGGCGTCACCCGATCCAAAATTAACGTAAACTTCTTCCGACCCGAACAAAAACACTCGCGCGCCTATTTATATTTTTTCCAATCTGAATGAGCAGACCCTGCACGCGCGATCGTTGTGGGTCTCCAGACACGAGCGCTGTCAAGGCAAAGGGGCGTGGGGCTGTGGATAGGTGAACGTAAATTAGAATCAGAATATTTGTTGACACTGGAAGAATCCGATGAGCTATAAAGCTCTTTGTCACAGATGTCCATTAGGGCAGGTCAGAACAGTACAACAACGATACAAATATACGACAGGAGTGCAAACGATTGGAAAAATAAGCAAAGCACTAAAAAGATATACAAATAAAACCAAACTATATTTAATTTTCCCAGGTAAAGCCCACTGAGTTAATTGCTTCCTTTTCAGAAGCAACCTGGCCACAAATGATAGCTCAACGAAGTGGCTTATCAACATGTGGAAGTTATAGCAGCCAACACAATTTAAACGTATGTTTATAAAGGAGCAAACATGAAATTGCTCGCTCACACCACTGCTGGCGGATGGCCCTCCACTGGCAGGATATCCAGAGAACACCTCTTGAGAGCACTTTTGGCCTACTCTTCCATGATGGCCAGACGTCTTGGAAGGGGACACCTTATAACGGTTTGCGAATCCGTTCGCCATTGTCCAGAGGCCTCGTTATGCGAGCGAAGTGAAGCAGAATTTACAACTTATTATAAAACGGAGAAATATCGCGGCTCAGCACTGCTTAGCTTATTAAATCTGATGAGATATGGTCCATTCAGCTTGATTTGATCACAGGAAAATCCTAACCCTAATGGCACTCTGTAAATTCCTTATTCGTTTTGGCATGAAGTGTGATGGCTTACGAGAGTGCAACAAGGCACAATAAATATCGTATGGCAATGTAACATTAAGTGTAATAATAGCCGCACATATTGTTATATAAATAACTACGGCTGTGAAAGGGATATTAGAGGAGATGATGGTAGTGATGATGATGCTCCACCAGTGTGGAACATACCGCTATGCAGTTTAGCAGTAACATTCGGTCATTTGACTGGTTGAGTAAATTAAATTGTACATTTATATTTAACTGTCGAGGTCTTTTTTTGATTCTCTGTGTCCGCCAACAGGTAACTGCTGTCAGCAACGGCAGCACAACACAAATAAACTTTCTTTTCTTTTCATGTAATTCAATTGTGACCGTTGTGCCGTAAAGAAGGGCTTGTTTTTTTATATTTGTTGATCAAAACCAACTTGATTGACGGAGAGATATGGATAATTGCAGCTCTCCAGTAGAAGGAAGCATTCTCCGAGGGGTGTCGTAGGACTGACCGCTGGAGGAGCCATCATAAAATCCTACAATGCGGCTTTCGCAAGGCCCTCCCCCCATTGTGACAGGTGGCTCTGCCGTCTGGGTCAGTAACGATCAGCCAAACAATCTCAATCAATGATTTATCCTGGAAGGATTCCGATGAGCGATGTAGCTCTTTATCACGCGCGTCCAGTGGGGGCGAGTCAGCAAGCTAAATCAACAACAAACAATACAAAAGATGATGCACGAGTGCAAGTTGCCATTAATGAATAAAGTGATCGCATTGCCCCCCACGCCTGGATTTAAATCATCAGCTATGGCCAATCGACTGCTGGATGAAAGGCATTCCTCCCCCACAAGCCGTCACCCACTGCTGGCAATGCGGCGCTCCCGCAGTGCGGTGATCCACCCGGCACTGGGATCTAATCGGCGTGAACCGTGCCAGGGGGGACGAGCACACCGCTGCCTAGCGACCGCTCGTCAACCGGCGCAGCGGCCGCCCGTCAGGCGGAGGGATCGCGGCGAGCGAACCCGCCGCCGTCTTGTGCTCGCGTGCCCGCCCGTCAATAACGCGGCTCCCGGGGAGCGGAGGCGAGATAAAGGGAGAGGTTGGGGAGCGCGAGGGGGCCCGGGGGCGCTACTCGGCACCAATGGGAATTGACTAAACGTCGGCTCGTCAACGGCCCGCGCTCGGAGACGCGTCGACCTTGAAGCCGGCAGCAGGGGTCAGCCGCGGCGGGGAGGGGCCCTCCGCGATACGGAGATTGTTAGCGGAAGGATGTCCCATCCGATAAGAGGGAGTGACGCAACAAACAAAAAAACTTCAAAAAAAAAAGACCCCGTTACGTTATGCATTTTAAATCGTAATGCATGGTAAAGATGCAGACCTGCAACTGCTTGCTCGCGCCACTGCTGGCGCCAAGTGCTTCACGAGAGGGATCCCCCCTCAACAGGGTATTTGGTCTACTCCTCCACGCTGGACAGACACTTTGGAAGAGGTGGGGAGTGCCCACACTCTACCGTGTCACACATGCCCTGCTGATTGACTAACTGTGGTGAGCCCATTCACACTACTTGGTGGACAGCGGTGGGGGTGGCGGGTGGCGGGGGGGGTATTTAGGAAAATTTCCCCCATTGTTTCAACTGGCACGCCGGGAGATTGAGTGGAACCGGAGATCTCTCTGGATTGCATTACAACCACGGCAGCATCCCAAAGAAAGATAAACATGGTAATATTAATACAATTGTTTTTTACAACATATAATTGTTTTGCTTCGCCAGGGCTTTATCGTTAAGTGGGAGTGCTGTCATTCGTAACACCGGGAGAACATCTGGTAGAGCAGCAGTAATTGTTGAGCGAGCCGGACGCTGCTGAAGAGACCCAGGATGGGCAAAACCGGAACAGAGATGGCATGCTCAGGACTTGTGGGAAGGAAAAATAAACCGTAATGTCGTCTGCGAAACGCTTGCACTCTCACCAATTACATCTCTGCTGCAAAACAATCGACATTGGCACGGACGTGACCTGAGATTCTGTCCACGCGACGGGGAGCGAGGGAGAAAACAAAAAGAACGATGCACAATTAACGTAAACGGTCGACCGACGATGGCGGGGGCACTGGATGATGCTCGCGCTGGCCGCGGGCCATGGGATTCGAGCGATGCCCGGCGCGCAGAGTGCGACGCTCAATCTCGGCCAGAGGCTTTCAATCACTCGCATTGACGCTTCCCCCAAGCGTGTCTGAGACGGCAAGGGATGACGACGATGGTTAACGACGATAGCGATGATAATAATAATAATAATGCCCCGTGTGTTTATTTCAAGAAAACCTGACGGAGTCTCGAAGCTCTTATTATTTTTTTTTCAGAAATGTCCTGCATTGAGATGTTTGGGCCCTTTTTTTAGAGAGCACAACCCTCGCACGATGACATCACAGAGCCACTTTGGAGTTCCCAATCAGTGATGCTGCACAAAATCAGCCTGCCCTGCTGGCAGAGAAAACGCTCGCGGTATGGCGGTCGAACTGAAATAATTTACAATGCTTACTGGAAATTTTCCAAATTAAGTGAAAAAGCTAAACTTAATTAAATATATATTTTTACACATCAGTGACTGGAGGATGTAACAACTACAGGTGTCACGTGGGCAGCACTCGGACGGCACAAGATCGCGACGAGCAGAGGCACTGGGGCTGTTCATCGTCGTCGTCGTCTGCGACACGGAGCGGACCAAGTAGGCGACGGTGAATGGACCGAGACCATCAACTCGCTACGCACGACGACCCCGATTCGCATGGGAGCTGATATCCAGACGCAAACCTAGGCTTTCCATGTAGCCAGCTAAGCGTCCCGACCCCCGAGCCACCCGGTCACCTCCTGTTGTCCATAGTTTTAGACGCTAAGGGGCCTGCCATGTGGGGGGGGGGGGGGGGGCGCCGCATTTTGGCGGCACCTGCCATGATGCGCGCGTCTCGGATTGTGGTTAATCCTGGCAGGGGGTGGGGGGAAGGAAGGAGGGGGGGAGCAGGCTGGGGGGAGGGGGCCGACGGCTCGGCTACTCATGAAGCAAGGGGCCAAGGCGACACTCAAGCCCAAACCTGCACAGAATTTCAACCATGGTGGTGGCGTCAGATGGAATGCGACGTGGTGCTGCATTGGATTCACGTGGCGCTGAATTCCCCTTTGAGCCTACACATTGGCCGAGGTGTGTATTCGGCTTGTAATCCTCAGGTTTTGCAGCATTTCTGGAAACCAAAATAAAAAAAACCCGTGATGGGCAAGGTCGCGTGTGGTGGGGTAAAGTGTTGGTGCCAGTTGGTGACGGGGAATGGTTCGCCACTGATTGTTAACCATAGCCGGACATCAAACACAAGTCGCCGGATTTGCACTACAATCAGTTTTTGTATTGTTTTGTCGTTGTCGGTGGTGTCTGAACCACCTCCTAGTGGACATCTGTGAAAAAGAGCTTCATAGCTTGCCCGGTTCCTCCAGTCCAAATAAAGATGCCGATTCTGGATTCACAGCACCGCGTGCTAATCAACGCAACCACGCCGCTCGTATATGTCGGTACACGCGTGCGTGGGTATGCTGGCACACAGGTTACACGCGTGCGTGGGTATGCTGGCACACAGGTTACACGCGTGCGTGCGTATGCTGGCACACAGGTTACACGCGTGCGTGCGTATGCTGGCACACAGGTTACACGCGTGCGTGCGTATGCTGGCACACAGGTTACACGCGTGCGTGCGTATGCTGGCACACAGGTTACACGCGTGCGTGCGTATGCTGGCACACAGGTTACACGCGTGCGTGCGTATGCTGGCACACAGGTTACACGCGTGCGTGCGTATGCTGGCACACAGGTTACACGCGTGCGTGCGTATGCTGGCACACAGGTTACACGCGTGCGTGCGTATGCTGGCACACAGGTTACACGCGTGCGTGCGTATGCTGGCACACAGGTTACACGCGTGCGTGCGTATGCTGGCACACAGGTTACACGCGTGCGCCGCGCTCGCTCGCTCCCCGGTGCGTGCACACGTGGCCTGAGTGAGCGACCAAGGCAGGATACATTGCGAGGATGACAGCCTCCAAGCACTTAATGGGCAGCGCCTCCCGCACCATGTCCCGTGCCAGGTCCATTAGCCTGCACGCAGTGGGGGGGGGGGGGGGGGGGGAGGGGCACATGCACCTGGCTGGATTAATTCACAGCCCCTTTGTCAATCCACTGCTGAATGAAAAACTTCCCATGCTCCGTCAGTCTTGCATGTTTGTTGACCATACTTCATCAAATACTTAGTGTGGTTTGGTGAAGAGAACGGTGGGGTGGTTTGGGGGGCAGAGAGGTGACAGGGTGAGGAAGGTAGTACCGGTTCCGATATCACTGCTCTATCTTCCGGGTTGCACCGCACGTTCTTGGCACAACGTTCCACCGACGTCAGCCGTGGCTGCGAATCAAGTTCAGGTCGCCGGGTTCATAATGGACTCTCCTGACCCACCACACTGCCACTCGTCCCCGGATGGTAAATAAGCAAACAATTCTCATAAATTAATTTGTCCGACGCGCAATTCGTCATGCGGACGTTGAAATCCATGTCAATCAATGAGTCCGTTAATCAAGGCAAGCCGAGTGGATGAGCCACCGTTTGCGGCAGGCGCCCATCCAGAGGGGGTTACGGGCGGCGGTGTTTCCTGCTTGTCGATGACGGCAGTGGCGAAGCATTTTCACACTCGGCCTACACAGGGTGCTCTGCCAGTTTGGTCAGAACTTGGGGCTGCTTTTGATGTGAAGAATGCCGTTTGCCTTTCTTAAACATTCCAGCGAGCGGATGAAAACAGCTGCCGCCGCGTTGGAAAGCCTGGGTATCCCATGGCGCGGTGCTTTCCAAACTCGAACTTTAGAACGGTAGCAAAAGCCAGCTGCACATCTCGTAAAAATTGTTTCCTGCCGTGACATCGAGTTCGCTCGTTTCGAGAAACACAATGAAGGAAGTATCATTTGAGCTTTCTCCGCAAAATATTTGGGGCGGAACGGGTCGGGGCATCGGTTGCCGCGCTGCTCTACGAACTTGGACCACCCAAGTTTGACCCTGGCAATGGATAACATCAGTGGCAAGTGATATCAGAATTGGTCCTGTCCTCCTGTCCCTACCGCTCCCTGCCCCCCCCCTCCCCCGGCACTGTGGTGAAGCACAGGTACAACAAAAAATCCCCATGACCAACATGATATGGGGAGGACTTCATCCACAGAAGGATTGTGAACGACTGGATTTTAAAAAAAATGTATCTCAAAAATGGCCCATGGCATACAACAGTCGTGGCGTGGGGGAGGGGAAGACGGGGAGGGGGGAGCAACAGGGGAAGTCCACCGCCCTTGTCGGAGGGATGCCTCTGGAGCTGAGTGCATTGACGATGATCGTTAGCCCGGTCTGGCAGCGAGTGGGCGGGAGAGGAGGAGGAGGAAACAGATTACTTACCCGGCGATGGGTCGATTTTTCCTGATTTCAAAGAACTGCGTTCCCGTGTGGTTGTATCTGAGAGCGGCGACCGTTAAGCGAGTTTCCTTGGCAAACTGAAACGGCGTCTCGAGCTTCTTTTGTTTTCATATCCGGACAAGATTTAACCTCACAGGGAAACGACATCAGAAAGAAAATGAAATAACCGCCGCACATGCCGGCTTCCGCTCACGTCTGGCAGGACAATGGACAATTCAATTAACGCACAATGGTTTTCAGTTGTTGTTGAATATTAAGACATCGTGTCCCATTTAACAGTCAATGCCAATGCAATCGCTATTGAGACGGGTTCTCTCTCATTAGCAAAGCGTTACTTCCCCCATATGTTTATTTCTTTGTACAGAAAGAGCAACTCGAAAGTCCTCTTAATCGCCTTCAAGGAAGCTGCATCATCATCATCAGACATGGTCAATCCACTGCAAAACGAATGCCGCCCTGAACTATGACCGTCTCTGACAGTCCCACGGATTTCCGCGCTCCAACTCGAGGGCATAGTCTGTTTTTCTCGCTTCTTGGGAGTAAATCGTGTTACTTGCCGACGTGGTTTCCGTAACGTGGGGACCGAGTCACTGACCCTCGGACGAATGAGTGTAAGAAATTATCTTGATTTCTTTTTTAACGGTGGACAATCAGCCACCGAGATAATCAACGCTTGGACAAACGAAAGCAATAACAATGCGCCGAGGCGCGCTCACGAACAGCAGGAAGGCATTCCTCTAGTCTCATCATTTACGCGGAGTGTTGGATTGAAGGATAGAGCTGGAGAGTGAGCTGCAGATCCAAGTTGATATAGGATACTGGAGGTCCATCATGTACTTCTGTATGGCTTTAAGGCGGTCCAGCATCGCCACGGCGGGCAGCAGCGTTGGCAGGGAAGGCACGGGCACCTGCGTGGCAAGAGGGCGAACGCACCAATTAATACCGTGGAAGATACCGCAAAGGCCATGTTCTCCCGCTCCATCTACGCGGTGGGCGTTCCCTCGGGCGTGTCCCCTTCGCTAAACATGAACGACATAGATACCCCACTTCGTTTTCCGTTTCAATTTTTCAGTTTATTTTTGTATTTAACCATGTAGGAAGTCAAGAGATCAGGATAAGTCAAATTTTCAAGAGTGACCTGGGGCATTGGTTTGCCAGTAGGGGGGGTGGGGCCGATGATTGCTGCTGTGTGTATAATCCTAATTTAATTTGGCAAATGTGGACCCTGACGCTGGCACACAATGGCATACTCTTACAACTAACGTCAGGGCATCTTTAACATCCCTCGTGAAGCAGACGGTTATTATACACCGCAGTATTAACCAGTGTGACCGCTGGACCGAACCGTGAACCTCTGCAACGAGCGGCGAGCGCCCTGCCGCTGGGCCCCCTGCCGCTTTCATCCGAAACCGGCCACCAAATTCTGCGAGAGCGACGGCTGTCCGTCTCGCAGATGGGAGAGCGTGCCAAGACAGAGCACGTGTGCGCCCGAGATTGGTGGGAGACGTGAAGAAGGCTCGAACACACGCACACCTCCGATTAGCCACAGTTGGCTACGCACGGTGCGAAAGAAGTTCCACATGCTGAAATACATGCACTGTTGCCCTCTCTATATTTTTCCATATTATTTAGGTGGGTCATCTGTAAGTGTATCACCCTGTGTGAAACTGTACGCACAATTTGAATTTATAAAGCGGCTAAACGTGATTGCATTTTAAGCTGCTGTGCATGCAGGAAAGCGTGCGATGTATGAGAATGTGGGGGGACGAGGAGGGCATCCTTAATGTCATTGTGTGTTCGCTTTGTATGTGTCACACAATAGACATCCTTGCAAATAAGATGCTCCATCTCAAGGATTTATTCAGGGTGAAATATTTTACGTAAAAAAAACATTTTTAATTGAAGGCAAAGGGAAGGTCATGGAAAGGAGGGTTTGGACAGATGGAAACTGATCAGTCATAGGCAGATTAGAACAGGAAGGCACTAAGCCTGGACTGGAACAGCAATGGAGTCAACAGTGCAGATGACCAGGAGTTAGAGGCTGTAGGAACAGCAGCAGAGGAGCAACATCACATTGCGTGGAGGAGGTTGACTGGAAAAGAGAGCATGTGGAAGGGAGTAGAGTGAGATGAGAAGTAGGAGAGTATGTGGAAGGAAATATAATGATGTGAAAGGGGAGATGTAGGAGAGTAGAACGAGGAAAGTAAAGCAATATGAGAGGGAAGAGGCAGGAGTCTGCGTGGAGGGGAGTAGAGTGAGAGGGGAGAGATGGGCAGGGCCGAGTCTTTGAGAGTCGTGAAGGCACGATGGGTGATCTTGGAGTTGAAGGGTGATTGGATCGGGAGCCAGTGGAGCGATCGTTAGCTGGCTGATAATTGTACAGCCGTTTCCGTTTCTCCCAGGATGGTGCTTGCTCCCGTGCAGCACGCCATCGCTCCCCCCGAACCCCCTGCAGCATAACAAAAGGAGGGTTTTACCCTCTTTCTTGCAATGCACCACCGCTCCCCCCGAACCCCCTGCAGCATAACAAAAGGCGGCTTAACTTAGCCCTCCCCACCCCACCCACGTCCCTTCCTGGCTCCTCCCCCCCTTAACTTAGCCCTCCCCACCCCACCCACGTCCCTTCCTGGCTCCTCCCCCCCCCTTAACTTAGCCCTCCCCACCCCACCCACGTCCCTTCCTGGCTCCTCCCCCCCCCTTAACTTAGCCCTCCCCACCCCACCCACGTCCCTTCCTGGCTCCTCCCCCCCCCCCTTAACTTAGCCCTCCCCACACCACCCACGTCCCTTCCTGGCTCCTCCCCCCCCCCCCTTAACTTAGCCCTCCCCACCCCACCCACGTCCCTTCCTGGCTCCTCCCCCCCTTAACTTAGCCCCTCCCCACCCCACCCACGTCCCTTCCTGGCTCCTCCCCCCCCCTTAACCTGTATATAAGCTCTGGTGTCCCAGAGCTGTTCACTTGATACAGCGAACTTTGTTGTGTCTGTTCCACCTGAAGACGGAAGCTTGTGTTGCCTCCGAAACGTCGTGATTTAATTTAGTTTGTTTTCTTTTCTTTCATTTTTATTTTACCTACGTGACTTTACGCGTGTTGTGGTCTCATTTATACATGCGAGTGAGGAGTCTCGGGAGCGGGGTTCGGTTAACAAAAAGAGGTCCATTATCATGAGAGCGGACCAGATGCATAAGCAAGGTCGCCTTGACCAGAAATAACATCAGCATCAGCATTGATTGCAGCTGGCGCACGGAGCTCAGGTTAACGAACTCGGCGCTTGAAGGGCGCGGACGACCGCTGGGAACTCGAGGCGTGCCGATCGCTGTCCGTGGTGCTTACTGAATTAACGGCAGCGAGGCGGTCGGCCACGGTGCGATCAACGACGCACGCGCTCCAGTGCGGCGACGACGTCAGCAGCAACGACAATTGTTTCTTAAACAAGCACACGCACACACACACACTTTTAGCCGCACTTGTAACTGTCTGTGAATTATTTTCAGCAACATGTGTTATTAATTGTTAGAATATTAAATTATTGTTTTTGGCCGGTACGCAGGAGACCGTGGGTTCGATCCCGACCGGGACGACGCCCGTTGCGTATTTGGAGTTTTGTGTTTTCTCCCCGAGGTGGTCGTGGGGATTTTTTTTCTCCGGCTTCTCCGGTTTTGCTCTGCACACTTCAAAACATGCGTTTCGTTTATTTGGCTACTCAGAAAAAAAATATTCCCACACGTGTTACAAGCCACTTCGATGAGCTATCATGTGTGTCCAGGTAGCCTCCTGCAAAAGAGCTATGAACCAGATATTTGATCATCAAGCCGCACTGCTGCCCTTGATGCTTTATGTTAACTATCTTGGTTTAGTTTAATCTTCTCTTTTGGTTGTGTTGAAGGGCAACTTGTATCACACCAGCCTGCAGATCGCTTACCGTGCTTAGGGAGATCTTCATCCAGCAGTGGATGATGGGCTGCGATATGAACCATTTACCATTCCGATGACGTACGTTTGCAAAATCGTTTTTTCTTCCGGAATCGGAAGTCAAAGGCCATGTGGGAGGGTTGCGTGACACAGTTTGGCGCCATCTATCATAGAGTGCGGTCATGTCGCTACAGTTCTCTGCGGTGAGCACAATGTCTTTAAATACAGCGGCGCTATGTCTCTAAATAAAATGTAACGCTAACCGCTTGCGCATTCCAAGAGTCAGCGGTGAACGGGACACCCCACCCTCCAACTTGCAGATGTCTCGGAACGGGAAAGGGTTAACCAGCTGGGGAATGGGACGCATCTGGCAATCTCGGTCAGTCGTAATGAAATCAATTCACCTCCATTCAGTTATCTCCATATAACAATATCATTTTTTGTTGTTGCGCGCTATTAACACTTCCCCTAGCTTATTTTAGCAAGCAGCATTGGTCTAAAGCAAGTGAACTCTAGATTGGTTTCACCCTTCTGGGTCTGATCAGCAGGGTCTTTTCTAAACAAATGCTGTTCTTTTACCAGATGTTATTGCTAACAGCACTCCCTCTTATTGATGGGAGCCTGTCAATGCAAAAAATATATAAAGTAATCAAGAGATGTGGTTTAGTACGGGAGTAGATTTGCTATATTTATCGTATCATATTTGTACGGTATAATTGCATACATTTTACTTTTAATTGATTCACCAAAGCTACAATTTATGTTGATTATATGCGGCCTGTAATATCTTCAAAAAATAGCCAGGCACATACCTGCAATCCAACACTCTGGAGGCAAGGATTGGTGGATCATGGTGAGATTCTCGACATTTAAAAAAAGACGATAGTTCAGCAAGTTCAATCTAGATTTGAAGTAGGGATCCATACTCTTTGGTTCTTTCGGTAAAGTCACGTAGAGTATAAATACAATAAATTAAATCACGACGTTTCGGGTGCAACATAAGCGTCCATCAGTCAGGTGGGACAACCACAGCAAGAGACAATTGCCGAAGTGGGCAATTTTATTGTCTGTTGCGGTTGAACCCAAATCAAGAGCCGAATGGCTCACAGGGTAAATCCTAATAAATGAAACTGAAAACTGAAACATATCAAAAAATATTTGTCATCATCAACATCATCTCCAATATTATTTATAATTATAAAAAAGTCATATTCATCGTCATCATCATCATCATCAATGCAGGACAGCCCCTGAAGAAGTGCCCGATTTGTGACGTTATCGTTATTACAACAATGATGAAGCAAATATTTACAAAGCGCACGTTTAAAAAGAACACGGTATCTCGGTGTCTCCGCCATGTACCCATGCCACCCCCTCCCCACAGAGCTCAGCCTGGCTCTCGGCGAGCACACGGACCACGCTTCACCACACACACGCCACATCGCTACACTTGGCAATCGTGCAATCCACTGACAGGACTTGGCCAAAGACCAACTTGCGATCGCTGACAATTTATATTACCAACTCCGGGGGCCTCTGCTGAGCAACTGCGAATATATATTTATTTTTTAAAAAACACACACAATGCCTGGTTGTTTTTCTTCCCATTAATACATTTTCCGGTTTTATTTTCCGGTTTGATTTTGACCAGCGGCGGCGGCGGCGGCTGCAGCGGCGGCGGCACAAGATGCGCTCGAGGATGGCATGAGCGCGCGGTCAGCTGCAGAATTTTGCAAACGGTTGTTGCTGGGTAATTGTGTCCTTGGATTCTGTGTCTGTCGTGCTCCTAAGCATCACCCACACGTGACGCCCCCCCCCCCCCCCATCGATTCACAGCACCCGCCCCTAACTCAACTCTGACCCTCCCCACCGCATCCCCCACAACCGCTACCCTCCCCCCCACTCTATCATCGCCCAAGGATGGGTAGTGACGTCGTCCTTGCGTCTTAGTGCCCAGACTGATCATTCCTTCTTGTCACGCTCCAGCTTATATCCCATAGGTCCCGCTGTTTTTGGCACCGCCTAATTGTTTTTAACGTGAAAGCAGAAGGATGGAAAAGCCTATGCGTGGGACTACACTGATAATCTGATAATCTTTTAGGCAACCACTGGAGAAAACTCAACTCTTTACAACTGATTTTTGGGTTTAGTTTGTTGTCCTTTCCCCGCACCTAGGACCAGCGCGGCTGGCGAAATAAGTTCAACATGCAAACAGGTAGAGAAGAGTGTGGGTCAGACACTACATTTTGGAGACATCGCATTGACTGTTCGCTCGGGCAGGACACGTCATGAGATGATGGCCCATGGTCAAGACTAACAACAGAGTAGAAACCAAAGGACAGAACACCCCCATGAGGGGAAACGCAGCGATGGAATGTACCTCCTGTGCAGGTGCTAAATGGGTTGTTGCATCGTGAGACCATGTCAGTTGACAGTCGAGAGACGGCTTTGGTTGCCGAAATGATCGTTGTTTTGTTCTTGCCCCCCAAAGTTGTCTAATAAAGACTCTAATTGTTTAATAACGGATCAGTTACCGTTACTTACTTACTTATCTATCCATTGTTACGAGACCATCCTGAGTGTACCATAATCACCTTCGACCACTTAATTAACAAGGTGCTGGGGAAGAAGGAAGAAAAGACAACACTTTCTCGACTGTCTTGCGAGACCATAGCAATGCCATGGGGAGGCCTTTATCCAGCAGCGGATAGATCAAGGCTGGTGATGATGATGAATATCACGGGTCCAATTCATATTTTGTTACCAAGCGTCCCTCTATGTATTATACATTTTTGGCAAAAGCGTGCCAATATGCTCTCCATTGGGAAGGGGTCCCCCGCACCTCCGATGAGCACGGTTGGCTGCGTACGGTGCGAAAAAAGTTCAACGTACACACATACAAAGGCAAAGACAAAGATCCCCCGTATAGCCTCAACAGACTGTAGGGGCAAGTGCTTTTAGCGAGCACCTATGAAGGCCGGAACGGTACACGAAGGGGTGGGTGGCCAGCACCACGCCCGACAGCCTTTGTCTCCCCAGTGGCGATGTTTACACACCGCACCAGGTACTCATTTGAGGCTGAGTCGACCTAAGGGAGGCTCAGGACCAGTTCAGATAATCGTCACTAGTGTTGGCCGTGAGTGGGAATCAAACCCGGGTCGCCGGATTCATAGCGCAGCGCACTAACCGCTACACAACCGCTCCCCACACACACATACACACAAAGACGTACGTGCACCGCTATGATTATTTCGCCCATTTGTCCGAATGCCTTAAAGGGACTCGGGAACCCTGAGCCTCAACACCACCGCCGTCATTCTCCGGAGGTCAGCTCAGCCAGGCGCGAACATCCAGATCTGTCTTGGCCCTAGGGGCCCAAAACAAAAAAAAACTGTCTGGCTGAGCGCTGACCTCATGTCGAGAGGGATTACAACTTGATTTGATGCTTTCGTGACTGCAGGAATTACTCTTTGTTTTTTTCGGTAAAGTCACGTATAAATGAGAAATAATAATAAAAATAAAATACATAATAGTATCATACGACGTTTCGATTGCAACACAAGCAATCATCATCAGGTATAGAAGAGCTAAATTTAAGAGAGAGAGGAAACAGAGATGGAGAAGCACATCAAATTTAGCTCTTCTCAATTTTATGTGCTTCTCCATCTCTCTGTGTTTCCTCTCTCTCTTAAATTTAGCTCTTCTATACCTGATGATGATTGCTTGCGTTGCAATCGAAACGTCGTATGTATACTATTATGTAATTTTATTTTTATGATTATTTCTTATTTGTACGTGACTTCACCGAAAAAAACACAAAGAGTGAGAGGGATTACGTTGAACCTTTTATTTTCACTGGGCATAACGTGTGCTCGCCGAAGTGTGTCACATCGTTAAATACGCCTCAGCCCTACCAGAGGTCACTTGAATGGATCTATGTACGTGCTGTATGTATGTACGTAGAACTTCTGTCGCACCGCACGTAGCCAACGTGCCAATCAGAGGCGCAGGGTGAAGGACGACAAACTAAATCCCACACTGGGCTGGCCACGGGGGGTGGGGGGTGGCTTGACCATACTTCACCACGTTGGTGAAGGGGAGGGAGGCCCCAGGACCGGCTCAGGTATCATTCCACATATCAACAATCGATGATAGTTTTTATTTTTATTTTATTTCAGCTTTCGAATACGGTGGACGGACGTATCACCTCCGGTGACTGCAGTGGTCACACGAAACGATTACCTACAACGTGTATGGATCGACAATATCGGTGGTCCGATTCTTAATTCAGTCCACGTATGATATCAGCTTGCGGGGGGGGGGGGGGCTTCTCTAACAGCAAGGGTCGCCATAGGTCTTCGAGAGATCCGAATGCGTGCTCTACTTTGTCTCACACAGGGTGACGCTGAAGGCACCAATTCACGTGAAATTTGGGGCGAAGATTAAAGCGAGAAAACCCCAGCGTGGGATCCAACGTACGCCGCTGCGAGGTGCCAGCATGGCTGCAGTGTGTGTGCCATGCGGTGGGTAACAGAGGGGCGCACTGCTGAAACGTCCACTGCTGTACTGTGAGTCTATGTTCCCAGCCTTCGCTGGTGCACACTCACCAGTGTAGTGAAGTACGGCCGAATAGCCCACAAGACCCGCATAGCGTGGGGAGGCCCTCATCCAGCAGTGGATCGTCAAAAAAAGCCCTCCAGTCAACCTCCTCCACTCAGCCGTAACCACCGTCTGTCGATCCGCTGCTGCATGGAGGCGTCGCCCACACCACGTCGGTGATGGGGCCTTGTGTGTGACCATACTTCACAATGCTGGTCATTGTGAGTTGGTAACGTTAGGCAGAGGCCAGGGCTGACTCAAATTCGGGGCGATGGAAATTGGCTCGTGGTGTGTTGGGAGGAGCTGGGGGGGATTGTTGCACAGTGTGAGATGGCGACGGCTGAGGGACGCTTTCATCTAGCAGTGGATAGATCATGGCTGATAATTATTTCGAGGAGCGGTGTAATACATAAAACAAAGACAAACACACTACTGTTAGTGAGCACCTATGAAGGCTGGCACAGCACATGAAGGAGATGGGTTTGCCAACACCACACCCCACCGCCTTTGTCTCCCCAGTGCTGATGTCTACACACCGAAGTGAGTACTCGTTTACGGCTGAGTCGATCGGGGGGAGGCACGGGACTGTCCAGATCCATGTCACCGGTGTTGGCAGTGAGCGGGATTGAACTCGGTTCACCCTGTTCGTAGTCCCGGTGCACTAATCACGGCACCACTGTTGCCCACAAGTTGGAAAACAAAAACAAACACTCCTTGTGTAGCCTACATAGGCTTTTGGGGCAAGTGCAGTTAGCGAGCACCTAGGAAAGCCAACATGGCACAAGAGGTCGGTGTGTGGTGAACACCACGCCCGGCAACCTTTTTCTCCCCAGTGACGATGTTTACACACCGCACCAGTTACTCATTTGAGGCTGAGTCGACCTAGGGGAGGCCCATGACCGGTTCAGATAATCGCCACTGGTGTTGACCGTGAGCGGGAATCAAACTCAGGTCGCCAGGTTCGTAGCGCAACACCACCGCGCTAACCCGCTACACTACTGCTCCCCACACTATAGCAAACAAAGACAAAGAAAAAGACAAAGATCTCCCGTATAGCCACTAACAGACTGTTAGGGCAAGTGCTGTTAGCGAGCACCTATGAAGGCTGGCACAGCACACGAGGGGGTGGGTCGCCAGCACCACGCCGGCCCGCCTTAGGCTCTCTCGTGGCAATGTTTAAACACCGCACCAGGTACAATAGAAAACACACGCGTCCACACACAGACACACACAGACACACGCATCCACACACAGGCACACGCATCCACACACAGACACACGCAGGCACACACAGACACACGCAGGCACACAGCTTTACAATCTCTCTGGGATTGCACTGGCAGTAGTGTTCGAAGGAAAGGCTCAAAGTACAAACACCCTACTCTAGTTTAGCATTGTTATTGGAAACAAGGCCATTGGCAGGGTCCCTCAATCACGATCTCTTGCTTCATGATTGTGATTTGCGCTCGCTTAGCCAGGAAGGCCTCACTGAGCCTCAAGGCTCCTTTTCAGGAGGATCCTGCCAAGTTTTTTTGTTCCACAGGAGGTGTTGCTGCTGCTGTTGTTGTGTGTACTCCCAATTGATTTACGTTACCTTAAATGCCATACACAGTTGTTCGTTTTGCTTTTGTCATTGTGGCGACCGAGGTCACGCTTGAAAATCAGACTCCTTACCCTCGTCTCTTGCGTTCCTCACCACCTGGTCAAACAAAATCAACTTGAAACTTGCAGGTAATTTCACAGCGTTGGAATGTTTGGCCAATACCAATAGCATTGTAACTATCTTGCCTTTAGCTATGACCCAGAGGACCCGGAGGAAACCCATGCAGAAGACGGGAGATCATACAAACTGCACGCGAAAGGGTGCCCCCCCCCCCCCAGTCGGAGAATGAACCCCGGGACTTCTTGCTGTGAGGCTCGAGCGCTTACCACTGCGCTTCCCTGCCGTCCCAACGAAATAAATAACAACACACGATACATTCGTCAATAACGCTACCTTGAAAGTAAATACATATAGTCTTGATTTGAAGCGTTCGTGACTGCAGGAATCCATACTCTCTGGTTCTATCGGTAAAGTCACGTCTTCAGGTGGAGACGCACGCTTGTGTTGCGACCTAAACGACTTGTTTTCTTTTGTTATTTTTGTTCTATCTACGTGACTTTACTGAAAGAACCAGAGAGTATAAATGCATATAATCGGTGACGTTTCAGGCAATGGGGTTCATTGTTAATCATAGAACATAAAATGAGAAGGGCCGTTGCCCGAAATTTTGCAGGGCTATTGACGAAGATGTTGAGCTTTTGTTATTCTTGTTGTTAACTGTGCTTGTATACCATTGCCAATGCGGCGGCGGCAGCAGCAGCATCCCCAAATAATGTGCCACCCCTAATTGGCCGGTTCTGCGCAATTGCTTCTTAATAATAGATGGGACAACACAGCAGGACACGTCCCACCAATCCGGCAATCTTGCAGTCACCAATTCGAAGGCACCCTAATGATACGTATGGGGGCATCACATTTGAAATGTAATTGTAGGTTTAGAAAGTATGGCTTATTTATGGCATACGGTTGACACAGACACAAAATTACAGGCATCGTCGTCGACCCAGCATTGATGAAAGCATCAGTTCGTATGCGTTCGTCCGACTACCATGTGTTTTAAGAGAATGTCTCCCTTCACAAGAAAGGTGGTCTAATCGTCATTATCTATCACGGTTACAGTCAAGGCCACTTCACGGTTGCATGCATGAGTATTACCCACACATTACTCCGTTGGGATCGTACACCGTCTCAATCGTTGCCCCCTGCTAACAGGCTAATGCCCCGGGTCACTCTTGCAAACGAGATTATTCCTGGTCTCTAGAGTTTTCACCTTAAAAAAAAACTTAACCCAGATCTTTACAGCGTCTGAAACGTACACAGTGCACTCGTGGAATTACCAGGTACCATGACCAAAATGGCCGTTTTAATAATGACCAAAACAAAACTCCAAAAACGCAAATATTTGTTATTACCCAAGCATTTCATGTACCTAGGCAATAATTAGATCCGTTAAAACTTGTAACTATCAACTTTGACATCACCCCCGAATGACTGCGAAAGTCACAAAAGGCGACAAGGGTACTTCGTCACCCTTTGTAACTTACGAGCGGCAAGGCCCAACAGAAGCAGCCATCACAGACCTTAGGGCCACACGTTATGGGGCACCACTTTCCCACCTTGCTCATCCATGCGGATGAACGCTCGCCGCACGATCTGATACGTTTAATTCTCAAGAGATGGACTTTAATCGCTTAATGAAGTACAGAACCAAATTTATTGCAACGTGGGGGCGTATTGTCACTTTCTGACCAGCCCATAGTGGACATCTGTGAAAAACAGCTTCAAAGCTCATCGGATTCCTCCAGCCTAAATAAAGATTCAGATTCTGATATTTCCTGCGCAGTCATTGCTGATCAGGCTGGGACCATCGGCTCGATACACCTGAGAGCCCGGATTAAATCACGGATTCGCACCCGGAGTCTCAACGGTGACGGTTCAGTGCTCCGACTTCTAAATCACTTTGAAACTCAAGAGTCCCGTCATGAGCCCCTTTTAACAATGATCGAAATGCAACTGGCATTCGTAAATCAACGATGACCGACCGCGCCCCTGGTTTCAAAAACTCAAAGCATCAACGATAAACGTTGCATCAGCTCTGTCACTCTCACAATTAGCTTAATTAGATTCATCCATTACCACGTGACAATTTGGCATACTTTCAATGACAGAAACCATCAAAGGAATTATAGACTATCAATACATCGCTGATCGCACCGTCACATTATCTCGTGCCATGGCGGTGACATGTTACCTACCTCGCCTGGTATGAAGGACGTCGTGGGTCCAATTCCGACCCTGAGGCTTGTATATTTGGAGTTTATGTTCTCCTCGTGGTTGCGTGGGATTATTCTCCGGGCCTTCCGGTTTTTCCCTCCACATTTAGAATCAACATGCATTTAGAATATTTGGCTTCTATACATTTTCACGTAATAAGCCGATTTATTGAGCTATAATTTGTGGCCAGGTCGCTTCTGAAATAGAGTTATCTAGCTCAGTGGGCCTTACCCAGTAGCCAACTCGAGCAACGCCTCAAACCACTGACAAGCTCCTCAGTACTTCACTGACCCAACCGCCCCATCACTGACACCTCTAAAACGCCAACTGCATCATCACAAGATCAACTCAATCAACATGTCACTGACAGACTCTGCGATCCTTCTCTGAATGTGTGTCCCATCATCGAAACCTCTTTAATCGCTATCCACAACAAAACACCGTCACTGTGTCTCACAAACAAATCAACTCCATCCGCACCACCAACTCCATCAACGTCACAAATTCTGCCACCACCACCCACCCAATCACCACCCTCATCCACCAACAACCCCATAACCGACAACCCAACAAAGCCCCTTAATCACTCACATCATCGACCTCTCCATCTCACTCACCAACCCTACCACCTGATCACCTCCTTCACCCATCCACACATCACCAATCTCGCCATTCCAGCGGCGACCTCTGAGGGTCACTCACTCCTCACCAAAGGTTCCCCATGTAGCATTTAACAGACTCTTAGGAGAAGTGCTGTGAGCGAACACCTATGAAGGAAGGCACAGTACACAAGGGGGTTGATGGCCAATACCACGCCCGGCCGCCTTTGTCTCCCCAGTGGCGATATTTACACACCACCCAGGTGCTCATTTGAGGCCGAGTCGACCTAGGCGAGGCCCAGAACGGGTTCAAATAATCGTCACTAATGTTGGCCGTGAGCGTGCAGCGCGCTAACCGCTACACTACCGCTCCCCTACACGCACCCAGGAGACCCCCCCCCCCTCAACACACCTTGGGTAGCTCTGTGCACTGCCGTATGCTCCGAACCATCTCCTTGCCTCCGGGATGGACCCGGGCCACGTGGCTCCACATGCGCTCCCACGTGCTCTTGTCCAGAGGAATGCCGCTCCTGTTCACATAGAAGAGGGACCCGCCACCCACTCCCTCCCTGCTGTTGTCATCCTCGTCCCCAGAAGCGCTCATTCCTTCCTCGGCTGGGGCAGGTCGACGAGCTGCCACCTCCTCCACCACCACGACCACCTCCTCCTCCTCCATCACCGCCCGCTCCTGCTGTGGAGCTGCAGACACGTCCGCTTCAGAGGTGACCGCAGCTCTATCTCTGGCTCCTGGCATTATTGTTGGTGCCGCTTTATCCCCTCCCTGTTTGCCCGTGTTGCCTGTCTTTGTGTTTTTTATGTCTGCGTGAATTGCTGTCTATGGGTGCATGTGCGTGTCCGTCCGTCTCTGTGTCTCTGTATGTAATCTGTGTGGGTCTTTGTCGGTGTCCGCTTGTATTTGTGTGTGTCTGTGTGTCTGTTTCTGGTTGCCAGTGTCTTGAGTGCCTCCTGTGGCTGTCAGTGTGTATCCGACCGGGTCTTGCTGGTTTGTCTTTCTGTCCGTCTCGGTGTCCGTCTGCGAGTCTGGATTCCTCTTTGTCAACTTAATTTCTGGGAGGAGTGAAAGGAGGAGGTGTTCCCTGTGTCTTGCGCCTCCCACGACGTCCCAAGCCCGTCCCTCTGTGTGTTGTGTGTGTCGAATTTGTGTGTACGTGTTGTGTGTGTGTGTTGAGTTTGTGTATATGTGTTGCGTGTGTAGTTATTGTGAGATGTATATTGAGTGTGTTTGTGTTATCTGTGTTTGAGTGTGGCCGTTCAGTGTGTTATGTGTGTTGAGTGTGTTTGTGTTCTCTGTGTTGAGTGTGGTATGTGTGTTGAGTGTGTGATGTGTATTTAGTTTGTTCGGTGCTGTGTTGAGTGTGAGTGTTTTTGTGTTGTCTGTGTTGTGTGTGTATTGGGTGTGTGGTGTCTGTTGTGTGTGTGCATTGAGTGTGTGATGTGTATTGAGTTTTTTTGTATTCTTTGGTTCTTTCGGTAAAGTCACGTAGAATGAGAATATTATTGTGTTATTTTATTTTATCAATTTATTATTTTATTCTCATTCTACGTGACTTTACCGAAAGAACCAAAGAAGATGAATCATTGCAGTCACGAAAGCTTTAAATCGAAATTTTTTTTGTATTGTCTGTGTGTGTTGAGTGTGTTTGTCTGTGTTGAGTGTGTGTTGAGTGTGCGTGGTGTGTGTGTATTGAGTGTGTGTGATGTGTGTGCTTTGAGTGTGTGTATTGAGTGTGTGTGTTGTCTGTGTTGAGTGTGTGTGGTGTGTGTGTTGAGTGTGCGTGGTGTGTGATGTTAAGTGTGTGTTGAGTGTGTGTGATGTTAAGTGTGTGTGTTGAGTGAGTGCGTTGTCTGTGTTGAGTGTGTGTTGAGTGTGTGTGGTGTGTGTGTGTTGAGTGTGTGTGTGTTGAGTGTGCGTGGTGTGTGTCTTGAGTGTGTGTTGAGTGTGCGTGGTGTGTGTATATTGAGTGTGTGTCTTGAGTGTGTGTTGTCTGTGTTGAGTGTGTGTTGAGTGAGTGTGTGTGATATTAAGTGTGTGTGTTGTCTGCGTTGAGTGTGTGTGATGTTAAGTGTGTGTGTTGAGTGTGTGGCTGTGTGGTACACTTAGAGATCCCCAGCTCCCCACATACCTGCCACCACTGCGGTAGAGTCACACCAACATTCCGGGTACGCACAACCCTTTAACCACCTACTGTTCATTCATTAATAATTAATATTCACAGCCTACCAGTCTCTCGTGTCACACTTTGACACGTGAATGTAATATTACACTCGCACAGAAAGTTACGTGTACCTGTGTGTGTATATATGTGTGCCTATAGGCATGTAATACATATGGATCACTGCTGCAATGTCTAATGAACTGAAGCTACATCGCGGTACGTGGTATGACCTGTGTATCGTATGGGTTACGTCTCATATCTACTGTGTGTATGTTGCGATGGTTGTTGTGTGTGAACTGTATATTGTACAGGCTGCGTCTATTCTATATGCGATGTCTTTCTTCTTGTATAGCTTTTGTGCGCTGTACTGACTGTGTGTATGTGTATTGTACACGCTATGGATCTGTATGTGTGCTGCTGGGCTGGCTGCGGCTATCCGCTATGTGTGCTGTTGCTAACCGGCTGTGCGTGCCTGTTGGGTGTTGTACAGGCTACGGATCTCTATATGTTCAGCCGAGCTGCCTGCGGCTACCCACTATGATGTGTGCTGTTGCTGGCTGGCTGGCTGGCTTGTATATGTCTGGTGTTGTACAGGCTATGCGTGTCTGCCGGTGGCGTTGTGTTGAGCAAATTGAACACACAAAAAAATGCACAGGGGTCTAACAGCAAACCCAGCGAACAGCTGATGGGGCCGGCAGGGCGTTTCCAGCCTCCACTATTGGCCGCGATGCCCGCCACGTTCGGAATGCTCCAACTGTGCGATTGGTCCGGTCGGCGCTTCCTCGACGCGACCGTCGTCCACTCCCCTCCGAACCGGGGATGACATCACCACAAGGCCGTAATTATAATAAATATTAGGGGGGGGGGGGACACACACATCCCCCCCACCCCCCCATATTAAAATATGCTCAAAATGTCCCCCCCCCAATATATCGCTATAATATAGATTTCTGTTTATATGATTGTGGTTATGGTTGTACTTTATTCATCCCTAATCTCTGCCGTTACTTACAATGAAACAAGAAAAGGTAAAAAAAAAACAGGGCAATGTTAAACAATACACTATTAGGCATTTTGCAAAAAAAAGTCCATCCTATGTGTTAGTGCATTTTTAAATATTTTAGGCAGGAAATTCGTTTTCAAGTTGACATTTTTTTGGGGGGGGGGACCCCCAGACCCTCTGGAAGATTTGGTCCCCCCCAATGTTGACTCCATGACTACGGCCTTGCATCACCATGAATTATAATGAATCCCCTGCGAAGTGCATTTGTACGCCCCCCCCGCCCCCCCAAGATGTCGTCTTACTGTTGTTGTTGTTGTTGTGACAGCGTACGCTGGTTTTAGCCGAAGGCAAAGTCTGTCTCGTCGAGTCTCGTGGCTCTGTCTTAGGAGGGTCTTGCCACGTTTGCTTTTGCTCGCAGTATAGGGGGTGACGAGTGTGCGTTGAGTGATTTGCTGTGTATTTGTCCGTTCTTTCTTTCAAATTTGGCAAATTTGCCCCGTGACGCAGGCACAGGGTGGCCTACCCCTTGCGAAGGATGTCACGGAGATCTGTAACGTCCCCTGTAAACCCGAAAGCAGACGGCGCATTGTAATGTGTGTTTTTTCCTTCGGTTAATATTACACCCGCAGTAATAACCAGGGCGGCCGCTGGATTCGAACCGTTTAACCCCTTCCTTGGAACAAGCGGCAAACGCGCTGCAGCGGGGCCCGGAATTGGTGGTTGGGGCTGGTGGTGGTGGTGGTTTGTGGGGTGTTGGTGAAAAATTGTGGTCACCCAAACATCCAGAAGAATGCACTGGGTCTCTAAAGCTCAGCAGCTTTGAGCCTGGATAGCGCTTGAATGGGTGACCAGCACGCACCGGCACAATGAAACAACGTTGTTGTACTGTACTCTAAGCTCCCACGTCTATGCTCCCCGCTTTCACCGATCCGACGACCTGCATTCCATTCCCGTACGGTGCGAAAGAAAGTGAACATACATACAGACGAGTGATGTCTGAATCAGTCCTGGGTGCCCCCATCACCCCTTCACCAACCTGAACTTACCAGGCGGGTGAAGTATGGTCAAATAACGCCCCCCCCCCCCCCGGGATAACGTGGGGATGCTTTCATCCAGTCGTGAGGTTGAGTAAGGGCGGCGCGTCGTACGTTGCAATTCGAATCGAAAATGGATTCGTTTTGTCTTGCTCCATCTCCTTTGTATCGTCTACAATGCGTGTCTCGTGTGTACTGCCCATCTCGCTTGTCTCGTCCGGGCTGTCTCGTTTGTATCGTCTGCAGTGGCTATCTCGTTTGTACTGTGTCCTGTACTTTCTGTCTCGACCTCTCGTTTCTACTGCGTGCCACATTGTTTCGCTCATTACCTATCATTGTCCCTAAACGTATTGAGTTGAACATACATTTTGACAATTTTGTCCAAGAATGTGCTTCCTTTTCAACATTCCTCCGGTTTGCCGAAAATCCAAATCAATTGGCATTTGCCCACGTGATAACTTGATTTAATTGGCTCTGTCGGGTGTTGTAGGGTTACAATATTTGTTTTTTACATGAGACCTAATCCAAAATAATCGAATCATAAGTCGTAATATTGGTCGTACCTATAAAAGAAATTGAATACAGATTGCTGGAATCGATAACAACACACTTAAACTCACGGTTCATTAGACGTGTCGATATTAATGGGCGCCGCGGTGGAAATGTGTTAACTCCCTCCCCTGGCATGCAAGAGGTATGCATGAGGCATGAAGGAGGTCGTGGGTTCGATCCTGACTCTGTCGCTTGTATATTTGGAGTTGCATGTTCTCTCTCTCTCCCCGTGGAGAGAGAGAGAGACACGCGTTTCGATGAGCCATTTCGTTGAGCTATCATTTGTGGCCAGGTCGCTTTTGAAAAAGATCTGTATAGCTCAGTGGGCCTTACCCGGTTGAATAAAAATCGGTTTAGGTAGGTCATTAATCCTTTCGGTTATACCTGTTCCTAAAAAACACCCCAAAAACCTGTATTATGCATACCTGCTCCTAAAAAACACCCAAAAAACCTGTATTATGCATACCTGTTCCTAAAAAACACCCAAAAAACCTGTATTATGCATGCCTGTTCCTAAAAAACACCCCAAAAACCTGTATTATGCATACCTGTTCCTAAAAAACACCCCAAAAACCTGTATTATGCATACCTGTTCCTAAAAAACACCCAAAAAACCTGTATTATGCATACCTGTTCCTAAAAAACACCCAAAAAAACCTGTATTATGCATGCCTGTTCCTAAAAAACACCCCAAAAACCTGTATTATGCATACCTGTTCCTAAAAAACACCCCAAAAACCTGTATTATGCATACCTGTTCCTAAAAAAAACACCCCAAAAACCTGTATTATGCACACCTGTTCCTACTCTCTGGTGAAGACCGCCCTCTAGCGATAACCGGGATCTTAGCCAAGTAATTGGCCAGGCAATGGGTGGAGGGTGGGGGGGGGGGTTTCGTGGCCCCCCTCTTTGTAAAAGAGACCTGGGATGGGTGACCATGGTCATAATGTGGGGGTGGTGTTAATGGCACAGATCCCAGTTGCCTAGGAAAGACCCTTCTAAAGTAGATTCGTCGGCGAGAGTTACCTAAATACAATGGACATTCTTCATCAACAGTCTATAATCATCACCCGTTCTCCATTATCACGTTTATGTTATCAGCACCCGTCTTACATCATCATTAGTTCTCCATCATATTCATCAGCAATATCAACCACCCATCATCATCATCATCCGCCCTCAATCATCGTCATCATCACCTGTTCTTCATTGTCACCATCCATCAAATGGGAGTTGTAAAGATTTAATTGTTACGATTCAGGGTCGTGATTCGCATCAGGAATCTATCGTATGTCTAAGTATTGTGATATGATGCGCGCTAATCAATAGTAATGCACACGTGATTGGACGCATGCTGAGTGATCTCGATAATCCATCTATGAACCGATGCATCGGTGCACCCCTGTAATCAATCACCGTGAAGGCTACGATTCGCAACGGTGGTCATGTAAATCGTGGGTCCAAATGCAGTCGAAAGTTACATCTAGGACAGAGGTTGGCAACCAAAATAACGAGAAATGTTTTCTAATTCGGTAACAATCCCCTCGATATTTCAAGAGTCACAATGCATGCGGTCCTTCGTGAATAGCTGTCACGAAACAGTCCTTCGAGAGCCGCACGCGGCTGCGGAGCCGCAGGTTGCTGTGCCTTCACCGAGGACGTGGCTGCAGGCTAATCGGCGAGAGTAAGAAGTGGAGCTGGTACGCGTTGATGGGTGGCTCATTGGGGCTGTGCGTAGGGCAGAGGCGGATCACCACTTCTATCTTGCCAGACTCCACTCTCCGTGGATTCGTCACTGACGAAGGGAAAGCACTGGTGTCTGACCCCAGTGCCGGATTAAGCTCGTGCGGAGCCTGTAACTTGTTATAAAGGGGCCCTAAAAAACACATGAATATGAAAACACAAGTTTTTAACTTGTATAGTAAAGTAATTGTATTTTTCATTTGCTATACAGCCAGATAATACGACAAATCGCTAAACTTAAACACCCAGTCGTTCATTAAAGTTGTAGGCTGTATAGTACTATCGTAATAGAGCAAGTGCAGAATCACTGAACCGAAATTGATAGCTTGAAAGAATTTAGCGCGGGGCCCTTGAAAGTGCGGGCCCGTAGCATATGTAGCTACTTGTGCTACTGGGATAATCCGGCACTGTTTGACCCGACAAGCCGACTCAAGGATAAGTAAATAACTAGCGTTCCGTTGGCTAGCTGCCTCGAGTTGAGAGTAGGGCTTGTGGTTCTTTGGCGAGTCGGTTCAAGGTTTTTTTTTGCTCGGGCACGGATCGGCAAAGCAAAATAATAATAATAAGAGACATTTTTTTCGAATTCGCTCGATGAATAAATAACGAGTCACGAGGCAGTCCTCAAAGAGCCGCATGTGGCTCCGGAGCTGCAGGTTTCCGACCCCTGGGTCAGGGCCAGAGCTATCGCGTTCAGTTGCCTACAGTTTCGATTTAAAGCTTTCGTGGCTGCAAGGACTCATCTTCTTTGGTTCTTTCGGTAAAGTCACGTAGAATGAGAATAAAATAATAAATTGATAAAATAAAATAACACAATAATTTTATTGTGTTATTTGTGTTATTTTATTTTATCAATTTATTATTTGTGTTATTTTATTTTATCAGTTTATTATTTTATTCTCATTCTACGTGACTTTACCGAAAGAACCAAACAAGTTGCCTACAGTTGTTTAGGGCTAAGAGTGGGTCTCGTGTTTGGCTAGCTAGTCGGCTAAAAGTCGAGGTTAGTCTTGACTTAAAGTTTTCGTGACTGTAGGACAAAAAATAACATTTTGTTATTTTTGTTATTTTATTTTAACCTATCTACGTGACTTTACCGAAAGACCCAAAGAATAGTCGAGGTAGTGTCTGGTGGACTTGATGGCTCCGCCCCCAAACTGCCTGCCACGCCTCCCGCCACTCCTCCGTTCGGCTGTTACGGTTGTTGGGCACCGCGTTCCGTCTCCCCAGAGTTCGCATTTGCAACTTGGCAAGAGGAGGCAGCCGCGATGCCTCGCGGCTTCTTGGTGAAGCGGCGAAAAGAGCGCGCGGTGGCGCCGGCGCACAGATGGGAATTGTGCGGGTTCCATCATTCAGAGCAAGGAGAAACTCCTCTAGCGGAGGCAGCAGCAGCAAGAGCGTCAGAAGTAACAGCATTAAAAGCAGCAGCAGCAACAACAGCAGCATTAGAAATAACAGGAACGGCAGCAAGAGCAGTCCACGCATATCGTGCGCATGGGGACATTCCTGCATGCACCCCCTTTGTGTCCGTGGTGGATCTCTCCCCCGCCGTACCTCTTCCACGGAGCAACGCGGCCGTAGGAGACGATTATGACGACGATGATGATGATGGTGGTGGTGGCCAGCGGAACATATCGGCTAGCGACCTCGACTCGACGTCACAAATCAGCTCTCTTACCCTGCCGCCTGTGCCGGCATTGACGGAGATCTCTGCGAAGAAATTCGAGAATAAGAGGATGAGGCCGGTGAATAAGTGCCAGGGCGATAGCGCGCCCAATAATCAGACGATGAAGAAGCCCAAATTGGTGGAGGACGCGCTGTCCTCACCGGTGTTGGGTCTCGTGATCGCCACGGAACCCTGGTGCCGAGTCGAGCCCACGGGCTCCGTGGGAAGTTTCGTGTGCCAGCTGTGCGGGCTGTCGTACGAGGACCCATCGGCGCTCGCTCGGCACGGGTGCTCGCGCATTGTCCGCGTGCTCTACACGTGCCCCGAATGCGACAAGAGCTTCAGCTGCTCGGCCAACCTGGCCTCTCACCGCCGGTGGCACAGACCGCGTCTCGGCAACGACGAGGTCGAGGTGAAGGAGAATCGGCGGCGAGGGGGCGCCCTGGAGTGCCCGCGATGCGGCAGAACTTTCAGCAAACGCGACTCCCTGCTTAAGCATTTGGCCGCCCTGCACGGCGACTTTCAGCACCAAGGACAGCAGCGACTGCAGCACCATCAAGGACAGCGCGCGCAGCAGCAGCAGCAGCACCAGCAGCAGCAAGTACAGCGACAGGACCACCACCCAGGACAGCGGCCGCAAGAGCAGCAGCACCAGGGACAGCGACCTCCACAGCAGCAGCAGCATCAGCTGCAACAAAAGTTTGCGAGCGATGCGCAAACAGCGCCGCATATTGTCCAAAGCTGCCCGAAGCTGCTCTTTGGTCCGGAGCCGAACTTGGCCGTTCGGGAGGTTTTGCTGAAATCGTGCGGTGGTGCGGGGGGTTTGTGCTGAGTTACAGACTCGGGTTTTACCAGAGCCCGGAGCCATTTCACGTCGCCGAAGCAGACACACCCATGGGCTCATGCAGTTCCAGACGACGTCTGTAACTTTCTCGGTTCTGACATGGGTTCTGTGTCATTTCGTTCGTTCTTTCCGTGTGTTCGTTCTATTTATCGTGTATTCGTTTCTTCTAACGCTGATTTCTAAAGCTGTGTTTCAGTCGATGCAATTCGTTATCACCAACATCCTTTGAAAAAACACATCTCAGGCTTTGATATGAACTGAAAAGTGTGAACTTGATCATGTTTATGCTCTTGTATGTAATGCTCCAAGTTGTTGATACTGTTTGACTCTGCGTTAGATGAAGATTTATGAATTTTTTTTGGTCAGAATTTTGCTTGCAATACAATAAATTTACCTTTTGATACAATTCTACTTTGATGCGGTCTGTATGCATTGCTCTATGGTGACATTCTCTACAGTATAGGTTAATACTGTAATGATAATTTAATCTACTTATCTACGTAAACGTCACCTGGTCTCAATCATTTTTCGGGAGGGTCATAAATTGGGATGTTTGGAAATTCCATTTGCAACTGGAAGGAGTGGAAACCGGAGGCCACGCATACAAGGAGGTGTCACGTGAAGCTGCGGTAGGCTGGTGGGTGAGCAGGTGCGTGTGCGAGTGGGTGTGTAGGTGGTGCACCTAGCCTGGCACAAGCGCCGTGGTAATATCACCGCCGCTTAGTGGCGAAAGGCGGTTGTTGCTGTGTAGGTGGGTGAGTGGGGGGGAGCGGTAGTGTCATGGTTAGCGCGCTGTGCTACAAACCCCGCGACCGGAGTTCGATTCCCGCTCACGGCCAACACCAGTGACGATCATTTGAACCGGTCCTGGGCCTCCCCTAGGTCGACTCGGCCACAAATAAGCACCTGGTGCGGTGTGTAAACATCGCCACTAGGGAGACAAAGGCGATCGGGCGTGGTGCTGGCCACCCACCCCCTCGTGTACCATTCCGGCCTTCATAGGTGCTCGCTAACAGCACTATAGGGAGATCTTTATCTTGGGCTGGAGGAAACCGGAGTACCAGAGGAGAATGTTCACGCATACAAGGGGCAGTTGGAGGGCAGGTGAGTACGTGGGTGAGCGAGTGAATGAACGAGTGGGCGAGTGTGTGGGTGGGTGAACGGGTGGATGGATGAGTGGGTGGTTGAGTGTGTTGGTGGATGAGTGTGTGGGTGAATTAGTGGATGGGGGAGCCGTGTATTGTGCGCGAGCAGAGGTCACTGTGTGCGATAGCAGGAGGCCACGAGAAGGCGTCTGGACGCGCAGAGGTCAGGGTGCTACATTGGCAAGGTCAAGTCACTGTCATTAATCAAGCAGAACCCGACAATGCGCGACAACGGCTCGTGGAATAGCAGAGCCAATGACAGCTGTTATCACTAACGTTGCCCTTCCGATGAGGGTCAATATCATCAGTGGAGGTTGAGTACATGCAGGCGATGCGACAATCAATATAGGTCCTGATTCAATCGTTCCATCTCTATGGTGGACATGCCTCGGGTACGTTCCCTCCTTTGGCTTCCGTTTCGTCCTTAGTCTCGACCACCAGCCATCATCCTGCCCAAGCCCAGTTTTGTCTGAGCCCCCTCCCCCCATATTAGTGCCCCCCCCCACCTTTGTACCCCCTTTCCATTCCGTGTACTGTGTAACTGTGTCCGAAAACGACGCTGATGTCTATTGCGGTGCTCATAATGTCAAAGTAAGCACTACATTTGTATGTTGCCGATGTTATTGAGAGGTTATAGCTACAGCCAGCGACGTATATTCAGAGAGCAAGACACACACACATTCACAGGGGCGCAAGAAGAAACGCACATAGACCGACGCAGAAACAAGGGAGAGAAGATAGCGAAAGAAACAAAAAGACAAAGAGAGACGTGAAGAGAGGCATGCGACAAAAGAGATATAGACAGAGAAACACAGAGATAACGCTCTGAAAATATATAGAGACGAGGAGATATACAGAAAAAGAGAGACGTAGAATGGAGGACGATATATATTTGTAAGAAAAGACAAGACAGACACAGAGACATCTAAGAAGGAGATAAGGGAAATTAGGTGAGATAAGAGAGAGAGACGGACAGAGGCAATGAGATTGAAACGATGAGAGATACAGAGACAGAGGGACACAGAGGAAAAGAGAAAGAGAGGGGGGGGGGGGCGTGTGTGGCAGATGGCCAGGGCCTCTCCCGGGAGTGCCACGTGCCCGGGTCCCCAGTGAGATGCAGAGGGAATTTAAGGACAGGTGGTGGTTGAAAGTTGTGGTCGAACGTTGTGGTTTGGGGGATTAGTGGTGGATGTAGGTGGGGAGGGAGCTTGTCGTTGGTAGTTGTAGCTGGGAGTGGGGTTGTTTGAAATTGGTGGTGTTTTGTGATAATCTTGATTGGTGGCGGTGGCTAACGGTGATGGTGTAGTGGTCGGCACGCTGCGCGAAAATCCGGCGCCCCCAAGTTCGGCCTATATCAGTGACGATTGTCTGAACCCGTCCTGGGCCTCTCAAAGGTCGACTAAGCCTTAAATGAGTACCTGGTGTGGTCGTGTAAACATCGCCACGGGGGAGACAAAGGCGGTCAGGCGTGGTGCTGACCACTCATCCCCTCTTGTGCCATGCCGGTCTTCATATGTGGTTACGGATTTAGGGTGGTGGTGGTGGTGTGTGTGGTGTTGGGTTGTGGTGAATGAATTGGGAGTAATCGTTGGAATTGTGTAGTTGGAGGAGGTGGTTGGGAATAATGATGGTTAAGGGTTGGCTGGGAGGTGCTGCTGCTGGTGGTGTTTGTGTTTATATTTGGAGGGAGTGGTGTTTGGGCTTAGTGGTTAGAGAAATGTTAGCGGTTGAGCTGGTGGTAGCAGGAGGTGGTGGTGGTTGGGATGATGGCTGGAAGAGGTGGTTGGGCTGGTTGGATGAAGTGGTGGTGGTGACGGTTGGGCTGGTGGTTGGACACGGTAGTGGTGGCTGGGCTGGTACAGAATTTGCTGATTGTTGTTATATTATTGTGTATGTTGAACTTATTTCGCACCGTACGTAGCCAGCCGTGCTAATCGGCGGTGCGACAAAAAGAGATTTGAGCCAGGGACGCGAGTCATCGAATCATCATTGCATGGGAGGGGCTGGAGACGCGTGGCGAGGCGTGGTGTCGAGTGTCAGGCGTGATGCATGGTGGGGGGGGGGGGGGGGAAAGAGCTGTGTGTGTTGGGGAGGGGGCATTTATATTGGCAGGGGTGGGGTGTGTGTGGGGTGATCGCTATGGATAATGTGACTGGGCGGGCGGGGTAATTTAACGGCTTAACGGTCGCGTGTTCTAAAAGAAGACAAAGAGCCCAACTGACACGCGTTTGGCTGGAATCCGTCGTGTTCCCCTTGAAATTACAGCCCCTTCTTTTATCAATCCACTGCTGGATGAATGCGTATCCTCCACACCGTGTCGATCATGGGGTTTCACCATACTTCACCATGCTGGTTAGTGCGGCTTATAAATGGGGGGGGGGGGCACTCACCAATGATGTTCGCCGTGGCCGGGAATCGAACACAGGACGCCGCTAGGTTCGTAGTGCAGTGCACTAAATAATGCACCAGTACCATATATGACAGCATTAACGGTATGTATTAGTAAGTGGAACTAATTACAACGAACTAATTATAACTGGTGAAAAATTGAGGAGCGTACATTTGTACGTGTTCAGCACCATACTTAAAGCATATACAACTCTTGACTGACACCTGCCGTTTGCATCGTGACTCCTCAATCATCAATCATCATCAATCATGGATCAGGCAGTGCCTGTCCGCTGCTGAAGGATTCTACAGATATAACAATGCACAATCTTCCGAATCGTTTTACCCCCAATCAATCAACCATCCATCATTACCATTACCAATCATAAGCTAGTATCTATACACGAAGGAGTCCCCATGCCGCCTCCATCCCCAGCGGTCTTGCAATTCCACAGTCCAAAAGCCGACCATATCGCCCCATCTCTGCAGTGGTCATCCATTCAAGCGACGCCCTTCTACGAATCTACCGCTGGACGAAGACCTCTCTAGATATGACAATTCATAATCTGCTGCATCATCGTAACACTCCTGGTGGACATCATCAGCGAATGCAACAGAACCACATCAGGCACAAGTCGCGTTCGGCAAGTCAACATATGTTGCTCCCCTCTCGGCCCTCTGTGTTGTTCGCCATAATGTCCGACGTTTTCACTCCACGGTACTGGGAACTTATTCAGGAACTGAGCTTCAGAATAAAGTTCCCAGCATGTGGACCGAAACGTCGGACATCGTGTAGAACAACACGCGGTACAACCCGAAAACACGTCATAAATACGGCACAACCGCGAAACCCCACGAGGTGGTAACGCTCCTCTCTCACCCAACAAAATAGCGAGATGATCATACGTCCGGCCACACATGTATGCAACTGGCAGGACAATATGTACGTGTACATAATAGGGCCGTGCACGTGAAGGAGGGGAGGGGGAGAGGGCAGGGAGGGGAGGAGAAAGAGAAATGGACGCTGAGAAGCGCCGCGTTCTTGCGGACCTCGCCATCTGGCGAGAGAGTTCAATTCGTGGATCGTCTTTCAGTCCCCTTCTCCCTACCCACCGATACATCTGGCCCGCGCCCGGGGGGCATTAACCCTTTCCGCAGCTTGCCCGCACAGCAAATGATGGTAAGAATTGTGTCCTCTATGTCCGCATCTCCGATTAGCACGGTTGGCTACGTACGGTGCGAAAGACGTTCAACATACAAACATAGAGTTTTTAAACAGTGCGCACTGCATGCTGTGACACTGTTATTAAAAAAAAAAGATTATATAACAAAAATACGGGAAGTTCACAAAGAACTATGGAGTGCTTCCGGATTACTATACAATTACTTTGCAGTAGAGAACGAGGAACACGTGGATTAGAGAACATTCACATGTTAATGAGTGTTATTATTCAAAATGTCTATACAGATCAGTGGACTTGGACAGGACACGTCGCCAGAAACGATAATGACCGGTGGTCAAGTGGCAGACAAGGAATCGCAACGCATCCGAGAGGACGCCCATCGGGGAGATGGAACGATGACCCCTCGTGTATTAGTGCGAGGCGGATTGTTGCATCGGCAGTGGCTCGATCATGGCTGATGATTTATCCCGGTAAGTCTCACCGAGTTTTAAGACTCATTTTATCATCAGGGCCCTGCATTGAAATGTTTGGTCAATTCTTCCTTTGCCTCCGACCAAATCACGCGCAGCAAGGGTCGAGTCTGGTTCTTACTTGGACGTGATATTTCCTGGCAATAATACCAGGTGTTACATAGGCTTGTGCTTCGGAGTGGCCAGGAGATGACGATGCAGAGTGTCACCACTCAATGCGTGTTTCCTTCCACATCAAGGTCAACCCAGTAAAGTGTGACCCAGACATGCAACAATTGATCGACTTGGATAAAATTGACAATTACGCTCACAATATACGCATCGAGTCACGTGTCAAAGAATCAATTATTTAAGATTAAAATAAATAAATATACGAATATAACCTTAGGGTCCGTCCATAAATGACGTCACGCTATTTTGGACGATTTTTGACCCCCCCCCCCTCGTCCCCCC